TTGACACGTAAAAAAATATTTTTTTACGTGTAACAAATAGTTTTTTTTTGGGTAAAAAAGTTTTTTTAATAGAAACAAATAGTTTTTTACACGGAAATTTTTTTTGGCGTAAGAAAGGTTTTCCACCAGAAACAATAAGTTTTTGACGCGTAAAAAAAGAGTTTTTACGTGTAACAAATAGATTTTTACACGTAACAAATAGTTTTATATGCTTAAAAAATACGCATACGTTTTTTACGTGGAACAGTTTTATTCGCGTAAAATAATAAAACTAGTTTTTTACGTGTAACAAATGTTTTTTACACGTAATAATTTGATTCACTTTTACAAAATTTGTATTAAAATATCTCCCAGCGCGCGTAAAGACCACGGCGTTTCACTCCAAAATGTTTCATAAATCATGTCCTAAAATTGCATTAGCAACTAGAGTTATTTACTATTCTATTATATAATTATAATTATTTATTATATAATATTATAATTATAACAAGTACTAACCACAACACTACAACATAAAAAAACTATACACACATAAACTAAAATTTGTAAAATAAATGGTAAATAATAATTATTATTTTTACACACACCACTGGCACTAGCAGTAGATTGTGTTTGTCTCCGAATATATGCCCCGGCCCGTCCACAATTCAATCCCAGCATCTTTTATCTTCGTCTCTTCAACGTTAACGGCGCCGAGATCTCGCCTATCTCTTTCTCACAGGATTGATTGTTGGACGGGCCGGGAATCCACGAGCTTGCGACGTTACTAATTGACATATTGATAGAAATTGCAGACCTGCCGCGTCTTTTGCGTGTTTTTAATGGACACAAATCGAAAAAAGCGCTTAAAACGGTAAAATCGCAAAAAGCGCTTGAGACGCAAAAAACAGAAAACGCTAAAAACGCTTTCTGTGTGGCGAGTCCACACAGGTCCGCAACAATATATGTACTTTTCGGTTAATTATTCCATGATGTACTCTACTATACAAAAGTTTTTTGAACAAGTATCCTATCACTTTGATAATCAAAAAGAATCTTGTCATCATATAAATCTAGCTTGATAATTAAACTTGATCATACTATTTAATAACTCTAAAATTTATTATTCTCATGAACACAAGTTTTTAAAAACGAGTATTTATTCTGTATCGACAGAAAAATTAAAATGCTATGAAAACAAAATAATAATATCGTTATAATATATGTTTTTCATTAGGCTAGACTGGGTACGGTTGAAACGTTTTGGTTTTTCTTGTTCGTAGTATTGTTATTTATTAACCCGGCGATGATGATGTATTAAATTAAAGAGGACTTTTTTTTATTTTCGAAAGGGATATACCATTTTAGTTCCTGGGTTATTTTGAAAAGTATACAATATTTAAAAAATAAAAAGAATTTGTTGCAACCGTTCCCATATCAGTGACGGTTGAACAAGTGATTGGGGTCAATTGAAACGCATGCAACTAAAGGCTCATTTACATTTGTCACTTTGGATGTACAACTTCGATGAATCATCCAAAGTGATAAGTATAAATTGCCTTTCATCACTGTTTCATCCAAAGTGCACACTAAAATTGAACGATGAAACAAGTTGACGGTTCAATCTGAGTGATTCATTTTGGTTGTACATCCAAAATGACACAGTGTAAACTCTGCTTAATACAAAATATAATATTGAAACATATTTTACTCAACGTGAATTCTGTTGTAAGGTTTCGTGATTTTATACGTAAAAAATATCTCTTGGTAAAAATCGCTACGTGCAACCGTTTTTAAGATATTTAGAATGGAAATAGTCAATACATGTCATTATTGACAAAAAATAAACATGAGTAGATAGTTATTTGACTGAAAGGATAAATTTGGGAACTGTTTATTTTTTAAATTAATCTTAAATTTTTCTTCGAAAAAATGATGATAAAACAGTTTCTGTTAAACTTTTAGCACAAAAACATTTCAAGTTTATGATTTCAGTCTAATAACTATTTAGTAATATTTTTAATTTATGTCAGTGGTGACAGATATTGATAATTTCGATACTAAATATCTCGAGAATCATTACTGGTAGCGATTTTTACCAAGATATCTTTTTTACGTAAAAAACGTCGTAATTGTATATTTTTTTACTCAGTAGTTTTATATAGGTACGGACGAAAAGTTATTACTCTTCAAACCAGTTAAAAAAATATGTAGGTGGCGCCCTCTAAAAGTATGAGTCATATTGACATCAAAATGAAATTTCTCATGTCAAAAAACTTCCAGACAGCAATTTTCATCCAAATATTGCCGCTAGTTCAGAAATTATTTGGAAAAAATCGAAATAAAAATGAAATTTCTACACCCTGTATCTCCGAAACTAAGCATTTTAGGACATACATTTATACGAACTTTTTTACCTATTTTTATCTGCAGAATGTGCTGCAGAAGTTTCCGGAATACAGTTCGGACCACCCTGTATATACAGGATGTTCCAATATTCCGTGGACATAGAACTACTACTACGTATTTTTGGAATCTAAATAAGTTCATTGGACACGATTACCTCTATGCAAAAGTACTTGGTTTGTCCGTTAGAGGGCATCAAAATCATCATCGGGTTTGGGTTTATTTTTGATTGATGCCTTCTAACGGACAAACGAAGCATTTTTGTATACAGGGTCCGGCAATAGTGCGTCGGGCATCTGTAGCTCATAGAATAAAATACTTGAGAATTTTGTTTTAGTGCAAACCTAAAGTATGTACCATGATGTATTTCAGGAAAATATTTTAACCTCTATAGGGTGGCTCAAAAAAGTGTGAGTGGATCTGGATGATTTTTTTTAAAATGGAACACCCTGTATATTATTGCATTTTTGGATTCCTTTCAGATCACTTTACATACAGCTAAGATATAAATAAATATATTTCTATAGTTTCAGGGATATTAGAAAATAAATAAAAAATATATATTTTTCAGCCCTTCTTAAAAAAATTATTAAAAATACAAGAACTGTTATGAAATCAAAACTATATTAGGTATTTACTTTAGATGGTCTATTCTTACTTTGCTATAAATATGGTAATCGTAAATCCTACAGGATGTTCAATATTCTACGCCAAACTTTCTAAAATATAAAATAATTTTTCTTTGTTTTTTTAAATGGAACACCCTGTATATTATTATTTTATTAGATGGAGAGTTAAGAAATGAACATTTTTTGTATTTAGAGTATTTCAAAATTCTTAACGGTTTCGCAGATACACGCAGTATTATTTCATATGGCGCTTTCAATGGTAAAATACGAGAGAAAAATCATTGGGTGGGGCTTTTGAGGTTCAAGTTAACGTCTCCTTTCTGCTGCAATGGCTAAACTGGACGGGACCTACTTGTTTACGCGGAATCCGAACCGCGGTCCTCGGCCATATCATGGTCAATGGCCTACCGACTTAGGAAGTGTCTAAATTAACTCTTACTCACGAGATATCCGATCTCATCCGGCCTTGAACCGGCGTGAATGAGCAGTGTGTATCAATAGATTTTACACTTTTCCCTTTTGGACAACAGCACGATGCAAAGTTTCGAACCGGTCACCCGTCCATCCACTAGCATCGCCTTAACTTCGGTGTTCTAATGGGAACCGGTGTTTCGACGTAGCTGGGCCGTTGCCCGGGTGGGGCTTTGATAAAAATTTACTGTGGAAAATGCCATATGAAATATAAAACCGCAAATATCTGCGAAACCGTTAAAAATTTTGAAATACTGTAAATACAAAAAATGTTTATTTTTTAATTCTCCGTCTACTGAAAAAATAATATACAGGGTGTTCCATTTAAAAAAACGAAGAAAAATTATTTTATATTTTAGAAAGTTTGGCGTAGAATTTTGAACATCCTGTATAATTTACGATATTCATATTTATAGCAAAGTAAGTATAGACCATCTAAAGTAAATACCTAATATAGTTTTGATTTCAGAACAGTTCTTGTATTTTTAATAATTTTTTTAAGAAGGGCAGAAAAATATATGTATATTTTTGATTTATTTTTTAATATCTCTGAAACTATCGAAATGTATTTATTCATATCTTAGGGTTATGTAAAGTGATCGGAAAGAAAGCCAAAAATGCAATAATATACAGGGTGTTCCATTTAAAAAGATCATCCAAGTCCACTGATACTTTTTTGAGCCACCCTATAGAAGGTAAAATATTTTCCTGAAATACATCCTGGTACATACTTTAGGTTTGCACTTAAACAAAATTCTCAAGTTTTTATTCTAGGAGCCACAGATGCCCGACGCACTATTTCCGGACCCTGTAGAAGTAAATTGTGTGGAATTAAGTTATTTTGATTCAAAATATACGTACTTCTATGTCCAAGGAATATTTGAACTCTCTGTGTATTTTGTATGTCTGCTTTGGAAAAATAAATTTTCCAAAATTTTTTTTCTCAAAAACTATGCGATTTGGCGTTTTTTTACAAAACACAAAAAATGTAGTAAATAATAGAGGGACCATTTTACGAAAAAAAAATCAGTCGTAGGTTGAGTTGGTTAGGTAAAGTTAAGGAAAATATTTATACTAAAATTTATGTAGAGGTGGGGGTATTTTTCACCTAACCTAACCTAACCCTTCCCGTACTTTTTCTTGATTTTTGTAAAAGTTAAATGTTAAAGCACTTAGCAAAATATACACACCCAAAATCTCATTCAAGTCGTAATAACGGTTCTTAAAATATCTGAAAAAATGTGTTTATTTTTTTAAAGTTTGATGCCCTCTAGCGGACAATCGAAGCACTTTTGTATAGAGGTAAATTGTGCCCAATGAACTTATTTGGATTCCAAAAATACGTAGTAGTTCTATGTCTACGGAATATTGGGATACCCTGAATTTGTTTTGTTTCAACCATACTCAACCTACATATAAATAATAAAATTTTAAACATCTATTAAACATTTTGTTTTTTACTTTAGTTTTAAGTCGTAAAAATTTTTAGTTTCATCATGTTAAATATTTTTCCAGATATATAAATAAGAAACATGTCATCAGTAAAAGTGGCTGTTCGCGTCAGACCTTTCAACAACAGAGAAATATCACGAGAATGCAAGTGCATCATAAAGATGATAGGAAATACTACAAGTGAGTATAACAAAACATGTTATAGAATTAAAACATTATATACTATTTATCTTTCAGCAATAAACAATCCTAAGGCTGACCCCAACACAAAGGATTCGATTAAAAGCTTCAATTTTGATTATTCCTATTGGTCTCACGATGTAAGTATTGATTTCGTAGAATAATAATAATTAACTATCTTAATATACTATGGTTTGATATTTTTTACAAACTTCAATTGTCATACAGTGAAGTTCAAAAAAAGTTGAGATTACAATTATTCAGGGTGTCCCAGAAATAAGTGCAAGTATTTTAACTGGTAGTATAATTCAACCCCAGAAACACGCCTATGAGTTTTTTTTGGCGAAAAAAAAATTAAAAATTCGAAATTTTTTGAAAATTTTTTTAGATTTTTTTTTTAATTTTTAGTTAAAAAGCATAATTTCTTGATAATATGGCAACATAGGTATTAGATTAAATTTACAAGAAAGAAAATCCAGAAAAGATCCAGTGGTTCTCAAAATTTTAGCAAAAAATAATTTTTTTTGGAAATTTTTAAAGTAAAATAACGCCGTTATTTTGGACTTATTTGAAAAACGATAAAGAGAAAATTTGTTTCTTTTATCGAGATCTACCACCCTTTAAATACTTGCACTTATTTCTGGGACACCCTCTACAGGGTTGTTCACCACATACGACACGGAGTATTGTAACTAAACGATTAGATTTTTACAAATTGTAAGTTTTGGATTCGTTGAAGGACTATTAGAGCTACAATTTAAAAATATTTTTACAAGATACAAAGTGTCCCAAATAAGTAAAAAATATTATAGTTTTATTTTTTTAAAAGGAACACCCTGTATATTACTTTATTTTTGGATTCTACGATTGAAATAAAGGTAAATTTGATTAAGGTTTATCACACTTAAACCTTACCGTTTTTGAAATATTTTCAATTTTATGAAATTGCAGTAAAAATTTTAATGCTTCTTCTCTCTAAGGGTATCAAAGTTTTTAATACTAAATATTTACTGAAGATCATTTATTGATCAGATATTGTGTTGCAATAATAAAAATTTTACTATCTTATACAGAGTGTCCAAAAATTTATATTAAATAATTACTAGCTTTAAACGGCAATAACGTGTTTAATTTAAATGGAACACCCTGTATATTTTACTTGAATCATATGCACAATGTAATTGTCTATCAACCCCATTGGTATACCAAAAAAAACTATTTAAATTTTTATAAAAGTGTATACCAATTGAATATACCACCATTATTTCCGATCAAAAATTAGTTAATTACATACTTTTAAATTGTTTTAATTAATAAAGTATTCTAAATAAATGTGGATTTGGCTCAGAAATCAATATAATAATAAATTATGAAAATAAACGCCTCTATTTTTATAAATAAGCATTCGTCAAAAAATGAAATAAAATTTATAAGCCACACTGTCTAATACACACACAAAATTCAGTTTTTTAGTATTTAGAGCAATTATTATTAATCAACGTAAACAGTCAATTAATGTAGTTTGAATACTGGGATCATATTAATTGGTCCTCTTTAAGAAAAAATATTTAAACAGTTTTTTTAATTTTTTTCATGAAATAAGCGAGCTATATCGACAATATTAGTATCTGTACTCTTTGAAAATGTGTTACATCTTTAAAAATAATCTAAAATGTCAATATTCCATGGGCATATAAATGAGGTTTAAATTATAAGAAAATGCATTTTCTACGAAAACTTGAAGAGATGGGTAAAAAATGGTATAATATAATTTGATAGACAATTACATTGTGCATCTGATTCGCGTAAAATATATAGGGTGTTCCATTTAAATTAAACACGTTATTGCCGTTTAAAGCTAGTAATTATTTAATATAAATTTTTGGACACTCTGTATAAGATAGTAAAATTTTTATTATTGCAGCACGATATCTGATCAATAAATAATCTTTAGTAAATATTTAGTATTAAAAACTTTTATACCCTTGGAGAACTAAAGACTTAAAATTCTTACTGCAATTTCATAAAATTGAAAATATTTCAAAAACGGTAAGGTTTAAGTGTGATAAACCTTAATCAAATTTAGCTTTATTTCAATCGTAGAATCCAAAAATAAAATAATATACAGGGTGTTCCATTTAAAAAAATACAACTATAATATTTTTTACTTATTTGGGACACTCGGTATCTTGTAAAAATATTTTTAAATTGTAGCTCTAATAGTCGTTCAATGAACCCAAAACTTATAATTTGTAAAAATCTAATCGTTTAACTACAATACTCCGTGTCGTATATAGTGAAGAACCCTGTATAAACTTAGAGCTATTTAGATTAGAAAATTATATTGCGACAGGAAGTTGTAAATAAGCTTTTATGCTTCATAGACATCGTTAGTAATATACAGAGCGATCCAGTATTCCGAAGAAGTTTCATAGCATGTTTCTTTTTTGAAATTTCTCTCTCTTTTTGTAAAATATGCGATAAATAATATCGTGTTAGTTTCATAAATATACAAAGTAAAGCTTCATCCCGAACTTTGAAATTAGTGGAATAAATTAGTAGTTTCAGTTAGCATAGAAGTTTGTTCCTCTAATTTGAATGTAAGCGTTTAGAACGTTAAAATTAGTGGTAGGAATTTTCAGTTAGTGGAAAAAGTTACCAAACTTTTAACTTTTTCCACTAATTATACTTCAAAATTTGCGAGGAATGTCATTTTGACCTTTGATTATCATCTGTCAAGAGGAAAATGTGGATAGAAATCCATATAGAAATCAAAAGTTTATCGTTTTATAAGCTAAATATTAGGCTTTCTCTATGGATACAAGCTGTTGCTAGGATATTCTATTAATTTTAATTGTGTTTTTTAGAAATTGTGAATGATCGTAAACTTAAAAGTATAAACTGTAATTGAAACCACTAATTGCGAGGTACCACAAATTTTTCACTTTAGTGGTGAATTAATAAATACCATTTATATATAATGTATATTCTAGTATAGCTGGGGGGGGGGGAATAATAATGATATAATATATGTATTGAGTTTCAAAGATACTATTTAATAGAATATTTCATTAGTGTAAAAAAATATAACTTTAATATAAAAATATACAGGGTTGTTCACCACATACGACACGGAGTATTGTAGCTAAACGATTCGATTTTTACAAATTGTAAGTTTTGGGTTCGTTGAAAGACTATTAGAGGTACAATTTAAAAATATTTTTACAACATTTCTTTATATAATGAGAGTGTCCCAAATAAATAAAAAATATCAGAGTTGTCTTTTTTAAATGGAACACCCTGTATATTATTACATTTTTAGTTTCTACGATTAAAATAAAGGTAAATTTGATTAAGGTTTATCACACTTAAATTTGACCGTTTTCGAAATATTTTCAATTTTGTGAAATTGCAGTTAAATTTTTAAGGCTTCATTTCTCCAAAGGTATCAACGTTTTTAATACTAAATATTTACTGAAGTTTATTTATTGATCAGTTATTGTGTTGCAATAATAAAAATAATACTACCTCATACAGAGTGTCTAAAAATTTATTTTAAATAATTTGAAATTTTAAACGGCAATAGCTTGTTTAATTTAAATGGAACATCCTGTATATTTTAGGAGAATCAGATGCACAATTTAATTGTCTATGAAATTGTATTATACCATTTTTTATCTATCCCGTCAAGTTTTCGTAGAAAATGCATTTTCTTATAATGTAGACTTCATTTATCAGTATAATAATAATACTAGCTCCCGTATATAGCGTTTAACGCCCTGGGAGTAGCGAGGTACAGCTTGCCATGCTAGAGTCGTGTCGGTATACAAGGAAGGTAATGTAGCTAGCACTACGTGTGGCTTCAACAATCTATTATTACCTCAGGATTGTGAATCCCAAGTACTCATTTAACGCTGAGTCGACCTAGGTACTCAAACTATTTTTATTTTATTAAAAATAGTCGGCTGATGAAATGCCGGGTGTAGGATTTGAACCCACAACCTTGAGATTGGTAGACGAGAACTGTAGCTCTACGCCACCTGGCACCTTAATTTGATATCAATATACCCATGGAATATTGATAAATGATTTTACAAAAATATTTTAGATGCCTTAAGAAAGATTTGCATAAAAAATCGGAATTTCGGCAAATAAATGATTTAAAAACTTCCGCCCAAATATTAAATATTTACATACTTAATTGTGTTAGTTAATAAATTATTCCAAATAAATGTGGATTTGAATCAGAAATCAATATGATAATAAGTTATGAAAATGAACATCTCTGTTATAAAATAAAATAAAATTTTTAAGGTGTTACTTTTTACCACAATGTCTAATACACATACAAAATTCAGTTTTTTAATATTTGGAGCAAGTATTATTAAGTAGTGTTATTAATCAACGCAAAACAGTCAATTAATGTAGTTTGAATACTAGAATCATATTAATTAGATTCTCTTTAACAAATATTTAAACAGTTTTTTTAACTATATCGACAATATTATTATCTGTACTCTTTAAAAATAATCTAAAATGTCAATGTTCCATGGGTATATTGATAAATGAGGTCTAAATTATAAGAAAATGCATTTTCTACGAAAACTTGCAGAGATAGATAAAAAGTGGTATAATACAATTTGATAGACCATTAAACTGTGCATCGGATTCTCATAAAATATACACGGTGTTCTATTTAAATTAAACAAGTTATTGCCGTTTAAAGCTAGAAATTATTTAAAATAAATTTTTAGACACTCTGTATAAGGTAGTATTACTTTTATTATTGCAACACAATAACTGATCAATAAATAAACTTCAGTAAATATTTAATATTAAAAACTTTGATACCCTTGGAGAAATGAAGCCTTAAAATTTTGACTGCAATTTCACAAAATTAAAAATATTTCAAAAACGGTAACGTATGTGGTGAACAACCCTGTATATTACCCAGTATATTTATGAAAATATTTTTAAACACTCTAATGAATGAAAATAAAATATAAACGTAATATACAGTATGTCCCCGGATCGTCTTTAAAAGAGGAAAAACTTTTTTATTACTGTTATAAACTGTTTATTATTAGCGTTTTGAGAAAAATACATTCTTTATAAGAATGATGCTTGCTCCAAAATGGTTAATGCTCTTTATACTATTCCAAATTTCTATACCTTTTTAGAGAAAAATAAAAAAATATAAAATAAAAGTTGATTTTTTGTTTTAGGTTGACAACCTAAAAATCAAAAAGGGTTGTGATGGCAATATCATTTGGTTTTCAATATTTGACAAATTGTTATTATTAATTTTGATTAACGTCATATTTTTTTGCTGTTGTTATCAAACTTTCCAATAATTAGTATCACTCTTTCCATAATATTAAACCCTAAACTAAGTAAATGTGCTTCTTTAACATTTTAAGTAAAACGTAAAAAATATGACGTTAGTCAAAATTAATAATAACCATCTATCAAAGACTGATAAAGAAATATTACCATAGAAACCCGTTTTGATTTTGAGGAAAAAAATCAACCGTATTTTCATTCAACCGTATTTTTTTATATTTCTATAAAACGATGTGGAAATTTAAAGTATATGGATGTATATATAAACGGCATTAACCATAGAGTATGCATTTTTTCTAAAACGCAAATAATAAAAAAGTGTTTTTTTTCTTGTAAAGACGATCTGGGAACATGCTGTAGAATTCTTTTTTGTTGTTGTACCTACTACAAGTTTTATATACAAGCTTTTTTGCATAATACTATGCGATCGAAAAAAACGTCGTTCATAAATGGCTTCGAAATGAAGATCGATATAAGGAATGTCATCGGTTGTCATTTCAAAGCCAACTGGACGCCGTTTTTTTTTCAATCATACAGTAGTTCTAATAAAAAATTGTATGAACTATTTCCGATTTGTCTCAATATTAGCCCACAGATGCAGACTTTTCCTCACAAGTGGTCGTCTACAAGGACATCGGCGAAGAAATGCTACAACATTCTTTCGACGGTTATAATGTTTGTATATTTGCTTACGGTCAAACAGGAGCCGGTAAGTCTTACACCATGATGGGTAAGCAGGAAGATGGCCAGGAAGGTATCATACCTTTAATATGCAAGGAATTGTTCAAGAAAATCCGTGATAACAACCAACCAGACGTCAAGTATTCTGTGGAAGTCAGTTACATGGAAATTTATTGTGAACGTGTTAGGGATTTGCTCAATCCAAAAAATAAAGGTAAGAAATATTATTATTTAGTACCACGGCTTATTCAATACCTAGCTAGACATCTTATGGCGTCTTACTCTGAATGCAAAAAGTCTAACATAGACCTACTCACTATTATCTGATATTTATTTATCTCTGCTACTTCATATAGAAGGTAAATAGTACGAGGAACTCAATAGGACCTCAGTCAACACGGCATCGCTGATCTCCGATCAGTGTAGACGGGGAAGTTAGAGTTCCGCGACGAGAACGAGCGCTCGTCTTTATGGTTTTTATATTGTTGATGGACCCCTACGATCAGAGCTTGGCGATGCCCGCATGTGTGGACGGAGAGGCGAAGTCCGATGACGAGCGCTCGGAAATCGCCAACTGTTGCATGTGCGGTCGCGGCATAATGATATATGCGCAGCAGATAACACAAGCGTCTAGGTACCAACAATACATGCTGGAAAGCTTTGCGCAAGCGTTTTCTCGGATATTTCTCATGCAATCTAGAAAAAAAAATTAACCGCAGAAATTAACCGACGCAATCCAATCACGCCGTATTGATTGCCTATTACCGACAGCAGTAAAAAAATAAAAACAACTGTTAAAAATTAAAAATTTATAATTGTTGAACTCGAACCCGGGTGTTGAAATAAACATCGGTGTTAAGATAAGCACCGGTGTTGTAGATGAATACCGGTGCTGAAATGAACACCGTTGGTCATCAACACCTAACACCGGTGTTCAAGTATCTCTAACACCGAACAGGTCTACCCGGGACCTCTCGGTCCCGAAACGTCTTGCCAATGGAGGCTATAGCTAAACATTACTTAGTTCCTCCGCAAAAGCATTAAAATAAGATTATGGCTAATGCCATTCCCACGTATTGCGCAAGCGCTAAGCTTTCCGGCATTTATTGGAGTGTACCTAGACGCTTGTGCAGATAAGACACAAACTCTCGAAATTATGTTGGGTATTGAATAAGTGATTGCGTAATCTTTATTTAGTTGAATTTTTGTAAATTACTATAATACACATATTTATCATATCAGGCAGATAACTATCCAGTCAGCATGTTTATTTTATGATGACATGTATTGATAATTTACATTCCAAACATCTTGAAAAACGGTTATAAAATTACCTTTTTTACATAAAAAAGGCGGAAACGCATATTTTTTCACTCAGAAGTTTTATACAGGTACGGACGAAAAGTTCATACTAACATCGAAATTGAATTTCACATGTAAGAAAAACACTCAGGCACCAATATTCATCTAAGTATCGATTGTTAGTTCAAAAATTATTTGGAAAAAATCGAAATAAAAATGAAAATATATTATTTATATATTAAAAAGAAAACATATTGATTGCTTTTTTCAAATACAGATACTTCATAACTTACTAGTTTGTGATAGGCACGTTCTAATTGTTCGTATTTATAGGTTTTTAAAATTAGTCTGTTCAACGAGAGGTGTCTGTGAAAGTGACAGTTGTGTCTATTATTTTAACTATTTAATCGTACTTTAAATTATAGTTTTTGCTTTGAATTTGATAAAAAATGTGAAATTTTTTTGTGAAAAATGAAATAGCTCTTTTCAATAAAGTGGTTCAAAATTCTCCCAATGAACCCAGTTCTTAGTATTACCCTTGATTATGTATAAATAGATGTACAATGAGGGCTTAGTACAAGCCCGTCTTCTAGGTGGCGCCTTGCCCGTTCTGAATTTTTGTATTCCCCTACGATTTTCTTTGAGGGGAATCCGTTAAACCCGCCCATCGTTCAAAAATGGAAGGGCGCGAGGTCACATCTATTGGGCCATAACCTAGTAATAGTTTACCTACGTCAAATATTTAAAAAATCCCATGTGATGCGGTATTTATCTGAGATAGGCTATACGGCTATAATTAAGTTACCCTACTTTAAATTCTGACTAATTCTGAGTTTATTAATATAACTTTATATTAAAAATGAGATATTTTTCATAATTGAAGAGTTTATGATGCACGTTTTTTAATAATAATGGTTTTATATATCAAATTAGCCCAATCATATATACAGGGTTATTCACCCCATACGACACGGAGTATTGTAGTCAAATTATTGGATTAAGACGTCTGGCTCTTTAATATATTATTTTACTATGCTCTCTAGAACAGCATGCGGCCCGTCTGGCGGCGGGTAAATGTTGCGTTCCCTACTGCGCATCGAAAGAAGATCCTATATTTTTATTAGTCGTTTAAATTCTAAAGTATTGAATATAAATTGAACCTGTCTCCATAGCGCAGTGCGTAGTGTTTCCGACCACGAACCGATGATTCAGAGCTCGAATCCGGGTCAGGGCAAAGACTTTTTTATTTTATTTTTGTTTATATTCTGATAGTAAAGTATTAAATATTTGTTTTTTTTAATTATCAGAATCATCGGTTCGTGGTCGGAAACTCTACGCACTGCGCTGTGGAGACATGTTCGATTTATATTCAATACTAGAATTATTATAGGACTAAATTAATAAAAAATATAGAATCTTCTTCCGATGCGCAGTAGTGAACGCAACGGGTATCGGCAGCCAGACGGGCCGCATGCTGTTCCAGAGAGCATAGTAAAAGATATATTAAAGAGCCAGACGTCTTAAAATACTTTTTCGAAAACGTTGCTAGCTCTTAGACTATTAGACCTACTGTAACATTGTAAAATCCTAAAATTAAAAAATTGGCGCTTATCAAGTTTTTCCCCTGGACCCTTCGATTATTTTCAAAAGGTACAGAGTGTCCCAAATAAAGAAAAATATCAAAGTTGTATTTTTATAAATGGAACACCCTGTATATTATTACATTTTTAGTTTCTACGTTTAAAATAAAGATAAATTTCATTAAGGTTTGCCGCACTTTAATCTTACCGTTTTTTTTCCATATTTACGATTTTGTGAAAATGCAGTAACAATTTTAATGCTTCATTTCTCTAGGCATATTTAAGTTTTGAAAATCAAATATTGTACTGAAGTTTTTCTATTGACCAAATATTGTATTGCTATAATAAAAATAATACTACCTTATACAGAGAGTATCTAAAAATTTATATTAAATAATTACTAGCTTTAAGCGGCAATAATTTAAATGTATATTTTACGTAAATCAGATGCAAAGTTTAATTGTCTATCAAATTGTATTATACCATTTTTCCCTCTATCTCTTCAAGTTTTCGTAGAAAATGCATTTTCTTATAATTTAGACCTCATTTATCAATATACCCATGGAATATTATCATTTTAGATATTTTTTTTAAAGCAACAAATGTACAGAATGTACAGGTGCTCAAACCGATAATATTATTAGACAATTTGTTTTAGAATTAAACTACTTAAATAATTGTAAAAGAGTATACTATACTATTAAATATATCACCATTATTTCCACCCAAATATTAAGTACATGCTTAATTATTGTGTTAGTTAATAAATTATTTTAAATAAATATGGATTTGCATCAGAAATCAATATAATAAGTTATGATTGTGAACTTCTATGTTGTTATAAATAAGCATTCGTTCATATAAAAATGATATAAAATGTATAAGGTGTTAATTTTTACCCCACTGTCTAATACACACACAAAATTCAGTCTAGTATTTGGAGCAATTATTAATCAACCCAAACAGTCAATTAATGTAGTTCGAATACTGGGATCATATTAGTTGGTCCTCTTTTACAAATATTTAAACAGTTCTTTTATTTTTTAATGAAATAAGCAAACTATATCCACAATATTAGTACCTATACTCTTTGAAAATTTGTTACATTTTTTAAAAACAATCTAAAATGTCAATATTCCATGAGTATATTGGTAAATGAGGTCTAAATTATAAGAAAATGGGTAAAAAATGGTATAATACAATTTGTTAGGCTGTGTGGTAAATTGTGCATCTGATTGTCGTATAATATACAGGGTATTCCACTTAAATTAAACAAGTTCTTGCCGTTTAAAGCTAGTGATTATTTAAAATAACTTTTCGATGTATTTGAACAGCCGTTAAACGGTAGCGTACTAAAATGCCGTTAATAGATATTGTAACGTCGTTCATGTCGACGGAAAGTAATGCCTACCTATAAGCATTTTGCAAGAGCACCTGTGGCTCCGTGGCTGAGGCTATCGCTGCGTGAGCGAATGGTCCGTGGTTCAAATCTCACGCCGACCAAGACTTTTTTATATTGTTTTTGCTTATAGCGTGATCTTATTGCATTGGTTTCACTCTTTTTGGTTGGATTGGTTTAGTTATTTGGCGGGTTGGTTAGCGTAATTATTTGGAGGGTGTTAATTCATTGGTTAGTTGTTTATTTGGTGGGGTTGGTTGGTTTTTACTAATTTATATTTGTTTTTTATATTTTTTTATCAGTGTCGAGGTTAGTTGCGTTGGTTAAGTTGGTTATTTGGTGGGGTGGATAGCATTGGTTAGTCCTTATAAAATTCCTATATTTCATAAAGCCGTCAAGTGCGTCACATTAACGACGTCATACCTATTAACGGCATTTTAGTAAGCTACCGTTTAACGGCAGTTTAAGTACAGCCTAAATTTTTAGACACTCTCTATAAGCTAGTATTATTTTTATTATCGCAACACAAAATCTAGTAAACAGAAAAACTTCAGTACAGTATTTGTTTTTAAAAACTTAAATAAACCTAGAGAAATTGAAGCATTAAAATTCTTACTGTGTTTTCAGAAAATCGTAAATATTTCAAAAACGGTAAGATTAAAGTGCAGTAAACCTTAATTACATTTACCTTTATTGTTATCGTAGAAACTAAAAATGTAATAATATACATGATGTTACATTTAAAAAATACAAATTTTATATTTTTTATATTTGGAACACTCTGTACCTTTTGAAAATAATTTTAAATTGTAGCTTTAGTAGTCCTCCAATGACCCCATCACTCACAATTTCTAAAAATCTAATCGTGTGGTTACAATACTCCGTGTCATCCGAGGTGAATAACCCTGTATAGGTGTAAGATGCAACATTATTGCAATAAGTTTTGACAATTGTGTAATAGTTATTTACAGTACAAGTGTGTTTATGAACATGATTACAACAACGAGTGTTAACGATTAGAACGACGAGGTCGTAGACCGAGTCGTTCTAATCACACGAGTGTTGTAATCATGTTTAAACGCACGTGTGATGTACAACGTTTTATCTACAACCGAAAAATAAGAAAATGCTGTTTTAATTTTCGTTTATTAGTCGCCCACCTTTAACACCTTTAACTACGACATTTGTCACATTTTTTTCTGAAAAGTCAGTTTGCCCTGTCAAGTAAACGCGAGCACTTTTTGACCAGAAAAATAATTTTAAAAATTACGATGACCGATGACCGTCTCCCTTCAGATGTAGTTGCCGCAGTACGTGCCACGGAATCATTATTGCCGGAAAAGTTAATTTATATTTATTATTAATGTTCGTAGTTGTTTTTCATTATTATAAAAACTAGTTGTGTTATAGATTCATAACACCACTAGTTGTGTTATGAATCTCATAACGTAACTGAAATACTAAAAAAATAGTGACGTAAAAACGTTATAACTAAACGGTTGTAGATAAAATATTTTATGGTACCTACAGTAGACAAATACATTGTTATAACAACACTAGAAAGGCAACAAAGCGTGTCGAGAAAATATAGATGCAAAATTTAGTTATTTTTTGCGTTATACACTAAATTATTTTTGCTTTACTATAAGCAGAGAAAAAAGACAAATCCTGTCTCACCGATTTAATAACCTACTTAACTTATGATTTTATTTTCAGGAAATTTAAAAGTTCGAGAACATCCGTTGCTAGGCCCTTATGTAGAAGATTTAAGTAAATTAGCTGTTACCAGCTACCAAGACATTTACGATCTGATCGATGAGGGTAACAAGGCCAGGACAGTGGCTGCAACGAATATGAACGAAACAAGTTCCAGATCTCATGCAGTTTTTACCATATTTTTCACTCAGCAAAGGTAACTTTTTAACACCATTTTTTCCCAAATATTGCCAATCTATTTATTACGTTATTAAAAATGGTCGTAAGGAAGAGTTAAATAACTTCATGATGTCCAAATTCAGCAAAGTAATTGTCAATGTAATTAATAAATTGTAATACCCAGGTGTGCATTAGAAGTTTCTAGAGAACTACAATTAGATATTGATCTAGATATTGGAGAGAGATTTTTTGTATATCATCGTTTCACAACGAGATATCAACTAAAAATATTTTTATAATATGGTAAATTCGAATCTCAACTAAAAATAGTTTTGAATATGGCAGCTCTTCCAGAAATACACAAAATCATCTTTCTTATTTTAAATGGATACCCCTATTTTTTATTACATACTTAAATTCTCTCTAGAATTTTATGAATTTTGATGTTAAACACTCTATACCTAACTTTAACCGTTTTTGAGAAAATATATGTAAAATTTTTAGACAAAAAGAAACTACCTGTCAAAAAATTTCTAAGCCAATTTTGCGCATACTGTATACTATTAATAATATTAACTAGATATCACTAAAGGACGAAAATACTAGATATATTTTTATAAATACACTTAGTTATAAGTTATAAGGAGGCAGTATTTATAATATATGAAATTCAAATAATTACTTTTCTGACAGAAGGAAATAAATTGTCTGATTGTTTGACACTTTCAAACTAGACAAAATCAAGAAAAATATACGTTTTGAAAATAAATCTTAAATAACTTAAAAACGATTTATTTTAGGTATAGGCTTGGTGCATCCTCCGCCGGTGCTGCCACCATCGGAGAATATCGTAAACAACTCTTATATACAAATACACGGGTTGAGCCACTTTTGAGACACACTCGGTATAATTACTCTAAAAGTGTTAAGAAGTATAATTTGTGAAAATTCTATAAATAAAAATAAAAATAAAATATTATGACAAAACCACGATTTCAATATTATTTTAATGCGATCAACATGAACTGTAACCGGGATGGCGTGAAATACATAGCGTAAATTTCTGATTTCTGCCGTATACAGCGCTGCGGTTAGAATTTGTTAAAATTAACTGAAATGCACCAAGCCTATAGAAACATGCTTAATTAAAAAAAAGTTTTCGGTAGTGAAATAATAAAATGGGGTTTCATTTGAAAAAAATGATTTATGATAATTCTTTCATCGCTCAATTCCATGACAGCCTATGGCCAATATTATATGATATTCGAACAATTTTAAGGGAAATTATAATAACTTTGGTTGCAGATCATAATATGACCACCAGCAAATTCCATAAGACGACGCATGGTGTCATTGATGACGTGCAACGAAAGTTGTTTTAATTTCCCTTATATCACTAAATTTGACGTTTAGGCTATACAAATTTTTTGACACGCAGTTTTTTCGTTCAAAAATTTTAAATAATTTTTTTCTCAAAGACGATTAATATTAGGTATAGAGCGTTTAATATCAAAATTCATAAAATTTTACAGAGTATTTTAGTGTTTAATAAAATATTCAGGTACCTATTTAAATTAAGAATGTTTCTAAAAAATGTCTATACCTATGTGGCGGATTCAACTCTCCAAAAAAATTCTATATGGATTTTTCGCCGCTACAAGAAAATCTACAAAATAAAATAGTTATTTTATGTAAACACTTCTGCGTTAATCCCAAACAATATATGGGTTTTTCTTGCAGTGGCGAAATACTCATATAGGATTTTTTTGGAGAGAAGAATATTTCTGCCAACTTTCGGTACTTCCGGAAATGCCACCGTATTGAAAATATTTTTATTCGCTAGATCTCATTGTGAAATAATGATGTACAAAAAATCTCCGATCTAGATATTGTAGTTCTCAGGAAACTTCTAATGGCACTCTCATCCTGGAACACCCTGTATATCTCCTCCTGTTGTCAGAAGCATAAAATAAAAAGAGAATATATTTATTGTATACAAGGTTTTTGAATAGGGTTTTCCAGCAGTATATTATCGTCGGTCTACAAGCATAACGCATTAAGTCCAAAGAAAAATATTTTTTTTGAGAATATGAAATGAATATGAAAATAATGAATAATGAATATGAAAAATAAAAATAATATAAAATGAAATTTCTCAAATTCTTTGAAAACTTAGAATGCAATATTAACCGATTTTTATTGTTTTAGGCTAGATGAAACAACCCAACTTACTACAGAAAAAGTATCGAAGATATCTCTGGTCGATCTTGCCGGTTCCGAACGAGCAGACTCTACCGGAGCCAAAGGTACTCGCCTCAAGGAAGGTGCCAACATCAACAAAAGTCTCACTACTTTAGGCAAGGTCATATCGGCTTTAGCTGAGATTGTAAGTAGTAAATGAAATATAATAATTATGCGATATTTTTAACGAAATATCTTTTTTAACTTTTACCCGTGATAGTCGGTAAGTATATACGTTGCTTATTTTTATTTTATTGTTTCGCCAGTTGAAGAAACTCAAATTAATTCACGTAAACGGTGTGTAGGCCTCCAAGAACAAGAAATCGAAAAAGGCTGATTTTATTCCCTACAGAGATTCTGTGTTGACATGGCTCTTGAGGGAAAACCTTGGGGGAAATAGCAAAACAGCAATGATCGCTGCCATATCCCCGGCTGACATCAATTATGACGAAACACTTTCCACTTTGAGGTAAGATATTATATAAATTAAGAAGTGGATTCGTAAATTTAGTATATTTTACTTGATCGTTTAAGCTGTCTCATTGACAGACGATTGTATGTATGGTGAATTTAATGCTATGCTTTTTTTTCAGTTAGTTTAGTAAGTGTAGTCTGTTTTTTTTAGAAATAGTATATACAGGGTCTTAAATAAGTACAAATATTTTTAGGGGTGTTACATTTCGACCACTGAAACACTTTGCACTTTTAAGACTCACTCATAATATTAGTGATAGTTATCTGAATATAGTCATTTGAATTGTGTACCTTGTGTACCTTGTTCTTACTATTAGGTACTTAATTTATTTTTACTAAGTGCGGTCCATTTATCATTAAATTATGTGCAACCTTTGAATAAGAAGGACTAAGGAAGGAGCATATCAAAAATCTTAGGTACACCGCGATGGGCCTCAAATATGGCCGACTTAAATTCCGGTTTATCAGTGCCGTTCTAATTTTATATAAAAAATGTAAAAGTATGATGTAGGGTAGATGTGGGGTAGACTCAATAATTTGTTATTTTATTTTACGTTGTGAATAAATGTTGGTAGTTATTAAAATTGTTATAAAAATATATAATTCTAATAAAAATAGATAAGTTATAATAAGTATTTATTAACACAAACATCCGATACGCTACTGAAGCAGGTAAGTCAAATTAACATATCAAAATTCTTTGACATCTGATCTTTGACAAGTAGTAAATAAAAGCTAAAATGCAAAAAAAGATTATAATTTAGTTAATTTAAGTGAATTTCATAAATGATCGGTTTACTACACGTATGTATATTATATAGTCACTTACTAGCGAAAAGTTGTTCCATTATTTCACTCAGTTTTTACCGAGATCTACCGCACGCTACACAACCAACTATTTTAGAGTCTTTTTCGATAAATCGCGATAATGTCACTGTTAATTTAAGTTCTGCCACAATTTCCATCTAGATTTACTACCTTTATACAACTCAGTAGCAGAATAAATAATAAATAACATAAAATAAGCTCCGTAAAGACTGAAAAATCCACAAAATTCCAAATCAAATTCAAATGTGTCAAATGAATCGTCAAACAGAACTGTCAAGGATCCCCACCCTAGAGAGCTTTTTCCGCCCACCATGCATGAATACATGGATAGCATTATGCTCCTTCCTTAGTCTTCTTATTCAAAGTGTGCAACGAAATGATACCTGACAGTGACAATTGTTGTTTGTTGTATTTTATTGTCATTTTTTGTGTCGTCTATCGAAATCTCCTGACTCGTTGAACTAACTTTACTATCATTATTTGCGGTAAACTTACAAGGTAAAATCAGGGTGTACAAAAATCGAGCCTCGCCCGCCCTCTTTTTTTTAAGACAACATGTACAACCGAACTAGGTTTCCTGAAATAATGTAGAATCATTTCTACAGTTCTTTTTGAAAATCTATAATACAAAAATTTTCCTTGTACGCGGTGGACGGTTTTTTTTCATTTCATGGCAGGTCTGTGCAATTGCGATTTTTAAATCGCAGCTTCTAATTGTAACCTGCGATTGCGATTTTAATATTTACCAAACCAATTATTTGTAAAAAATGCTTTTTCTAAATATGCCAATGAGCCACCCTCGTTCCATTTGAAAACATTGAAATATGATTAAAAATACGATTTGAGCATCTTTTAACTGGTATATTAAAGTTATAGGGCTAAACCACTCTTGTGAAACACCGGTATATTATGATCGTGGCCCTAGAAAATAATACCTGCTCTATGAGCAAATAATCAGAGAGAAAATTCAATCGCAGTTTATAAAATGCTTCAATAAACCACAAAATTACATTCGCAACAATATCGCAAATCGCAACTCCAAAAAACTCAAACTCACAGATAGAAATCACGGTCGCAGTTTACAAAATCACGATCGCAGCAAAATCGCAAATCGCAGATATAGTAATACTGGTTACCTAAATTGAAACTCGCAAATAGAAGAAATCGCAATATCAGTTTCCTATAGCTATGGGAGTCAATCGCAGATTGCGATTGCGATTTTAAAATCGGTGCGGTCGCATCGCAATTTGCGATTTCTTGCTCACCTCTAATAAGTACTTTATGCTAACTTAATTCTTCTGTTGATTTCCGGTAGTAGAGATCCCGAGCTGTGTATTATTTGTCGCAAATATATATATTCTTATTATTATTAATAATAAGGATTAATATACACTCACCGGCAAAAAAAACGGCCACTAAAAACTAGTCCCAATTTCAAAGTTGGATTTCTCGCGAACCACTCATTAGATTTTGATGATTTTTTTTTGAATTGTAAATTAATTCTTTCTTAACGGATGCTACGTCAGCAATTTTTATTCCGAATTTATTTTGAGCATATACAGGGCACAACAATAAGACGAAGTTTTTTGCCCAAATTTTGTAACACCCTGTAGGGTGCAGCAGCTGTAGTAGCTATTGCTAAATCAAATCACATTGTAGCCTCATTTTTTGTGAGCATTTTGATTTTTTAATCACGACATTACCTCTGTTTGTATTGAAGATACGCTGCTTTAAACCAAACGCCTCGAAAAAAGCTTTAAAAACGAATCAAACATCAGAACGTAGGTAAGTTTAACCTGAAAACTAACTAAAATATGAAAATTAAAAAAAAAAGGTAAAGACATTTTAAGGGACTAATATCTAGTGTCCACTCGCCTGGTGAAATTTCTCGTTTCCATATACCGATTCCAGGCATCTTGGACTGTTGTTCGAAATATATCCAGGGTATCGGAGACATAACGTTAACTTCGGCCATCCTCAATTAAAGCCATAATACGAGCAGCATCCGTTACAGATGGCATTTTTTAATTTGACCGTTTTTTTTCATATTGCAAATACTCATAAATCCTATGTCGCCTTGACTACTTACACATAAAACTTTCTGCCTGCGCAGCATTTTTCCGAGACGTTCGTTTTAAAACAGCATATCTCCAATACAAAAAGAGATAATGTGGTGATTTAAAAAAAAGAAAATGCTCACCAAAGATGAGGCTACAATGTGATTTAATTTAGCAATAGCACCGCTGCTGCACCCTACAGGGTGTAACAAAGTTCGGGCAAAAAACTTCGTCTTATTGTTGTGCTCTGTATATGCTCAAAATAAATTAGGAATACAAATTTCTGACATAGCATCCGTTAAAAAGGAATTAATTTACAATTTAAAAAAAAATCATCGAAATCTAATGAGTGGTAGTAATGGGTTGTTATTTAACTATCTGTTATTTTATAACAATTATTTATAAATAACATAACGCAACCGTTACTTTTAAAAAATAACAGATATAAAATAACGACACGTAGAGATCGGCCGCTCGTGAAAGGAAAAACGAAGTCGGCGCTCTGCATCACCACGAAATTCTATGCTGCTCGAAGCAATTCCAAAAAACAACTAGTATGGATGGAAAACATGTTATTTCGTCAACCATCGATACAGGCGGCGAGACAACGGACAACGGAGTGGGGAAAGCGCTACGGCGAACGTAGCTGCTTCGGTCGATACCGTCAATGGTCGTATTTACAACAGCTTAAAAATAATAGGATATAAAAGAAGCAGGTTTTTTGAAACAGTTGCGGGCATAACGCCTGGCGGTGGAGATAACAGGAGTGGGAAAGGAACGCTGCTGCATCGGTCGATTGTCGATGGAGGCTCGCAACGGGTTGGAGAAGCAGTCATTTTAGATATGTTGTTTTTCAACCTGTTACAAGTATAACAGGGCGGCGGACGAGATAATAGGTGTGGGAAAGGAACGCTGCTGCATCGGTCGATTGTCGATGGAGGTTCGAAACAGGTTGGGGAATAACGCATCAGTTGTTTTAGATACATTCTGTTTCAACCTGTTACGAGCATAACGGACGGAGGTCGAGATATTATGGCGCTGTATGTTCAGTACTTACTTATTAAGTTTCAATATTTAGAATATATTTATTCTGAAAAAATTTTCAGAATAATATTTTAAGATTTTTTAAAATGTATACAGGGTGTTTTGAAAAATCTGGTCATTGATTAATCACGATCCTGCTTAAAGCCCTTGGTAAAAAGCTGATTTTTGGAAAACGGATTGACTTAGTGTGTAGAGGTTCGATAAGAAGGATTTTTTTCGAAACTCGAATTTAAGGGGTGAAACTACTCTGAAATATTAGAATATTTTTTTATTTAAAAACCGGTGAGTTTTTCGGAAAAACTCTAAAACACGTATATTTTAATATGTTGTTTTACATATTTTAAGATTTTTTAAAATATATACAGGGTGTTTCATAAAAATATGACCATTGAGTAATCACTGTTCTGCTTAAACTGCTGGACGTTTAAAGCTGATTTTTTGCAAACGGATTGACTGTGGGGTTGAGCTTCGATAAGGAGAGGTTTCTCGAATCTCAAATTCCAACAGGGTGAAAAAACGCCCTCAAATATTACAATATTTGTTATTTAAAAACGGTTAGTCTTTCGGGATAACGCCTGACACGCATAATTTATTTTGTTTTTTTTACATATTTTGAAATTTTTAAAAATCATACAGGGTGTTCCAAAAGTTGAGTAATTGATTAACCACGATTCTGCTTAAACTGCTCGACGTTAGAAAGCTTATTTTTGGCAAATGTGAGAAAATTTTATCCAGTTTGTATGTTAATGGAAATTTTGTTTTGCTTTATCATCACCATTAGAAATTATTAATTGACGCGAACGAAGTCGCGGGTACACGCTAGTTTAAGTGTAAAATTAATTGAACTCTAGTGTGTAGTTGGTTTACTTATGAAGAATATACTACACATTTTCTTATATTGCTATTTTTTGACCGCAAATGGTAAAATCATAACTAAGAGCTTCTTGCCCGTCGAGTGAGATGCACCCTGTACACTGCTACGCAATTCAGGATCTACGCGGATCGAGGGGCAGGGCGTAGGTATATACTATAGACGAGTGGCCGAATTTTGGCTTTTTTTATATCGCAATTTGTAAACAGCGCTTATTTGTAAATAACTACCGTTTTTAGAGAGGTATTTTAGATAATAATCGATATTTAGAAATGTTTTGACACCCTGGAAATACTACCACCGAGCACGTCATTGTTGCAACTTGCAACTGCGTTAATACGCCTGGCGATGACCGTCTCATACTCTTTCAGATATTTAGCAGTAAAATAAAGAAACCTGTTATTTTTAAGCTGCTATTTTAAGCTGTTTTTTATAAATAACTATAACAGTTTCAACTGTTATCTAAAAATAACAGTTTTGCCCATCACTAATGAGTGGTTCGCGAGAAATCCAACTTTGAAATTGGGTCTAGTTTTTAGTGGCCGATTTTTTTTGCCGGTGAGTTTATCTAGGTGGTAATGATGAAACCATATATTATAATAATTATTGTTATTGTTACATAATAAAACACCCTAATTACGTAATTTTAATTGTCTGATGTGAAAATGAAGAAAAGTATTTTTATGGTCTTTATTTTTGGATCTTTCTTAGATACGCAGATAGAGCTAAACAGATTGTCTGCAAGGCAGTTGTTAACGAAGATGCCAATGCTAAGCTTATTAGAGAGCTCAAAGAAGAAATTCAGAAACTTCGAGAGCTACTCAAACAAGAGGGCATTGAAGTCCACGAAGGTGAGTCTAAAAATATTGTAATGATATTAAAACATAGTAGAAGGAAAAGAGTAGTTGCACTCTCCCAAATATTTTCTGTCGAATATCGGCAGATTGCAGAGCGTTTTAGAAAAGTTCCGTCCGTCGACCTGCGAGGTTCGAGCGTTGCGTCCCAGCACATAGACGGATTGACAAAAAATTAGTGCCTTACCTTGTGCTGCTATTAGTTGTAGTAATAATTCAAAAAATTGTACTTTGAGTTTTTTTGAGAGTCATTTGTGATCATGTTTGTCTTCAAGTTAATTTTCTTATTACTGATTACTACTTAATAATTTGATATTATTTTGATTTAAACCTCAATTTTTTTTATCGATTTTTGCTTACTGTTTAACGAACTGCGCCATCATTGAATAAAAATTTGCTAGTACTGAAGGTACCGAGAAAACTGGAAATCCCGGTTCCTTAGAGACATGGTACCGAAATTACCGGTTCCGAAATAACAGCTCCGGTTCCGGAAACGCTATAACGTACCATAAAGGTGAATCGCCCTATGCAGGAGCTTAAATAAATAGGTAAAAAACATATTTCTTGATAATATGGTAACTAGGGTTCAGAACTGGAAATTCCCGGTTCTTTTGAGATATCAAAGAACCGGGACTTGAAATTATCAATTCTCGGTTCTTTCGGTACCTTCGGGACTCAACAATAACTAAAAAAATATTCATTTATTACGTGAGAAAGTAGTGATGCTATTTCTCATTGTTCTTGCTTCTTTTCTCTTTTGAAATTTCTCTAATGTTTATTAGTAATTATTGAAGTTTAAATATGTGATATTTTAATATTTAGTACAATGTGTTGTTCAATGTATTAGTTATCCAATGAAGATCACCGAACTACTACATTACTACAAAACAAACACATTAATGTTAAAACTAAACTTGTTTTAAATTTAAAAAAAGTTGTAGAAAATCTCTGAAATAGATAATAATATAAAAATATGTCATCATATATTTTTTCCGCAATTTTTCCCATCAGAAGATTTTCAGATAAAGAAGAATTGTTACTTACACGAAATGTGAAAATATTCTGTTTTCAAGCAAATTTTTACTCGATGATCAATTTCTTTTATTTTATTTTATTGTGAACTCATATTTTCCTAAATACATCTTTGTGAAACTATGGCAAGTGCCACGATTATACTTTGCCTAGTTATAGATCACGACTATACAGCTACGTCAGTGGTCAGGGGACGCCAGAACAAGGTCGTATAAAGTGGCAAAAAAAGAACAATATAAGAAAGGATATGACAAGGAGTAAAGCTACTAGTTTCCTTATACTATGCTTAAAATATATATCAGTTTTTATTTTTGCAAAACATTTTCTAGTAGTTTTGGTACGTGATCAATGTCTATTTTATGATTTATAGTACGTTATTTGATATTTCTGGCTATTAATACAAAATATTATATAATTCTCAGTTTATCCTTCATGATCCTAAACGCTGTTAATTATTTTTTACATGATTTATTGACGTATTGTTTTAAGGCTACATATAGTTTTTTCCGAAATATTTATTTGGCAATAAATTATTAACATTTAGATAAGGATCGAGTGATACTACACCATTATACCGAGGGACAAGGAAATTATTGTACAAACCGTCGTTTGATTGAATTCTATCGAATAAATATCGAACGAGTACAATATATTATACAGGGTGGTCCGAACTGTATTCCGGAAATTTCGGCGGCAGATTCTGCACATAAAAATCAGTAAAAAAGTTCGGATAAACTTATGTCCCAAAATGTTTCATTTCGGAGATACAGGTTGTAGAAGTTTTTATTTCGATTATTTTCTAATAATTTCTGAACTAAATTTGATATTTGGATGAAAATTAGAATCTGGGGGTTTTTAGACATGAGAAATTTGATTTCGATGTCAGTATGACCCCTGTGTTTTAACTGATTTGATGAGTAATAACTTTTCGTCCGTACCTGTATAATCAACACCGAGTGAAAAAATTAGATTTCCGTGATTTTTTACGTAAAAAATATCTCTTGGTAAAAATTGCTACGAGCAACGGTATTCAAAATATTTGGAATGGAAATAGTCAATACATGTCATTATTGACAAAAAATAAATATGTTGACTAGATGATAAAAAAAAGAAATGATAAATTTGTAACCGCAGATGCATTTGTAAACTTTTTATTGTTTAAGCTAATCATGAATTTTTCTAGAAAAAAAAATACGATAAAACAGTTTCTGTTAAATCTTTGGACACAAAAACATTGCAAATTTATTATTTCAGACTAATAACTATCCAATCAACATGTATATTTTTTGTCAATTATGACATGTATTGACTATTTCCATTCCAGATATCTTGAGAACGGTTGCTCGCTGCGATTTTTACGAAGAGACATTTTTTACGTAAAATAAGGCGTAAATGTATATACATATATTTTTTCACTCTATAGTGTAATACAGGGACGGACGAAAAGTTATTACTCTTGAAAACAGTAATGGCGCCCCCTACAAATAGAAGTCATATTAATATCGAAATCAAATTTCTCATGTTAAAAAACCCCAGATACCAATTTTCATCCAAATATCGAAATTACTTCAACAATTATTTTGAAAAAAACGAAATAAAAATGAAACTTCTACACGAAACAAAGCATTTTAGGACATAAGTTTATACGAACAATTTTACTTATTTTTATGTGCAGAATATGCTGCCGAAGTTTCCGGAATACAGTTCGGACCACCCTGTATATTTTGTGAAACCTTCATACATCCAAAAACTTGTCTCGAACCATAGATTTAGGAAGAACAGATATCACATTATGCATTTTAACCCGATCAAACATTCGGAGGTTGACTACGTACTGTAAAAAGCAACTGAGATAGAGAAGGCGACATTGCCACATATCAAATTTGCGCCTATCTACTTAGTCTGATTTGCAGAAAAGGTGACTTTAAAACCTTCACCGGATATCAATAAATCTCACTTTCTTAATTAAATGAATAGTTTATTTTTAAAGAAGCATGCGTAATAATATGTTATTAAACAGAGGATATATGCGTTACTATTAAAGGACATGTTTACTGTTTAATGTGCTGAAACGTCTAGAACTATTGGCAACGTCGCTGCTAGTCTTCCAGAACGAAAATGAGCCGTCCGTCCCACCACCCCTCGCGAAGGCCCTTGGTCCATTATGGTCCATTATAGCGTACTACGTTTAGCTTACGGTGTGTTTGAAGTCGGAATCAAGTCCGAAGTGAACTTTTCAGTGTTTTTCAGCAGTTTTTGTTTTTGTTTAACGTACTTTTGAATCTGAGAATTTTCAATATGATACGACAGTGTCAAGTGTGTGGAAATATAAGCTCAAATTACCCGAATTTGTCTTTTCACAGGTAGGTACATATTTCCGCCGTAATTGTACGTAGGCGTCCCACAAGAGAGCTCCTTACAATTAAAATAATTTCTAATTATATTTGTTGAATTTGGATCTATTAAAACAAGAACGTAGTAGTCGGTAATTGAATTATAATTCGTCTCAATTACTACCTAACTGTTGTAGATCATAACAAATTTGAATATAAACGTTGCATTTGAAACTTTATTATAAGCCAGAAAGTGACATTTTTTTCTTAAAATTGCGTCATATTTTGGTCATTATATACAATATTCTAAAGGAATTTTGCTCAACAAATAAACAAAGGTGTTTACCCGACCTTTTTTGCATTTTACTGCTTTATTATAACTGCCCCTTCCGCCTTGTTTAGGCAATTTTTTACCACCGTACAAATACCTCTTCCTAGAGTTATTTGTACGGTGTGTTTATCTTTTTTTTAGAATGGGACGAACTGTAAATAATTTTTAGGCTACTAGTTTTATACATACCTATATAATAATAATATAACGGCTGTATATATATGTATATGTATATATGTATATATATATATGTACATACCTATATACAAAATGACCCAGGCCTCCAAAAAAACTTTTTATCTATTACGTTTTTGGTTTGTGATTTTTATTTCAATTTTTTACATAAGATGGGGGTCATTATAGCGCACATTTTCAAAATATTTTTGTCAACATACAAGGTGATTCAAACCGCATACATATGCTTAATACAGTTCATGAAGATTGAGACATTTAACTAAAATTTGATTGTCTGATGAAGCTACCTTTAAAAGTAATAGGTTTGTAAATAAACGTAATATTCATTATTATGCGACAGAAATCCGATACTGTAGCACACAGATTTGATACTTTTAATGATAAATGCCTTCTATTGAGAGACTAAAAGGTAATTGCCTCGAATCAGAGCCATCATAATACAAGAAGAAGACCGAAAGTCAAATCTTGTCTTATATTTTCAAAAAAACACAATTTTCTCATTAAATATTGATTTTAGGTATAGGAAAAGATATTAATAATACAAGATTAAACAACTATTACATAGTACTTTACAGGAAGCTGATTGCGAACTAACTAAATCGTTACTAATTACTAATTTTAAAAAGTTCTTTTTAAGATCAAAAAAGGTAAAACTAAAACCTAAATTATCATTTGAGATTAATCGGGAAGTTCTAAATAATGTTGCCTATTCTAAACAAGAAAAATGTATTTATAAGTTTTATAACATCTCTAATTAAATTTGGACGAAAATAATATTTCTGTTTGCTGTAGGTAATTTTCTCAGGGAAAATACGTAAATAAAAATGACTTTTTAAGTAAAAAAAAGTCAAAAGGACAAGTTATTCCAAAAAAGGACTGTCCTTTTCAAAAAAGGACAGGTGGCAACCCTAGGTATTTCTGGAATGGAAATTTAATGGCAAATCTACAACTTTAGTTTGAAAATATGTTCCGGCCCCCTATGTTTACAAAAATGTCTAAAATGTGCTTTACCATTGCCTCCATATTCTGAAAAAAAATTGAAAGAAAAGTCACCAACCGCAAACCTAATATTGAACTGTTTCGGAAGCCTGAGTCACCCTGTAAATATTCAAAAGTAACTGAAAGTTTATATAGAATTAACTAAAAGTTTAAATTGAAAATCGACGTTGGAGCGATTTTCGAAAACTACCTACTAACGTTTCAACATAAGTATATGTGGGATATTAATTATATTATTATATTAGACCTTATAACAAAACTCATCTGACGAAAGTGTTGTAGTTATGTAGTTATTAATATGGAGTAAAAATTTTACTAATTACTTTACTTTTAGTTTACTAATTAAATTCGTTCCAAAAAACGATACGCCACTGGCCATTAGAACAATCCAAATGCGCCTAGTTGCCGGGGTCGGAAATTTTAGACTTCTCTCTCTCTTCTGTCCTTGTTTGACACATTGGAATGTTTGATACACTACCAACGAGTATTTATGAATGAGATGTTCGGTCTATCTTTATAATGTCTTTGTCTCGAACGTACAGTTGCAAGTATCATTGAATTTGAGACATCTCAAAAATGTTAACGATGAAAGGTTTGCAGAATAGTTTCCAGATACCATTGTTTTTGCTCTGAAGCAAATAACTCTTTCCAAATAGATTTACATTTTAAATCTCTCACAATTATCATCAAAAAATTGTTATTTATTAATAAATTATTTTGTCATCTTGATGAAAAACAATAATGAAATATTTTAGGTATTTAAAGAAGCAATGGAATGACGTTTTTATAAATATTTTGGTGTAACTCTTTATATATCTCTAGCTTATAATATTATTTACAAATTTATGAATTAAACTTTTACCGTCACCAAGAGATTAAGTCGACTTTAATAGAAAAAATATTTGCACACTCGTGAATATTTAGTTTTTCTTTCCGTTTTACTTTTTAAAGAGATGTTTGTGGTTTATTATATTTTTATTATACGCCGCCAGGGCCCGATGGCAAAGTTATTTACGAAAAGAAAGAACAGCGTAAGTACTATTTGCTTACAGATCGCGGCTTTTGGCACCCCCAAGTAGCCAGGGCGACGAATTCACATGTGTCGTATTACACAAGTTGTTTCCGTTGTTTTTATGTTGTTGTTATCTTGTAATATGTGAAATTGGCAACAGTTTTATTTATTTACATAATAGCTCATATATTAATATAAATATAATTTTATTAGAATAAAAATGTAAGTATTAGATTATTACATTAATCACCAGAGTTTCTGCTGATTATAAGTTGCTAAAGGTAAATTCAACTATATTCCGACTAGTAATTTGATTTGTAATAATATGTAAATAAATTAATAAGTAAAAACAAGAACTACCAATTTCTGTCTTTAATTTGAAAGAGCCTTTGTATTTTAAGAGCTGATTTGGAAGCTTAGTAATCTAGTAGGATTATAAAGAATATCATATTTTTCAAAACTTCAATCTATACATTTTTGATGTATTATTTACCTATCACTTGAATATAAGGTAAAAATCGTGAAATGATTAAATATAAGCGATACCAATTAAACTTTTAGTTACGTAATCGGGGGCGCGATTTTTAAATTCAGTGTTGCCAACCCTGGATATATTCGGCGCCGGGCTGACTACCTGGAATTTAAATATCCCGCTGGGAATTCAGATGGTAGCTCTGTTGTAAAAAATGTCAAGCTGTCATATTTATTTATTTCCTCACACTGTTATTCGTTTTGACACTTTAGTTTTGTGTTACGAGTTTTTGGTTTAAATGAATTGTGTTGTGATATTTTAAGCTTAAAAAATTTTACTAGCAGACCTTGCAGTCGAACGCTGTTCATTTTCGAACATATTTTAGTGCGAAGTGTACGAGATAGCTTAATAGTCATTGCAAAAACTCATCGCAACCTTATTAGAATATTTTGAACGGTAAAGCTGTAGCAATGGCCCTTTATGTCCCTTAAGTGCTGTTAAGGAGGTGAGTTTTGTTGTTAATAATAACTGTTTATATATTTATAATTAATTTTTTCTTAAAATATATTGATTAAAAGAAAATATGTAAAAGTGGGCCACGCTGTGCCGGTTAAGCTTAATCACGTAACTAAAATTTTATTTGGTATGATCTATAGATTTTCACATACTTCATCTATAGATTACTTTATTTAAATACTTCATCTATACATCTATAGATTATTACATACAATATATTTATGTTAATATACAAAGAAGGTAGTTCGTTCCACTTTTAGTATATATGGTTAGGGAACTTGCACAATTTTCGTATTAATAAATTAATTAAAAGTAAATCTTAGTGCTTCTAAATAATAAATACTTTCATTTCATACCTAGAGCTGACCGTGAGATTACACAGCATTTCTCCGTTAGATATAGTATAATATATTTTATATCTATACAGGGCGTCCCAGAAATAAGTGCAAATATTTTAACTGGTAGTATAGTTCAACCCCAGAAACACGCCTAAGAGGTTTTTTTCGCGAAAAAAAAATTTTGAAAATTCGAAATTTTTTGAAAAATTTTTTGGAATTTTTTTTAGTTTTTAGTTAAAAAACATAATTTCTTGATAATATGGCAACATAGGTATTGGATTAAATTTACAAGAAAAAAAATCCAGAAAAGATCCAGTGGTTCTCAAAATTTTAGCAAAAAAACATTTTTTTTTTTAATTTTGAAAGTAAAATAACTCCGTTATTTTGGACTTATTTGAAAAACAGTAAAGAGAAAATACGTTTCTTTTATCGAGATCTCCCACCCCTTAAAATATTTGCACTTATTTCTGGGACACCCTGCATAATTTTTTCCATATTCACTATGTTTCCTTGGGTAGTCTTAGTGGCAAATTACCATAAACTAAAAAATAATATTACTGTATTTTTGAATACCTCAAGTCGTAAAGAATTGATTACTAATGTTAAGCCTAGGCAATCTAGGCATGCAGAGGTACAAACAACATTGAATCGTTTATTTCTTTTGATATTGAGAAATATTACTTTTTAGGAAGATTTATAAACTTTTTGGTCTGGGATATTCTTTCTCTATATGTATTTCATTCAATCCTTTTTCTAATTATGAATTTCTTCCATTAAAGCGTCTTCTTGTAATTGTAATGGATATTTGGTTACATTGAGATTGGTTCATCTTACTTGTTTACAATAAAGTCAGTTGGGATAGACATCCAAATCAAGAGTAATTTTATTCTCGAGTTGCTTTGCTTTAGAAACTCTATCTTGTTAAAAAAATACCTATACACTGTGTCAATTTTAAAACTTCCCACCCTTAATATCTTTCTTGCAGTTAAAAATATGAAAAATCGGAAAGACATGTCAATTTTCTTTGTAAGTGGTACACTTTAAATAAATATTTTTAGCCTTTTTCTTTTAACCCCCTAGGAGGGGTAGATGTCACCCTTACAGTCTTAAATGGGAATGAGGGTCAAGTAGCACATCGTTTTGAAAGAGCGTTTAATTATCTTTTCAGTGGTACCCTACTTTGCAAGATCACCGGATTTAACACCCTTAGACTTTTTTCATTGGGAACATCTTAAATCCATTGTTTATAAAACACAACCTACTGGTATTGATGATCTTAAAAGACGAATTACAGTAGAATGCCGGTCAATTACCGGTGAAGTTTTCCGAAATGTTAGGGAGGAGTTTGAAAACAGACTTTATTATTGTTTACAGGAAAATGGACAACATTTTGAACAATTTATAAGATAGAGCGTAAGTGGTGTAACATAATCTTCTAATCATTTGTACTACAAGGAGATTTTTTTCCGAAAAATGCAGGCATATTAATTTAATTGTTTCTGCAACTTTGAAACGCGATTATTCGGAAACCTCTGGACAAAAAGCAACATTGTAGGAGATCACTGAAAAGAGAATTAAACGCCTTTTAAAACGATGTGCCACTTGACCCTCACTTCCATATAAGATTATAATCGAGGGGTGGACTAGAGGGTTGCAGTCATTTAAAGTATCCCCTTACAAATAAAATTGACGTCTTTCCGATTTTTTATATTTTTAACTGAAAGAAAGATATTCAGTTGGTTTATTTGAAATTGTTACATGCGGCCAATAACGACAATTTGACTCGAAATACCAAGTGTGTGGTACTAAATTATTCGTAAAAAATGCTTTTCCATATTTGCTAACGAGCCACACTTGTTCCATTTGATATAATTGAGACATGAAAAATACGATTTGGGCACCTTTTAACCGGCCAGGCCAAGACACGAATATTAGACGATCAAAACTGTTTTTCCATTCCAGGGTTTTGTATTAGTATTTTTAACATAGCCATGAACACTCTAGATTGAAATTTAAAATACGATTTGTTTTTAAGCGGAAATGTCAAAAGTTAACATATGATACCTCATTCTATTCAGAATGTCATTTTCTATCGAATAAAGTAAAAAAATGCCGAAGGTGAAAAAGGCGAAAACAATTAAATATGTCAATCAATCCTAATTTATGTCATATACTAACATACCTAATCTCGTTTTTTTATCTGAAAAAATAAAAAAGTTATAAGGGTGAGCCACTTTTGAGACGCACGCGGTATAATATAAGTAACAGTTTCTCATTGTAATTCAAAAAGAAGTTGTCTGTAGACTATAATTAAATGAAAATTTTTTAATTATATATTTATTTAAAAAAAGGACCACTCCGAATTTTTTGTTTCTTGATTTACTTAGGGAGTTAAATGGTAGACATATCAAGCTTCTATTGTAACAGATTCATAAATCAATAACATCTTTATCGGATAAAGATGTATTTATTAATTTATAATATTACTTTTTTACTACATTTAAATGTATACGCAAGTTCCCTATTTCCATAAATATTTTTATTGTATACTACCGTTAGAGTAATATTTAGGTATATTGAATCTTGAGCTGTCGCCAATTAAAAAATGAGCAGCTTCAAGCGTAGCTTCTTAAAAATCCAATTGGCCAAATGTTTATTTCGAAATTGAAAATTTTTACCGTAAAAGCGCAAGCTTGAGAATGTCGATTGTATATTTTTAACTACAGCGATATGATTTATTCTACACGATTAATGCAACGCAAAATCTCCTTCTAGTGATTATTATTTTACGTCTTAAATTAGATTTTTAAAAATGAATTAATTATAGGTGCTGAAAACGGTATAATCGATAGAAACAATAAAGAAAATGAGAAGAGGGCTCGTACACAGTCTACCACAGCCGAGGAGGCGGTAGATCAGCTGCAAGCTAGCGAAAAGCTAATCGCAGGTAAATGTGACATTTTGTATAGAGGTTTGCGAATTTATTGCAATAAACATTATTATATTCTAAAACAACGAACAAATTGCCACATTAATCATTGTTCAGCTCTATTTAGGAAGTTTCAAATCCAACTTTAACTACATCTATCTATACAGAAAACTTTATTTTTGTTTCGGATCGCTCTATCAATTGTCATATTTGATCTGATCATTGGAAGGCGGGCAATCCGAAAGGAATACTGCACATAGGGCTATAATATACACACATGGCCAAAATTATTGCATATAGCGATATTTTTATTTTATTTTGGAGCTAATATGATTCTTTTTATATTTTTGGACATATTGGCTTACTACACGACTAACTAATATAAAATTAAAAATTTAAGTGCAACTAGGCTGTTATTATAATTTTATTTCATAATGAGTGAAAATCAACAAAAACAAATTTTATTTTAAACAGAAAATATTGAAAATAATTTTAATTATTTCTCACAACTAATAATAGTCTGTATTGCCTCCTCGAGCCTTAGTGCAAGCTGTGAGACGACGTGGCATGCTCTCAAGTTGTCCAGAAGATGTTGAGGAATGGCTTCCCATGTTTCCCGCGCAGCAATTTTCAATTCATTTAAGGTACAAGGGGATCATTCCTTTTGGCAATATGGCGTTTTAGCATATCCCAAGCATGCTCGATCACATTTATATCTGAAGACATCGGTGGCCACCACAATTTTCTTATACCCCCTTCCTCACAAAATTCGCGAACCACTAAAGTGCGATGGGGAGGAGAATTATCGTCCATGTAAACAAATTCATCCCCCACTGCCCCTCGAAATGGACGCACAATAGGCTCTAAAACGTCTCTAAGATATGAGACACCTGTCATTGTGCTATCAATAAAAACAAGAGGAGTTCGAGCTCCGTGCATTATACCTGTCCATACCATAATGCTTTCCCCTTGAAACGGGACACGGGGTTGAGCTGCATTCAAGCGTGCTCGTCTTCCAAATGCTTTCCAGACCAAAGTTCGTCGCGAGTCTGACACTAGGCCTATTCTTGTTTCATCACTAAACATGACGAAATTCCAATTAGGTCCATTTGCTCTCATCTCCTCAGCCCATTGTAGTCGCGTAATTTTGTGCTGTAAATTAAGCTTCGGAACACGTAAAGGCCTCCTTAAATGTAATCCTCTGTCATGGAGTCTTGTTGCTATGGTCTTTCTTGAAACATTTACACCTTCAAGGCGAGCTAACTCGTTTTTAATAGCAGTACTAGAAAGCAGGGGATTGCGTCGTGCAATTAGGGATATTTGACGGTCCTGCACAGCAGTAGTAACTCTCTTTCTACCTCTTCCAGGCCGGTCTGTAACCTCGTTTGTCTCCCTAATTTTTTTAATATTCGCAAAACATCGCGTTGGTTAACTCCTACAATTTCAGCTATTGCAACTTGCCGGTAGTCCTGTTGAGACAGTGTTACTATTCTGACTCTATTAAACTGTGAAATAATGTTTCTAGGCATTTTAAGGCCAAAACAATGGCCAAATTTCTTCTGAAACCCAAGAGACCACAAATCGAAATGTGCAAGAATTTGTAATAATATTGGGTAAAAACGATAAACATTGTTTGCCATATCCATTTTAATAAAAAAAATGTTCATTAAAGATTATCAAAGCTATGTAGTATAAAAAAAGATTCTTTAAATTCCTTTCCGTATATTTTTAAACGATATATGCAATAATTTTGGCCATGTGTATATCTAGGCCTAAGATATCAGCCAACCTAATTAAGGTATAAGGCAGCAACATGACTTGTCGTGTTTGTCGTAAAACAGCCACAGTAGGCCAGACTTTACCTAAATTAGGTGCACATAGTGTTACATAACATGCATAATTTAACCCACCCTCTTAACAAATTTTTGATTGTTGTGTGAAGTGTGGAGTTTTATATAAAATTCCAATTAGTTTATAATTTAAATTATTTTATATAAAATTCCAATAATGAATTTAATAAGAAAATTATTTAATTTGGCAATATATTTGTTCATAGCTTTTTCTTAATGATTTACATTCTTGACAGAAAATAGGGCATATTAATTTTATTTAAATTTTGGGGACTTCCGAATGAGTAAGTATGTAAATTTTGAGAACCGCTTCAAAAAAATTAAGATAGTTATTTATTAAAGTTTGAATTTACATGCCTACTTATAACGTTTCTAACTTTTGTACGTGTGTTTATTTTGTAATAAACTTTATTTGTCTAAGATCGATCCATACAATTCATTATTTTATACTGTATTTTTATCTTATTGAAACGCTATTTTTCATCACACAGAATTGAACGAAACATGGGAAGAAAAACTTAAGAAAACAGAAGCAATTCGTATTGAACGCGAAGCAGTTTTTGCTGAGATGGGTGTAGCAATTAAAGATGGTAACACTGTCGGTATTTTCTCTCCTAAGAGAACGCCGCATCTAGTTAATCTAAACGAGGATCCGTTCATGTCCGAATGTTTGATTTATTATATAAAGGTGTGAGAATATTCTCTTACATTCGATTAGATTTTCCAAACTATTTTTTCTAGGATGGTCTTACTCGTATCGGATCCGAAGAAGCCAATTGTCCTCAAGATGTGCAACTGTCTGGTTCGCATATAAAAGCCGAACATTGTATTTTCGAGAACAAAGATAAGAAAATCACTCTGATACCTCTAAATGGCGCTCTCATCTATGTTAATGGCAGAGAGGTATGTTTTGATAAAATAAGAGAAATTTGAATAATTTAAGTTCCAATGTATCAATAAAACTAAAATGTTTGTAGATTACCGAACCGATAGTACTAAAAACCGGGTCCAGAGTTATTTTGGGCAAAAACCACGTATTCCGTTTCACTCATCCTGACGAAGTGAGAGAAATCAGAGAAAAAAGCGCACCTGCCGAGACAGTTGATTGGAATTTTGCTCAGAACGAATTACTAGAGAAACAGGGAGTGGATTTGAAAGCGGAAATGCAAAAGAAACTGGTGACATTAGAAGAACAGTATCGTAAAGAGAAGGAAGCAGCCGACCAACTATTTGATGAACAAAGAAAGAGCTACGAAGCGAGGATCGACGCACTGCAAAAGCAGGTTGAGGAACAAAGCATGACGATGTCCATGTATAGTTCTTACACCCCTGAAGATTTCAACAATGAAGATGATATATTTGGTAAGCATTTTCTTTACATGCGTGCGTGTTGTAGTTTTTTCTGCTCTCTAGTTGCTTTTTGTAGTTGCCACAATATAGGCCAGTGGCGGACCATGTATATATTTGCTTGAATGTATAGGAAGTTACTATCAAAATAAGATTATTATATTAGTATTATTTATTCTTTGTATTTTTTTTTGCTTCCGACGACGGAAAGAGATAAACTTTCTGAAACGTTAAGCATTTTTTGTTGGTTAGGCAAATTTGTTTATCAGTAAACTTTAGTTTGCGTTGGATTAACGCCAGCAATGTTTACAAAAAATAACTTTTTATTTTGTAGATATTCTTGAAGTGGCGAAATACCCACATAGGATTTTTTTGGAGAAAGCAAAATAAGATTAGTGAAACATCAGTTAGAGTAATTTTGTTTTTTTTATCAATTATCATTAAATATGCAAAATAATCTTTGCTTGTTAGAGGATATATAGACTAAAAGTTTTGCAAATTACAAATAATATTATGTTATTCAAATCGTAAAAATCGTAAATTTGGTAAAGTCTTAGTGGAGATCATTGGGGTTTTTCTCGTTTCGGCTGATGCTGAAACAAAATGTTTAAACCGTTAGGCTCAAGTGTCTTTTATTGCATTGCAGTCAATATTTATTTTTTTTTTATTCGTGCATTCTATATTTTCAATTTATTTTACTGTTTACTGCAAACCTTATCTTTCTGCTGTCTCACTCCTTTATTTATTGAATCAATATTAGCAGCACGTTTAAAACAATAATTTAATTATTTATGGATTGCTTATGAAACCATATTTTTTCTATTTGGTTCATTATTTCGGGTCGGTTTTTAGACAGATTTCCTCATTTCTTATTAGAATGTAGAATGTTTAGGAGGGGTGTTAATCGCCGCGCCCTTACAGATTTATTGTGCGTTCCTCTTTTTTGAGTTATAACGAGTTATAACTCATCAAACAGTCTCAGGGGCAAAAGCCAATATCTGAGACGGCTCCACAGAGGCCAGCTCTCCATCTTCGACAACAGCCGTACCAAAGTTTATGGCACGAACGGTTGTCGTCTCGGCGCACTCAGTGATAAGGTGTTCTGGTGTTTCCTTATTTTCTCTACAGAATCTGCAGTTGCAGTTGTTTCTCAGCTTCTATCTACCGAGGTGTTCGCTGAGGAGAGAGTGTCCTATTAGAAACCCCGTGACAATCCGAAGATTGTTTTTACTTAAATGAAGGAAAATCTTTGATTAAAGAAATCAAAGATTTTCCGGTCGTAAGTTCTGAGGAATTTTTCAAGTGTCTTAGACCGTTGGGGAATTCCCATTCCAGGTTACGGATGGAGTCTTCCAGGTTCTTTATTTCCGCTTTAAGTTGGTTTCCGCGTGGAAAGATCGTTTGCTTTTTCATTGCCTTCTATCCCTTGGTGAACAGACACCAAGAGTAGGAGGACTTCCTAATTTGTTCAGTTTCTCTGGTTCTCTTCAGGCATTCTGTGGCCAACTTCGAATTGATGGTTACCGAGTTTATCGTTTTTAGTGCTGCTTGTCTATCGGATAAGATGGCCGTTTCCTGTTTTCGATAGTTCCTATCTAAGATAAATTGTACGCATTTTTCGATAGCGTAGATTCTTATTAAAAAAAAATAAATTAGCTGCTTCCTGAACCGTCAGATACATCTTGTTCCGCAATTATGAAACCGCAATTATAGGAATTGCTTTTTCGGGGGTAACCGCTAGTAAATCTAAGGACTTTTATGTACTAGTTTTTGAAATGCTTACTATTAATAATCGAATATAAATCGTTCTTTAAATATATAAAAAGTTTCTAATATTTAAGAAATTTAGAACAAACATTCGGAAGAAAATAGAAAAAACTTTTAGAAGAAAAATACGATTTTTTTTCTTCCTCAACTTTTCTTAAATATTGCTTTTACTTCCTTTGGCCTTATTTCCAAATGATTAGTTTGATGTTTTATTTTATATCTCTCATATTTATACACTATTTCGTTGTTCGAACCGCCACTGTCCTACTATATGAAAAAAAAAACTTTTAATTAACTACCTTTTTAAAGAAGGTAGTCATTGTAGTTGCATGCGTGGCTTAGTCAAGCTTCAATATACCGAGTGGCACCTGGCTTTTTCAGTGAACCCTCTGTTTGATGCAGAGTGCAACTGGGCGGAGAAGGATTTCGAACTGGCGGCTGTTGCGTGGCGCAAGTGGAAACATCACCAGTTTACTTCGCTAAGAGATGACCTTTGGGGTAATGCCATTTTCCTGAAAGAGGCCAATGCGATTAGTGTAGAACTGAAGAAAAAGGTAAAAAAGGCTCATTTCAATAGATAACAAATTTATTAACAAACGTTTTGGTTACCGGCAATGTAATAATAATTATTTTTTTTTTATTAAAAAATGCATACGTATTTAAATTGATAGAAGAATACAAGAAAGAGAAAAATATATTTTATCGAAAATATATCTAAATTATGCCCATTTGAACCGTACAGACAATTTGTTGGTAATTGTAATATTGACTATATTAAAAGATTAATTTTTAGTCAAAACCACCCAGTGATTTTGAGAAGTACTGAAGTAACGAAAGGAAATTGTTTATTAATGATGCCACATAAAATCTGTAATACAGATAATGTAATTGTCATTCATCATGTTTGGTCGTCAGAATGATGTTTGATCGTATATGTAACTACAGACTATAAATTGGAGGGAGGAGCATCATCCCCATAGTTCTATCTTAAGCATCATAGTTTGTTCATAAAAGTCCAAATCTCTAATCGATAAAAAATGTTAAAATTATTTTTTTCCATAGCAACTGTTAAAATTGCCTTATATCCATGATACAAAGAATACAAGGTATGATATTGCGCAGGTTGGTCACTACGTCACAGGTGATAAACGGCACCATTGGTCGGCAAGCTCTGCGATGACACAACAGATTGTGTCATCTGTGAAATTTGATTGTGTCAAAATGTGAAAATAATTTTTCAAATGTCAAGCTCGATGTCAAAACATAACTTTAGGGGTTATGTTCTAATTCTTCCCTATTTTAGGTCTTTTTTTATTAGTGGCAATTGAACAATATGGATATTTTTTTGTATGGCGTATGACGTCACAGGTGGTATGCGCAAACTTAACGAAATTGGAGCCGCTATCGATCATACCTTGTTTTCTTTGTACCATGCCTTATATCTATCAAAAATAGTAGATAAAATAGTACTGTAACCGCAAGGGTAGATTAAATGATACTTTAACTGCGAGGATAGGTTAAAAACTTTATTTTTTAAAACGCACGTTTTTTAATTGCTTCCATTTTTGAAAATTTTTGTATTCTTTTTCATAAGCTATTCGGGATTTAAATGAAAGTAGTTTGAATATGGCGTTTCTCGCCTCAGCCTGAATATCTGTTGGTAATTTAGTTATTTCGTTTTGAGCCATTTCTGGCTCCAATTCAATCCGCAATCGACACGAAAGAGAACTTAAAGAGAATTAAAAAATATTGACTCAAAACTGACAACTAAAGAGATAGCTTTATTTATTTGTCAAATTACATAGAAACCAACGCCAACCCAGCACAATATTTTTTCTACTCGTAATAAATTCCTTGAAATAATAATTTCTGAATATTTTTTAAAACGTAACTCGCTATGGAAAAAAATATTGTTTTATACACGACGATAAAATTGCATTATGGTCTCCCGAAATTAATTCACTCGCGATTTCATCGCTCGTGAATTAATATTTTCGGTCGACGGTCTTGTATAAAAAATAACTATTTTTATTTGAATGTATGAAGTCTTCAAACAGCTTTAATCACAATCATTTTAGTCTATGGCATAATACGACACTGCAGTTTTTTCCGAGAGATTGTATTTGTACAAATTGATGTTAAGATGTATTTTGTAACTTTAATTTACTCTGTATAAGCGAATAACTTTGTAGAAAAACGCCAACTGAAAATTTTTATATGCACAACCACTGTTTAAGTGTATAAGAACCTATCATCTGCAGAAGTCTTTGCACTTTTTATTTTTAATATGTATTGTACTTATACTTTAGGTTCAGTTCCAATTTACACTTCTCACGGACACCCTCTACTCACCTTTGCCTCCCGATTTGAAGCCCGCAATAGACTACGATCAGGATGAGGATTTCTCAATCGCTCGTACAATTGTAGCTGTGGAAGTACAAGATTTAAAAAATGGAGCAACGCATTATTGGTCTTTGGATAAATTGCGGTAAGCGTTTTTTAAATCATATATTTTATTGGTGTATGAAGTTCTAAAAATAAACATAATATTTAATATAATTATCCATTACATATGAAGGGTCCCGGGGAAAAACATGATAAGCGCCAGTTTCTTAGTTTTTGGGTTTTATAATATTATAGTAGGTCTAACTGGTCCCTACAAAATGTAACAAATATATTGCAAAATTGCAGGCTTCGGACGTCTACACCATTGCCGTGATAGGTACTATGCCAGTACAGAAACATATCATTTGTTTGTCATTCATATGTTAATTATTTTGGAAATTGGCTAAAATTAATACAAAAATATACGGGAAGTCCCAAATTTGAGTCTCATCATTGAGATCTCTTGAGTCAAGAGCGTTATCAATATTTTAGCGGTGAACGCCTCCTCGTGTTAGACAGTACTGCGCGAAGTAATATGAAATATTATTTTATAGCGGTAGAGTTTATAAATCCTACTTATAAAAACATAAAACATATAAGCTCGCGCGAACAATCACCGAACCGTCGAATCGTAGTAAGAGGCGGTCGCTATGCAGTGACGTCACTAATGACACTCCCGGCTCCTAATAAGCCCACTCTACGAGCTCGGTTAAAGCGAGGCAAAGTTGCGCAATTTGATGCTGATGAAAATACCACCTTAAGAGTTAAAAAATTCCGAATAGAATACTTCTAAGGTTTTACAGAAAAAAAAAACAATTGTGATATCATTATTTTTCTTATAAAAAAATAGTAATTCTAATAAAATAAATTAATTAACTTTATTATTATATTACAAATCGTTAATATATTATTGGAACAACTTGAGTAAAATTGAAAAAATTGACATTTTATAATTAGCCTTGACAGTAGTGACAAAGGCGATAATAAAAGTATCATGAAAAAAAATAATTAAAAACGGTAAACAAATTTTTACTACTTAATAACAAATATATTATTACTATTGAATTTTTTTTTGACTCTGGGAACTATCGCACGCTGCACGATTTTTGAGAGAAAATTACACAAAACACAGAGGAGTACAACGCACTTGAATAAAAACATTTATAACAAAACAGCATTTGACAAAAAACATGTTTCAAAATGTTGTTGTTTCAAAATGTTTTTCTATCCGTAATATATAAATATAAAAATCAAACGTATTTTAAATATACACTACTCAAAATAATTATCGCATATTTGAAAGAAGTAATTATACTCTGTTTTTTTTTCTCAGGTAAGATTTCGACAGACGATGACAGAAGAAAAGCAGATGACGTCCCATACCAATCTATTTATTTTACTAAAAAAAGTTTCTAATAATTTTTAAGTTAACTATGGATGGGTTTAAATATAAATTCGTCATGCGTCGTCTCTTTTTGTTTTTAACCAGTTTTATTGGTTTATTTCAAAAACGACAGATCGTATTTCAATTTTATTGGTTTAACGGAACGATGAACGACAAACGGACGCCGATGCGTATGAATTCGCTTTTAGATTTTTGACGCTTGTCAAAGTCTTGTCAAATTAGAGGTTATAATTTTGTGTCAACTTTTGTCAGTTTTGTCAAATACCCTGCGCTGCCCTGCGTTTTGGAAGATGATGCATTTTGATTCGTGTTATTACGTGTGTTTTGTGTCTTTTGAAGTCAAGTGGAGAAAAAATCGAGTGAAAATTAACTGTAGACCCAGAGCACAGTTTATGGTTAATACTCGCTGCCCAGGCAAAAAGTCTTATACACCAATAAAGTTACCATCATTAAAGTTCGTATACCATCTCGTCGTAGATAAGTGCATTTCGAATATGGTAGAAGGACCATACTGAACACGTACTAAAAACTGGAGTAGCTGTAAAATATCGACATCACACGATACGTAAATAATGGATTTTAGTACTGCACAAGAAAAATAATGCCAAAGGTACTGGTTTAAAAAATTAAGATTAAAGTTAGTTAATCAACCTTTAAGGTACCTATAAAATTTGGTGTGTTATTAATAATAAAATAGTTTGTTTTATTTATGTTGTTTTATTTATTCCTGCGGAATATTACAAATTTGTATTTGTACATAAGTTATATTGATAAATATAATCATAAATGCGGGAAGTTTCATAAAGCTTGAAAGTAAGAAATAGTACTTTTTATATTTTTTTGGTAGATAGTGTTTGTTCTTGTTTGTTTTGAATTAACACATACCGTTTTTTATTAAATTAAATAACTCGATTAAATTTTTTCAGTTTCATACAGTTTTTTTCACAATATTTTGAAGTAATCACTTGTCAGTCAAATTTTAAATATAATAATTTCCTGCTATGCGTTCCAGTTGTACCAACTTATTTCTTTGTAAAATAAAATAAACTACTTTGAAATTAAAATGACAGACACATCTATCACTGTCAAGGATCTTCTCGTTGGACAGACTATATATCTAATATATAATTTCTAAATGAACTATGTGTTTTATGGTTAAGGCAAAGTCCTCTTGCGAGTTTTTTGGGATAATTATTGTTTCTAATTTTCTTTTACGGCATCCAAACTATTTAAAAATATAATTCACACAATTCAAGATATCTCATTTTTTAAGCTACCTATTTTTTTTAAATATTCGTTAATTGTTTTTAGTATTTTACTCTTTTCTTAGTAATTTCATTCAAACCTTTATGAATAAAAAAATGCTCTGATTTATAGACTAAAAATAGCTATAGTACCATTCAGCGAAATATATATACTGTATGTCTCCGGCGAGGTCTCCGGATTGTCTTTACAAGAGGAAACACTTTTTTATTCATGACATTTTGAGAGAAATGCATTCTTCATAAAAAATTTTGCTTGTTTTAAAATTATTAATCCCGTTTATACTTTTCCAAATTTCCATACCGTTTTAGAGAAAATTAAAAAAAAACATGAAAATGTAGTTGATTTTTTTGAATAAAAGTCAGATTTTTGTCATTTTTCGAATTCCGTTTGTGGAAATCATATTTTCTTTCGCTATCTGGACTAAAATAATATAAATAGGAAAATCAATAAAACTTGCGTGCACGTCATCAAAATGTCAAAATCGCTGCAGAAAAAACGTCGAAATCTTGCCACTACTACTTTTTTACGTTGACTCTTGACAAACACGAAATAAGGTTTGTAATTTTGTCACCGATTTTTTACTTCAATTTTAGATACAATATAGAAGTATGTTTTTATATCAATATTAATACGCAAACCACATGAGACGTGTTCGCCAACTTCTATTGATTTCTCTATCTACTGACATTCCTGATATTTTAAATATGTTGATATTTCAATAATCTTATTTCCTTTTTGTAATTCCTGTATTAAACATATTCTCTCTTTATAGCCAACGTCTGGAGTTAATGCGCGAGATGTACCACAACGAGGCCGAGATGTCTCCTATGTCGCCCGATTACAACGTGGAGTCTTTAACAGGGGGCGATCCATTTTACGACAGATTTCCTTGGTTTCGTATGGTCGGTCGCGGTTTTGTCTATCTCAGCAATCTACTCTACCCAGTTACCCTTATCCATAAAGTCGCTATAGTGAGCGAAAAGGGAGACGTCCGCGGTTATTTGAGGGTGGCGGTTCAAGCCGTTATGGACGAAGACAACTCCGATCAGGTCGGAGTACGTCAAAGTGCACGAATAACATTCGAATCGACACCAAAAGGTTTGTACAAATTCTAGAAGTCTAATTTTAAGCCATTTTTATAAATGAAATTGGTGTTGAAAGTCGGTATATTTTCAACGACGATCTCCAAAAGAAATGTTTTTTGTTGAGATTTTGACATCATTACTTTGCGACTATCCAAATAAATTTCAATTGCTTTAAGTCATTGACTTAAAGCAATTGTTCTTTTACATTTCATATAAACTACCTAATCTTTATTTTCTTTAAAAAAATGTCTATACCTCTGTGGCGGATTCATCTCTCCAAAAAATCCTATGGGTATTTCACCACTGTAAGAAAATCTACAAAATAAAATAGTTATTTTTTGTAAACACTGCTGCGTTAATCCAACGGAGATTAGATAATTGTCAGCAGTGGTTTACTAATAAACAAATTTGCCTAACGGGCAAAAAAAATGCTTAAATCGCTTAGCGTAATGGGTAAAGACGCTAAGCGCGTCAGATGAGAATTTTTTGTCACCGATTTGTAAAGCGCGTCAGATGAGAATTTTTTGTCACAAAAAATTGAGTGGCCGGCCGTAGCGCCCCTAACTACCGCGCAAGCAGTAGTATGTCGATCTGCGGTGCGAGAGGTACTGGGTGCGATCCCCAGCCAGTACGGTCGCTTTATTTATTTAAATAAAAATATTGATTTATCTAAATAGCAGCCAGCCGCCATGCCACCTCGAGGAAGGCAATGGCAAACCGCCTTGAGTACATTTGCCTTAATAAGAGCCTGTTAATACAGCCTCTTAAATAGTGCCGTTTGGATTCGACGATAAACTGTAGGACCCGTGTACTTGTGAAACACTTATGACACACATCAAGTACATGCGAGAGGTAGCCGACGCTCTGTATAGAGTATGACACTATAAGAAGGAGAAGCGAAAATTAACGTCATATACTACCTATACCATAAAAATATACCATATAATATACCATCTAAAAGCGCTTAGCGTTTTCTAAGTTACAGAATTCGGGCCCAGGCAGTAAAACTAAAGTTCGACCACTAACATTAATAACCTGAAAATATTTATTGTGTATCTTAACAATCAAATGACGACAATCAGTTCTAAAATGTCTGCTTTGCATATGTCGTAAGTGTGAGTTTACATGCATCTGTAATAGGTCGTCAATCGTTCAGTCACTCCAATCATTTAAGTATAACTTGTCATTTATAAAATTGCATCAAATCAACGAGAGTAGACGAATGCATGTAAACCTACACTAAAGCTTGATATTCACAATCAAGAATTGAATTCCAGGTGTTCAATTCTGAACACCTTAAATCACGGAACGGAATTAATTTAACGGAAGAATAAATGCTTCCGTTAAACTAATCTGCAATATTTCCTTATGAATAATATAAAATTTCCTTCTTTAGCTGAATAAATATTAGAAATCGTAAATATGGAGAAGGCGTTTGCCCTTCAAATTTCAATATTTTCAACACATTTCTGTAGCATGCATTCAACAATCAGTAAGAATCTATTTTTTTCTTGTAGTTATAATAGACAGAAATATTAACAATATGGATGAGCGTATTATTGAAGGTCAAAACAACATTGATCCCATAAAATTAGAAGAACTAATCGAATGCGATGCTGATTCAGGGCGTGGAGATAGTTCCGTGGCATCAGACGTGAAAGAGGACGAAATACCTGATCATCTACTCCTAGGAAAAGAATTTACCTTTAGAGTTACTGTGCTCCAAGCTGTAGGAATTTCGACGGAATACGCCGATGTATTCTGCCAGTTCAAGTAAGCCTACTTTTAAGCTCACGCAGAAATGATTTTGTAATTTCTTTGTAAAACGGAAACTTATTTTCAGCTTCTTGCATCGACACGACGAAGCTTTTTCAACCGAACCGGTAAAGAATACGGGAAAGGGCACACCACTAGGATTTTATCACGTACAAAATGTTAGTTTTTCCTTTTAACTAAAAGTAGACAAATATCAAAAATGTTTTCTTATTTCTAGATAACTGTTACTTGCACTAAATCCTTCCTCGATTACATCAAAACTCAGCCCATAGTTTTTGAGGTATTCGGGCATTACCAGCAGCATCCTCTCCACAAAGATGCCAAACTGGAGGGTAACGTACGTCAACCACCACGCCGGATGCTTCCACCGTCGATTCCCATCTCCCAACCAGTAAGATCAAGCAAGTTTGGGGCTCTACCTAGTCCTTGTACTGCTCACATTCACGCCAAAGTAGATATTCTAGTTTGGTTTGAGATTTGCGAACTGGCTCCCAGTGGAGAATACGTTCCCGTAGTCGTGGAACATAGCGACGATCTGCCTTGCAGAGGGCTGTTTTTACTACACCAAGTAAGTAAATTATACAGGGTCTTTTAATATTCTATGGACATAAGCTTCATTCAGAACTTCGCAATTAGTGGAATAAATTACTGGTTTCAATTAGCGTAGAAGTTTGTTCCCCTAGTTTGAATGTAACCATTCAGAACGTTCAGAAACGAAATTAGTACCACTAATTTCGTTTCTGAACGTTCTGAATGAAATAAAAATTCCTACCAGGATTTTTCAATTAGTGGAAAAAGTTAACAAGCCTTTAACTTTTTCACTAATTAAACTTCAAACTTTGGGAGGAATGTCATTTTCGTCTTTGATTATTATCATCTGTTAAAAGAAAATGTGGTTAGAAATCAAAATGTTTATTGTTTCATAAGCTAAATATTAGGCTTTCTCTATGGCTACAACTGATTACCGCAAGCTGTTGCTAGGATATTCTATTAATTTTAATTGTGTTTTTAAACGGTTTTATTTAGCTCGACCCGTACGGTATTTATTTATTTGTTTGTTTATTTGGGTCAAAATTAGAAATTGAAATTTAAGTACCTTCCTGTTGTCAGATTGATCTGAAATTTGGTACACACCTTTAGTTCCGATGAGAATACAATATAGTAATATCAATAACATTGTAAATCTAAGATGGCCGCCGGTACAAAATGGCGGATTTCATATTTTTCCACAACCCCCTCAATTGGGTATCAAATGAAAGGGCTACACTAGTAGAATACTGTGATTATGACAAAATTTAAAATCCAAGATGGACGTCGTTACAAAATGGCGTATTAGGTGAGGGGTATTTGGGTGAGGGCATGAGTAGTCGTGTCCAGAACAGTTGTGTCCAAGATTATGTGACGTTAGAAGGACAGATAAAAAAAAATAGGTGATTAGATGTACCTACGTAGTTAGCGGTAGCTTTACCACCCAAGTTAAGGTAATAGGTTAAAACGTGCTGAGGACTGTATGGCATTAGGGTGGCTAAAAATGTAATGTTGCAAGCGTTTTCCCTCAAGATTGAGCGCCTCTTGTTGTATATTATAGCCTTGCCCTCTACTGAACCTCTGGGGGGGTCGACCGTTAAAATGTCCATTACTCGTGGGAACAACATGGAAACAATAAATAAAAAAACAAACAAAAATAAAAAATCGGTAAAAAAACTTTTAAGTTAAACGGTTTTATCTTATGTGCACTGAAAACTAGAAAATAAAAAATCGGTAAAAAAAACTTTTAAGTTAAACGGTTTTATCTTATGTGCACTAAAAACTAGAAAATAATAATAACAATTAGGTATTTTGAACTTCTAGTTCAGAAATATTTTAGTACTAGGCAGAATATAGCTTTTAGGCATATTAGACTAAAATAAAAACGTGGGGTCCATTAACTATTGCTGTAATACTTTCTTCTATACTAAGTGTGGATTGCATCGACTTACTATAATCGTAACTGGAGATTTTGACAATCAATAACCAGCCGTGGCGGCTTCACCAGCGAACGCCGAGCTCATGATCTGCCAAAGTATAAAGATATGCTTTGCCATAGGTAGGATTTCAGAGGGGCCCCACGGTTTTATTTTAGTCTAATATGCCTAAAAGCTATTCTGCCTAGTACTAAAATATTTCTGAACTAGAAGTTCAAAATACCTAGTTGTTATTATTATTTTCTAGTTTTTAGTGCACATAAGATAAAACCGTTTAACTTAAAAGTTTTTTTACCGATTTTTTATTTTCTAGTTTTCAGTGTACATTAGATAAAACCGTTAACTTAAAAGTTTTTTTACCGATTTTTTATTTAGACATTGTGAGTGATTGTAAACTAAATTAGTATAAAGTGTTATTGAAACCACTAATTTATTCTACTAATTACGATGTTCTGAATAAAGCTATAGAACTACCTACTACGTATTTTTGGAATCAAAATAATTTACGGGAACATATATATATAAAGTACGGGAAGGGTAAAAACTACCCCACCCCTACATAAATTTTAGTAGAAATATTTTCCAACTCCACCGACACGACGACGTCTGACTTTTTTTCGTAAAATGGTCCTTCTAGTATTTACTACATTTTTTGTCTCTTGCAAAAAAACGCCACATCACATAGTTTGTGAGTAAACAGAGCTACAAATATACAGGGAGTTCCAATATTCCTTGAACATAAAACAACTGCGTGTTTTTTAAATACAAACAAGTTAATTGCACATAATTTACCTCTATACAAAAGTGCTTCGTTTGTCCGTTAGAGGGCACTAACCAAAAATAAATCAGAACGTTAATTAATTTAAAATTTTTGAAGCTTATTGTCAAATATCATTGATAAGTTCCGTATTTTCGCCAACTAGATTATTAGCGCATACTCATTTTATGCGCACATAGAGCTTGATGTGGCAAGAAACATTGTAACTCAGCCTCGGAAAAACATTTTTTGTACAAAAATCGGTCGTCGGTAGAATTATATTGGAAAATATTTTTACTAAATTGTATGTAGGGGGGGTGGGGGTAGTTTTCACCCTTTCCCTATTTTTTCCAGATTTTTGTGACAGTCAAATATTAAAGCACTTAGGTCAGATATTCATAATCAGTCGCATATTAAAGCACAACATAGGTACTCCAAATCTCATTCAAATCGGAAAAACGGTTCTTAAAATTTATGTTAAAAAATGTATTTATTTTTTTAAAGTTGATGCCTTCTAACGGATAAACGAAGTACTTTTGTATAGAGGTAAATTGTATCCAATGAAAAAATACGTAGTAGTTCTATGTCCACGGAATATTGGGAAACCCTGTATATAAATCTAATAAAATAGTCGTTATATAAATTTTATTATATACAACTATTTTTCTGTTATTATACAGGGTGATTCTTAAATAAGTGCTTAAAAAAGAGCAAATATTTTTAGCGCTGGTAGATCTGGATAAAAGAAACATATTTTCTCTTTACCGTTTTTCAAATAAATCCAGAATAACCGAGTTATTTTACTTTGAAAATTACCAAAAAAAAATGATTTTTTGGTTAAATTTTGGGCCAACTGGATCTTTCTGGGTTTTCTTATTTATTTATTAATCTACTACCTATATATTATCAAGAAATTATGTTTTAACTAAAAACTAAAAATATTTCCAATTTTTTTTTCAAAAAATTCCAAATTTTCAAAAAAATTTGTTCGCAAAAAAAAACTCATAATCGTGTTTTCTCGGGTCAAAATGTACTACCTCTAAAAATATTTGCATTTATTTAAGACTCCCCCTGTATAAAGTTTCGTGTGTTTAGATTGGAATTATGACATGCCTTTTATCGTTTAAATTTGTTATTTTCTATTTTAGGGTATCCAAAGAAGAATTCGTATAACTATTGTCCATGACCAGGCTTCAGAAATAAAATGGCGGGATGTACGTGAATTGGTCGTGGGTCGAATAAGAAATACTCCGGAATCCGAGGAAGACGAAGATAATGACAATTCTGTACTCTCTCTGGGACTATTTCCAGGTATTCCTCTTTTCATGAAATGTCCGATTTATTATATGCATACGATCGAAAATAAATAGGCGTCTAATTGACTTCGAAATGAAGATCAATGAAATTTTATATGGAAAGTTATAATCGAAAGCCGTGTGCTTATATATTGATTTTTCAATGATGTTTTTATAATTATTATTTTTGATATTTTTTTATTTTTTAAAAGTTTGATATTACGTCTTTGTTTTGTTAACAAATGCGAAAAAAGCTTTGGATGTTTCTGTCTCTCACTTTTATACAAGTTTAGAATAAGCTTTTTCAAATTAATATTGAAATAATTCTTATTTATATTAAGACAGAACACATCTGATAAATGTATATTCATATATTATATTTTTATTTTTGAGGAGAATATCTCGACATTCCCGGCGATGATCGTGTTATGTTCAGATTCGAGGCAGCGTGGGATAGTTCCCTCCACAATTCACCACTTTTGAACAGGGTAACGTCACAAGGAGAACAGATATTTATGACAATATCAGCATATTTGGAGGTAAATTAAAAAAATGTATAGTCCGGTTCACGAAAGAAAATGACACGGGACATTCTAACAAAATATGGAGTGAACGTTTACGGGTGATCCATTCAATAATCCTTCCGGTGTAGTATCCAAAAGTATTGAGCCATCTGGGGTCTTAAGACCATTAAATAATCTTAAGACTAGAAAATAAAAGATATTTTAACCTATACTTTTTACCTTTTCTATTAAAGTTTGATATAAATATATATATATATATATATATACAGGGTATCAAAAATAGTGTATATAACTTCGGTAGGTGATCCTACAGATTAAAATAAAACAATAAGTGCTTATGAACATATGCCCTAAAATGTTTCTCGAGGAAGTTACAGCCAGTACAGGGTTGCTGATATGTATGGGAACAGCCGATTGTTAGGTAAAATGTAAGAGATACCGCAAAAAATTAAATATAAAAGTTATAGGGTTTTTAAATATCTATTAGCTATTATAAATTTAAGTATACAGGGTCGGTCATAAAGTCGTGGCATATCAAAGTTCCATTTTTTTTAAATGGAACTCCCTGTATATTATTGCATATTTCGGTTCTTCCTTCAATTCTAAGCAACGATTTTTCTTGAGAGATACACACAATGTACCTCAAACCAACCGTTTCCGAGTTATTGACTTTTGAAAATATCACTTAAACAATTTGATTTAACTAATTTCGATGTGTTCGGTTTCATTTAACGATGCCATTCTGCAGAAACTGTGATACTTAATAATATTTGACATTAGTTTTCAATTTAGCTTTTATAGATGTGTGAAATGAGATTATATCAAGTCTGGAAATTACAAAATTTTTGTTGAAGTAATTCTCGAGAAACATTTTAGGGCATATGTTCGTTTTGTTCATAGGAAATTTTGTTTTATTTTTATCTGTAGAATCAGCCACCGAAGTTAGATACACTATTTTTTGACACCCTGTATATTTTCTGATTAAAAAATTATTCTCTTAGAATAATCTTTCATGAATCGGTCTATACAGGGTGTTCCTTAATAACCTGCTAATATTTAAGAGGGTGATTCCCCCTTGACATATTCTAAGACAAAAACTTCATATGCTACAACCTAACCTAACCTCGTTAAATATTAGCATGTCATTAAGGATCACCCTGTATAGAGCTACTTTAATACAAATAGTTAATATAGGAATATTAAAATATAGAATATATTATATATTCCATATTTTTATTTTGGTATTAGGCAGTGTTACATGACACACTCCAGTATAAAAATTTTTGTTGATATATTGCGCAACAATTAAAGCTATCATTGGGTTGATTTGTTAAGCAATAAATAAAATTGATTATTTTTTTTATAAAATTTAGTGTCATTGATTAAGATCTCTGTGTTTTACAATCCATTATATAAGGAATAGAGAAAACTAAGTGATAAAATATTATATTTGAATATTATTGAGACAATATTCTACAATTATTTATTATAATAATTACAGAATATTTCCGTTATAGCTTGAAAACTGCGGGCGTCCTGCAATCATTACAAAGGATCTTAGTATGGTGATGTACGGAAGAGATGCTCGAACGGGTCCAAGGTCTTTGAAACATCTGTTTTCGGGCAGCTACAGGAACACTGAGGCCAACAGATTATCCGGCGTTTACGAACTATTATTACGTCGTGCCAGCGAAGCAGGTAGTCCAGGTAGATTCCCTTTAGAAAATCCCATCCCTAAACCCTATAATAGTTAATTAGATGGACTTTTTAAAGCATTTTAATAAACGTTTTGTTATGGATCCCTATACCAGTGTGAAACCGCCGGCGCCGCAGCTGCGAATTTGTAATTTAATGAAAAGCAGATTTACATATGTGCAATTTTTTAAACTAGTATATAGGATTCCAGTTTTCGATTTTTTCTAATTAAAATCATTTGTTACTTTCACAAGGTATATTAGTAAAGATAAAAAGGTGTATTAGGAACATATTATAAAAAAAGGTATATTAGGAACATAGTGTTACGGATTCCGTGGGTCCACTAATTTAAACTCACGATAAAATACTTAACGAATTTATTTTCTCACTTTATACACAATTACTAACTTATAACACACAACAAACTAACTATTTATAAGATTCCTTCACCAAATTGTCCGATTTTCAATTTTCACGCGGTATATTCAAATTTCAAAAACTGTCTCAGCTGTCGATGGCTCCGGCTTATATACTCTATTGACTGCTTCTCGAAATTTCCCCAATTCTCGGAAAGCGTACTTCTTCATACCAGACAATTCTATTGTCTGATTCCCTTACTTCTCGACTTGACTAAAAGATGGCGCCTGAAAAAGTCTTTTAATTTTTAGCGGATACGTTGCGGTTGTGCAGGCAACCAGTAATACATTTTTAATTTCTGGCGGATGCGCCATTTTTCTTGACATTGCCCCCTTTCTCAAATTTGATCGTCCTGATCAAGGTTTCCTGTCTGGTATCTCTTCAATCGATCCAGATGAACTACTTTCATCTTACTTCTAGGGCTGCGTTGAATCCGGTACACAACATCATTTATCCTCTTGATGACTGTATAAGGACCTTCCCATGCTGGAGTTAACTTTGGGGACCTCCCTTTCTTGCGCTGTGGGTTATATAACCATACCATATCGTCCTGTTGAAATCCCGTAGAATTAGCTCTGAGGTCGTAACGAGCTTTCATCCGGTCACTGGCTAGCGTAATCTTACTTCTCACGGCCTTATGAATTCCCAATAACCTTTCCTTCAGTTCATCCGCGTAGTCCTCTACGTTCGTGGTGCTGTCGTCTGGTGATCCGAACACCAAGTCACAAGGCAACCGTAATTCTCGACCAAATAAAATCTTCGATGGTGAAAGTCCGGTGGTGTTGTGAACTGCACTTCTATATGCCATTAGGAATAGTGGTATATGCTGATCCCAATCTCTTTGATGTTCATCCACCATTTTCGAGAGATGTTCTTCAATGGTCTTATTGAATCTCTCGACCATCCCATCAGACTGCGGATGTAAAGCTGTTGTCCTAGTCTTGTGAATACCAAGCAGATCACACATCTTCTGGAACAGTCTTGACTCGAAGTTCCTTCCTTGGTCAGTGTGAAGCTCTAAAGGAATTCCAAATCTACTGAAGACATTATTGACTAATACTTCAGCTACAGTCGATGCTTCTTGGTTTGGAATGGCAAAAACTTCTGGCCATTTACTGAAATAATCCATCGCCACTAAAACGTACTTGTTGCCCTTGTGCGTTTCAGGGAATGGGCCTGCAATGTCAACAGCGATTCTTTCGAATGGCAGTCCAACGTTATATTGTTTCATTTTTCCCCTAGATCGAGTGCTTGGTCCTTGGCTGGCTGCACAAATTTTACATTGTCGACACCATTTCTTGACATCTTCGCAATAATCCACCCAGTAAAAGCGATCTCTCAGCTTGCTCAAGGTCTTGTTTACCCCAAGATGGGCTCCAGTTTTACCACCGTGAATTTCTTCCAATACCTGGGTAACTTTCTTCCTTGGTACCAGTAACTGAGTTGTTACTGTGCTGCCATCCGCACTTTCCCATGTGCGCTTTAACAATCCATTCTCAATAACCAGTGAATTCCACTGAGCCCAGAGAGCTTTGAAAACGAGCCCTCTGTCCGCAATATCCTGCCACGGTGGTCTCTCGCCGTTACCTTCCTTGAGCCGTAGTATTGCTCCGATGTCTGGATCTTCCATTTGATCTTTCCTCAATTGTGTCGTCGTCCACTGTTCATCGGTTCCAAGTTTAAACTCCTTATCATGACAGTGCCTTCACGTTGTTCCGTTTTACAGCAGTGCTTACAATCGGTTTGACAGGGTCTTCTGGATAAACCGTCTGCGTTACCATGCATTTTTCCAGCACGATGTTGGATGGTAAAGTGATACTGTTGGAGCTTCTCGAGCCATCGTGCTATTTGACCTTCAGGTTGTTTCATCTCCATAAGCCACTTGAGAGCCGCATGATCTGTCCTAATTAAAAATTCTTGGCCGTACAGATATTTATGAAAATGATCAACTGCCTTCACAATTGCTAGCAGCTCCTTCCGGGTAACGCAGTAATTCCTTTCTGGTTTGGATAGAACTCGACTGTAATATTCTATCACTCGTTCTTCGCCATCTTGCACTTGTGATAGCACTGCACCTATGCCGATATTGCTGGCGTCGGTATCCAGGATATACCTCCCTTGTTGTTGCGGGTAGGCTAGAATAGGACTTGAACATAAAGCCGCCTTAAGTCTTCCAAAGGCTACATCACAATCGGTGTTCCATTCGTAGCCGACTTCATCACCTGTAAGTCTATGTAAGGGTGCAGCTATATTGGCAAATCCCTTGACAAATCTTCTGTAATAGGTGCATAAACCCAGAAAACTTCTAAGTTCATGTTTGTCGCGAGGTTTAGGCCAATCCTTGATCGCAGCGATTTTCTTCTGGTCGGTGTAAATTCCGTCTGCCGAGACTACATGACCCAAGAATTCCACTTGTCGCTGGAATAAGCTACACTTCTTCGGGTTCAAGTACAGGTGAGCATTCCGTATGCGGCCAAAGACTTCTTCTAAATTTCGCAAATGCTCCTCAAAAGTTCTTCCCATAACCAATACATCGTCGAGGTAAACCAAGCACGTTTTCCAAGTTAATCCTCTTAACACCACCTCCATGAGACGTTCGAAAGTGGCGGAGCATTGCATAATCCAAATGGCATAACCTTGAATTGGTATAGGCCGCTTCCTGTAGAAAAAGCCGTCTTTTCTTTATCGTCCTCGTCCAGACCAACTTGCCAGTATCCACTCTTTAAGTCGAGAGTGGAGAACCAGCACGAACCTGCGAGAGTTGTTAATGTGTCATCTATACGTGGCAGTGGGTAGCTATCTTTCTTAGTGACGTCATTGAGCTTCCTATAATCCACGCAGAATCGTGTACTACCATCTTTTTCTTTGTCACCAAACAACAGGAGATGACCATGGACTCGATGATTCTTCGATAACTCCATCTTCTAGCATCTTATCTACCATTGTCTCCATTTCTTGTTGTTTGGAAAGGGCACCTTCTAGGACGTTGTCGAATCGGCTGAGCATGACCAGTATTAATCCGGTGCTTCACAAAATCCGTTCTTCCACTGTTGTTCTTCTCAAAAATACTGCCATGCTTTAGCAGGAACTGCTTGGCCTTCTGTTTCTCCTCAGGTGTTAGGTGATCCCATGGCTGTTCTAGATGTTTTAGTGTTTCTTGGGATGCCTTTTGTGTAACAGCTGACGACACTTCATCACATCGGGTGACACTTCTTACAGGTTCGCAGATGGCTATCTTGTCACCTTTTTGGATCTTGACACAATTCATTGATGATCTTGACACAAAAACATTCGCAATTCTGATCGGTATATTCTTGTCGGTGTTCACCAATGATTTTCCCACCAAGTACCTATCTTGTTTCTTGTCGACACTTTGTACCAGTCCAACACAGCACCCAGCGATTTTCTCCACTTTACCGAATACGATCTTCTCGGTATTACCAGGTATCACCACAGTTTCCGCTGATCTTACATCCATCCTTCCTGGTCCCTCGTCTGGAGATAACATGAACTCTTCGTTTCCGATATTTAGGATATTTCTTTGGTGATCGAACGAAAATCCATGTTGACGAATCACATCCATGCCCAAGATGAAGTCATCTTCAATATCTGCCACTAAGACGCTATGCTGAAACTTCAAATTTCCTAACTTCAGTTCGACGATAGCCTTTCCCCGTACAACGGTCATTTCCCCCGTAACTGTACGTAAACACACTCTTCTTCCCAGAGGCATCAGCTTCAACCCTTGCACTGAGTTAGCTCGCACCAACGATACCATAGCGCCAGTGTCCACGGTCATTCGGATTCTCCTACCATTGACCTTCTGTCGATCACTAAACTGTCAGCGGTTCTTCCTAGACTCCTAATGGAAAAAATCCTGGGGCTCTAGTTCTCCCCAGTCAATACTCGCCCCTTAGTATTGACTGATTTTAGTTTTCCTGGTGCCTACGTTCTCTGGATGGTGAACAGGATCGCATTTGAACGGCAATCCTGTTTGATGTGGCCATTCCTGCCACATCTAAAGCACCTTATGTCCTGTGATCTTCTATAGCTCTCTGTCTGGGTGTTGTTGCTACTCTTGTTCACTAGTAACTCACATAGTTTACTAAACATCTCCTCCAAACGTATGTGAGAACTTCCGGGCTGTTCCTCGACCGTTACCGATCTTATCTTCGGTCTAGGGATGGCGCTAAAAGCAGCTTCGATCTCCAGCGCCCTGACCAGTGCTTCGCTGCTGGTGGAAAATCGGGATATTTGCAGCGCCCTCTGCAATTCGTTGTCCCTCAGTCCGCTAATAAAGCACTGAGCAGCGAGTTCCTCCCTAAATCCTTCCGGTGCTTCTGGATATGCCAGGTGTACCAGCCGACGTAAGTCTGCTTCAAATTCCTGCAGACTCTCTCCGGACCTCTGCAGGCGTGTCTTGATCTGGGCCTGGTAAAGTTGGCGTCGATGTTGGTCGCCATATCTTCTGTCCAGTGCAGCGACCAAAGTTTGGTATTCCTGCTGTTGGGCTGCAGGAATAGTTTGCAACAGTTCCAGGGCAGGGCCACGCAGCGCGATGACAAGTGCCGCTGCTTTCTCCTGGTCAGTCCATCCGTTGGCAGCGGCGGCTGCTTCAAACTGACGGTGGTACATTGTCCATGTCGTTTGTCCATCGTAGGTCGGGGCCTTGAGGTTCGCAGTTCCATGAACGCCAGGTGTCCTTACTTGTACCTTGGTCTTCTGTAGGTCCATCTCTAATTTTTCCATTTTCTGCTGAAGGCGTTCCTCGAGATCTTCTACGGCTTCTTGGAAGTGATTCTGCTGTTCCTGGCAACGTACTTCCAACATTGCTTGTTGCTTTTTTTCCATGTCTCCGAAGCTTTTCCGAAGTCGAATTTCCTGATTTTCTAATATTTTCTGAAGCCGGTCCTGTTCTTCCTGTTTGTCGTGCTGTCGTTGAACTTTGAAATCTTCGAAAATTTTCTCAAGCCGGTCCTGTTCTTCTTGTTTATCATGCTGTCGTTGAGCTTTCAAATCTTCGAGAATTTTCTCAAGCCGGTCCTGTTCTTCTTGTTTGTCTTGTTGTCGTTGAATTTTTAAATCTTCGAAAATTTTGTCTTGATTTTCTAGAATTTTCAGTAGGCGATCCTGTTCTTCTGATTTTTTCTCTTCTCATATTCTCCATAAAACCTTCTAATAACTTGCTTACTTCCTCCATTTTCTTCTGCTTGCTCCCTTGTACCAACCATAAAAAATACTCTAATCCGGTCTAAAATCTTCCAATCCACTTAATTTCTTCTTAAAATCCTCTTGAATCGCACTTCCGACACCAATTGTTACGGATTCCGTGGGTCCACTAATTTAAACTCACGATAAAATACTTAACGAATTTATTTTCTCACTTTATACACAATTACTAACTTATAACACACAACAAACTAACTATTTATAAGATTCCTTCACCAAATTGTCCGATTTTCAATTTTCACGCGGTATATTCAAATTTCAAAAACTGTCTCAGCTGTCGATGGCTCCGGCTTATATACTCTATTGACTGCTTCTCGAAATTTCCCCAATTCTCGGAAAGCGTACTTCTTCATACCAGACAATTCTATTGTCTGATTCCCTTACTTCTCGACTTGACTAAAAGATGGCGCCTGAAAAAGTCTTTTAATTTCTGGCGGATACGTTGCGGTTGTGCAGGCAACCAGTAATACATTTTTAATTTCTGGCGGATGCGCCATTTTTCTTGACAATAGTATAGGCTTGATGCATGCTCCGCGGGTGCTGCCGCAATCGGTGAATCCTGTAAAAAACACGACTTGCACACTTACTTTACTTTACATTTTCTATCAATTACTGACCGTCCGTTAATTTTTATTTATTGTGACTGTCTCGATCTGACGAGATGTATTCGTTCACCGGACAGATTCTATTAAAGGTTTGCTTTTTAAACATTAGAGTAGGTTTCACTATGGCGTAGGGGATTCTTTCCTTATTATTTATGTTTGTTCGTTTTGTTTTTTTTTTGTTGATATTAAAAAATTCAAATAGTACATAATATATTAAACCCCGTTAGATGCACCACGATTACCCAATCCTTGAAGCACACCAATATATTATACATAAAGGTAATTTAAAAGCTACAACAAAATTATTTGAGTAGAACAACACAATGTTGCTTTATTTAGTTTCAAAATAAAAAATTCAACCTATTTTCTTAATTTTAGATTTTTTTGGATTCATGTAAAAGATTCTCTTTTTCTGTAATAGGCGTACAGAGGCGGCAACGTCGCGTTTTGGACACAAGCTCCACCTATGTTCGAGGAGAGGAAAACCTACACGGATGGCGACCCCGAGGCGATTCTCTCATTTTCGATCACCAATGGGAGTTAGAAAAGTTAACGCGTTTGGAGGAGGTAGAACGAGTTAGACATAACCTTTTGCTTAGAGAACGATTAGGATTAGACCGCGGTCACAACTACAACAAATTCCAAACCGAATATACCACAAAAAGCGAAAAAGAAGTTTCCAATATGGTGGCTAAAAACAACTTAAACCAAATTCATCAAGGTTCAATATTCGATTTTTTTTATATTCGTTATTTTAAGTATTATTCTTTTTAATTCCACAGCTAATAATGATTCCATTTACGAATATACCGAAAAGGAACGTCAGTTGTTGAACAGGTGCGTTCGTCTTATTCAAGGTAAACCAAAGGATTCCAAGGAAGTCAAGGATAATGATATGGCGAGCCCCACTGAAGAACTTACCGACATGAGCACCAGTATGATGTCAAGTGTATTGACGCACAGCTCGATGGAGTTATGTTCTCCAGAAAGGGCTCCTTTACCAGGCGAATGCGCACCATTTCCGTCAATGCCCTCTTCTCCACCAGGTCAGTGAGACTTTACTGTTATTGATTTTTACTATGATTTACAAGGCGAACGATAAAATTATAATTATTGGTTTTTATCAGGGTTGGAAAAAATCATGATTTTTTAAAAAAAATCAAAAAAATCAGATTTTTTTGATTTAAATCAGAATTTTTTTATTTTAATTCAAAACAATATTTAAATCGGATTTCCAAATGATTAGGACTTATTTTCCAATTAAACTCCTATCGTAAATGGCTAAATCTTTATAATTCCGCCCGATACCGATATCATTAACAATTTTACGGCGCGTGTCCTTTTTCCACATCGGTCACCAATATATTCCGCATAAAAATTCGCTCGCTTCAGATCAAAAGGATTTTTTTTTCAAACGTCTCAAGAGTATTAATTTTTGTAATTTTAACGCCTATGCATAAAAGTAAAGCACTGTTACGCATAAGCACAAAAGTACAAAAATATATTATCAAACAAAAAAAATATTAAGTGTCAAATTCAACGAGTGTATAAATTGTTGCTCGATTACTGCTTCTATTATTAGCAATGTTTCAAATTGATTAAAAAATTATTTGTAATGTTTTAAGAAAAGAGTATGTCCTTTTCGGAGTAAAAATGTACTTTTTGTGCCTCCCTGTAACGTCGGAATAACTTTACGATGGTCCTTCAATTCGTCAAAAAAAGTATAATTTTTACTCCTACTAAAACAATACACTATTGTTCGGAAATAGTCTTAATTCGAGAATGAAATTAATAAGATATTATCTAATGTCAAAGTGTAAGGAACTTACATCAAAATGTCGGTAGGAATTTGGAAACATTTTCAAAAAAATACAACGTTTGAAAAAAAAATATATAAAACAACATATTTTCTGACAACGATTATAATTTCTCGGGAATGAAGATATAGTCTCTATATCAGAAGAACCTTGTTCAGCACTACACTGCGAATGATATGTATTCGAACAGCGACTTTTTGTCACTTATACATAAATTTTAAAATTTTAGGATTCACACGAAATTACTTCAAAAATCGGTCCAACATTTAAATTGATGAACAGATATTTTTATATAGTTTTATCACATTTACAATTATTTTTCGATTTATTATCTGTTATATCTGTTATAGAAATATTCTTTATACTTTTCTAAGACACATTTTTATAACTTTTACAGTTATTTTTTTTATTTATTATAAAGTGTCAATAAAATTATTTTTTCTTATTTAAATCACATGATTAAAATTAAAAAAATCACTTGATTTAAATCACGATTTAAATCATGATTTAAATCATTTGATTTAAATCAAGCCAACCCTGGTTTTTATTAGTAGTGACGGGATCAATCGAGTGAAAAATACTCGGCGACTCCAGTATTCAAATCCTCGCCATGTCTCGAGGATTTTTGTCGATCCTCGATGATTACTCGGCACGCAACTAGAGTCTCGCGATTTACGATTTATGCTGAAATCGTTTAAAATGAAAAGAAGTAATTCCTCCAATTGCTTGTAATGTTACGTTTAATCGGCATAAACCCGTTATACAGGGTCCGGCAATAGTGCGTCTGGCATCTGTAACTCCTATAATAAAAAGTTAGGAATTTTATTTAAGTGCAAACCTAAAGTATATATTAGGATGTATTTCAGAAAAATATTTTAACTTCTACAGGGTGGCCCAAAAAAGTGTAAATGAATCGAGATGATCTTTTTTAAATGGAACACCCTGTATATTATTGCGTTTTTGGCTTCCTTTTTAAACACTTTAATCCTAAGATTAGTAGTGGGAACTATCGAATGAATACTATCGAAACATTCGATAGTTGCAATTCATTTGAATAATTCGATAGCTAGTAAGAAAACATTCGTTGAAAAGTATTCGAATAAAAATTAGAGATGCGTCATCTGCCTTGAAAAATTGTATTCTAGTAATTCGGCAGCAAAAACCATTCATTTATAAAATTCATTCATTTATGAAATTCATTTATTCGTCAGGATCGATTATAATAAAATATTAACTGGATTTTAGTTGTCGCCCGGCGATTTCTTTCGAGAAACCCGACGGCGGTCGGTGGCAATGCTATGAAAGAAGCCGGCATCTTTGATTTTTGCGGAGTCATAGAAAGATAAGGACACATTATTTTTTTTTATTGAGGTGCTAGTATTTACACAGAAAATACATTATGAAGGGCGCTGTTGCCATATATTGGTATTAGTTGATATTAGCAAAGAATATTATTGTTTGGCTTTAGTTAGTTAGGGATAGTATGTCTATATATTTTACATTTTTTTATTAATATTCTGTTGTTACACTGCAATAATACTTGTTATTTTGGATGTAGGAAAATTATTTTTAATGTTTTTAAGCAAAGACTGGTTTAATAAAAATAATAATAACAGTAATAATTTGTTATACCTATTAACAACAAAATTTAAAATAATTTAATATAAACATTTTTTTACGTAGTAGCAAAATATAAATAACAAATTAGATGTCAAAATTATTTATATTAGATCCTATATAAAAATAATATAGTCTTTAAATTTTTTGGCAACGTTGGTTTATTAAATAATAATAATTACAGAACTAATTTGTTATATTAACAACAAACTTTAAAATCATGAAATATAAACATTTATTAATTTTCTAATGTAAATACAGTGTAATGGAAGAAAAATATAAATAAAAAATTAGAAATCAAAATTATTTATATTAGGTACTTTATATTACTATTTAAAAATAATATTTACTTTTACTGGCATTTTCTTTAAAAAATAAATGAAATATTTCTTCGCAAAAAACTACATGTAAGAGAATTAGCATAAACAAAATACAAACATCGTTAACTTTTTTTTTAAATTGGCACGTGTAAAACTTTCAATTTAATTTTCTCACCCCATAGTTTGAGTTCGATAACCATTTACTTAACCACATTACTTAAATATGATTATTAAGTTCAACTAATTCATATTATTAAAACATCTAAAATACAAATATGTATTTTTAAAATTAATTCTCTCTTAAAAATTGCTACTTCTCAAAATTTCTCATTAATAAATAGACCATATACCATATAAAATAAAATAATTGAAAGATTGGGCTACGGAAAATCACACAAATTTTCGGAAAGATTTTGACACCTGCACACGCACACAATCGTCAATTAAAAAAAACTACTATTTTAGTATTTTAAATATTTTAATAAACGCAAAAATAGCACAGTATTTATAAGGCGAAGTTATAAAAATTTATAATAACTAATAATGCACTGACGCACACAAAAATCAAACGAATACTAAATTTCATTTATCAAAAGCATTCGATAGTCGTGGCTCAACGATAACCATATAGTCACACGGCGAGGTTGTCCCATATGCTTTAGTATACAAATGAATGAATGATTTTATTTGAAAAAAACCATTCGATAGTTGAAATCATTCATTCAGTAACCATTCGATAGTCTAAATTCATTCGATAGTTCCCATCGCTACCTAAGATATTATTAAATATGTTTAAACAATTTCAAAGATATTTAAAAATAAATAAATAAATAATTATTTTCAGCCTTTTTTTAAAAAATTATTAAAAATACTGGAAATGTCTTAAAATCCAAACTATATTAGGCATTTGCTGTAGTGGGTCTGTACTTACTTTGACACAAATATTGTGATCTTAAACCACACAGGGTGTCCAAAATTCTATGCCAAACTTTTTAAAATATAAAATAGTTTTTCTTCGTTTTTTTTTATACGGTACACCCTGTATATTATTCCTTTGTTAGATGGAGAATTAAAAAAATAAACATTTTTTGTATTTAAAGTATTTTCAAATTTTTAGCGGTTTTGCAAATTTTCGCTGTTTTATTGCATATGGCTCTTTCAACGGTAAAATGTGAGAGAGAAATCATTGGGGGTGGGCTTTGATAAAAAATTACTGTGGAAAATGCCATTTAAAATATAAAACCGCGAATATCTGAGAAACCGTTAAAAAAATTTAAATACTTTTTTGGTTTCAGGGCATTTCTTGTATTTTTATAAAAAGGGCTGAAAAAAAATATTTTTTTTATTTATTTATTAATATCTTTGAAACCATCAAAGCATATTTAATAATATCTTAGGATTATATAAGTGATTAAAAAGGAAGCCAAAAATGCAATAATATACAGGGTGTTCCATTTTTAAAAAAATCATCCCGATCCACTCACACTTTTTTGACCAACCTGTAGAAGTTAAAATATTTTCCTGAAATACATCCTGATACATACTTTAGGTTGGCACTTAAACAAAATTCCTAACTTTTTTATTATATAATAGCTACAGCCCGACCGACACGACGCACTATTGCCGGTCCCTGTATCGCGGGTTTACACCGATTATAATTATTTAACTACACATTTAACAGTTTAAAATATATATTTTAAGCTGTTAAATAACAAGAACAGATATCAAAATTGTTTATAATAACACCTTATAATAACAGTTTTTGTCCATCTCGGTTCCGTCAGTAAGAGTTTTTCATAGGACATTCTGCTCTTGAGGAGAGTATAGAACTTAAGATTTGAATTTCTATTTCCAGGTCCGAGAGATCCAGAATTGGTTCTCTACGTTCCCGATATGGAAGAAATCAGGATTTCTCCTGTGGTGGCTAGAAAGGGATATTTGAATGTTTTGGAGCACAAGACGCACGGATGGAAGAAACGATGGGTGGTAAGTTATACATTAGTCTACATTGAACATACAACTTTTAACACGATTTTTAATATTTAGTCGGTACGACGTCCATATGTATTTATATTCCGCGACGAAAAAGATCCCGTCGAGAGAGCTTTGATCAATCTTGCCACCGCTCAAGTAGAATATTCCGAGGATCAACTGGCAATGGTAAGTAGAACGTACTGTTTATACCTCACAGTAACTTATGTATATCATTTTAATATATTGTGTCCACCAAAATATATGACAGGCGTTAACTCTAATTTTAATTTGAAAGTAGTTTCTTCTTTCTCTCGGGTTTTTGGCTGTTTCTTCTCTCACCAGACAGGCTGTAGTCAGAGCGGATCCAGGATTCGGGAAAGGGGGGGGGGCTAGACATAAAATTTTACTCAAAGCACATACTCCAGAGTCGATTGTGACTAAAGAAATTAATAATATATTACTTGGCTGAAGCCAAGGGGGGTTTGAGCCCCCGAAGCCCCCCATCCCGTGGATCCGCGCCACTGGCTGTATATATACCAGTTTAATCTGCGCTCGCCAAGTCGAGCAAAGCCGTACTATCCTTTTATCGAAGGCATTAGCGGCATTTTTGACCACCCTGTAACTTCGTTGTTGATAAAGCAAGAATATTAATTTTCACCAAACATGAAGACATGCTATAGCTGGCTAGATTACCAAAATATCTACTAATTATACCTTGTAGTTTATGAATTATCGCTTGTCAAATTTCTTTAATTTCGATATAGACTCACTTACACATCATCAAAATTCTAAGGTACCTTTAGATGTGTCACAAACTTTGAATTTTCGGTAGCTTTAAACGTATAACCAAAGGAAAAAATGAAAAATCTCGGAATATCCTTATGGATTAAATTTAGTTGTCTAGCTGCTACCCGTAATTGACCTTCCAGTCGAGAAAAAGATAGAAAACTAGAATCACTGTTTTAAAATATCCCTATAAAAAGTACTAGACTAGGTAAATCAATTAATGAGTCATATGAATATTCTCTCTGATGTAGGATAAGTTTCCATTTTCGACAAATTTCTAAGAATATTTTTCGTTTCAACTGACACAAAATGTTATGTAGTTGTTAAAGTTGAACTAATTTTACAACTAGGTTGCAGTGACGTGATGTGCTAATCAAAGCAGGGTAGGCAAAAATTGGCAATATAATAAAATAAAAATTGCATAAGTGATGATTTAAGTACTCAATATAGTTTTTTACTGTAAATTTGGAGAAATTTCCAGATTTGGCATCACTGCACGGGCAGCAGCCGAAATTAAATCACGCGTTACTTCCTTATTAGATATTCCTACCTTCCCTATAGACTTCCTACTCTTTTTAACATATTGTCCGTCTAATCATTGTAGTCTGCGGAGTAACTTTAGAATTTGTAAAGACGGAACTTTTAATAACCCCCCTGCAAACTATAAAGTAGATTATTCCGCCTTCACGTAAATCATACGAGGCACCTTATGATTTTGTTTGCGGAAGGCAACGCCTTTCTGACTACATATATGCACGCCACTGATGTGTTGAAGCATCGAGCATACGACAACCACCTAGATTTTATCATCATCTAATAATTATCTACTGACACTGCATGAAAATGAGAGAAAATATCTACGAAAATATTTCTCTGATGTGTAGGCAACCTTTATTGTATTTTGCAAAGAAATTAATTCTCCATTGAATATCGGTATAATATACTGGGTGTTCTATTAAATAAAAAAAGAGTAATTTGCTTTCAAAGGTGACCATTGTTCAATATTAATTTTGCCTCACCCTGTATAACTTTTCGGATCGAGTTTTAATTTTATGTCCAGTGGTTATTTTAACCTTAGATTAAGATTTTAACTACATATTAGACTATACCTTTAATAAATAAAAATATAAATTCCAATTTAGTTAGTTTTTATTGAAATTTAAAATTTGTTCTTCATTTTTAAAAAATCATAAATATGTCAAAAACTGTACACTTTATTCATATTATGATTGTCTAATAAAATTCACCTTTATTTTTTTCTTAGAGTCCGAAAATAAATTAATATATAGGGTGTTTCATTACAAAAGTCATAATTTTAACGTGTAACTTTTTTTGGGGACATCCTTTAGAAGTCTATATACTTAAAAAAATGCTTTAAATTACTTACATATGCTCCCATTATTTCATTTCAATGTCTCCAACTATCGTTCTCCTTGGAGCCACTGTGTAAACATTTTATTACTTGCTGTATACAATCCGTTATTTAGAAGTAATGTAATGTAATCGACGTTGTTTGTTAAGGTTCGGTTACCAAACACCTTCAGTGTAGTCAGTAAGCACAGGGGATACCTTCTTCAGACTCTCCACGAGAAAGAGGTTCACGACTGGCTGTACGCCATCAACCCTCTGTTAGCCGGCCAGATCAGGTCAAAGTCAGCTCGTCGACACCCCCAAACCAAAGAAGAGAGCATCAACGAGGCCGTAGTTCCTGTTGCACCCAAATGAGACATGATCAATATGGAATCCGTGCTTGTGTATTAAAAAAATATGTTTTGCTTACTAATTTCTAATAACATCTCGTATAAAAAAATCGGTATTACTAAATATTAATATTGAATTATTTATTTAATGTGTGGGAGGATTCCATATTGACAAATTGATACTAATACAGAACACAATTTTATTCTAGTCATAATTTAAAAGGGTGTCAAGTAAGTACATAAATCATAGTTATTATTTTAGGTATATATTTTTCTATGTTATGCAAGAGTTTTAAAAGATATTTGTTGTCTTATTTGACACCTCTGGCGAGATTTGCAGTTGGATAAACATCTCGTTAATTTTTTGTACAGAAAGTAATATAATTCTAAGGGTCAGGACCCTTAGATTTGTAATGGTGACGAATAGATAACTTTAATTTAAGAAACCATTGTGATTTTTTTAATATTTTATGGTTTGATTATACCTAGTATATTTTCCGATTTTTAGTTATCTAGAAAATTTAAATTGTTAAGGAATTGTAGGAAAGGAAACAAGAAAATATTTGAATATTAAAAGGGTTTTAGATTGTCCTTTCCATATGAAGTTTATTCTTACTCTGTCCTTCAGGAAAGTATGAAAGCTTTTATAGACTTAAAAAAATTGATTAAACACATTACACATATAATATATAATTAAAATAAAAAGTTTAAACAGTACCCTTTTCCTTAAGGCCTCAATCTTAATTTTGATGTGCAATATTATAATAATAAGATGTATAAAATATTATATTGACGCAGAAGTCGGAAGTTTTACATGAAGATAATGTGATGGTACTTTTAAGAAAGTTCAGATTGAAAATGTTGTAATAAAGCTATGTAATTGTTAATTTATTTGGGACGGGGCTATTTTTTAGTTGAATTAATTTTTAATAAACTTGTAGTCTTAAATCAAAAGTTATAGGTGGTACAATCTTACGTAGTCAACTATGCAAGTTAGAAACTCAAGGATTGTCTCACAATAAAGCTCATTTTAAACTTTAATATTTTTAGTCTTCTTTTGCGTAGTCTTGTTTCTAAGTTTATTATACCATAGGTCAACCATTTTTGGATATAGTGTAATAATTTAAAAATATGTTCTTAAACGAGTCTCATTTTAAAATATTTTTGAATAAAGATGTAAAACAACAAATGCAGCCATACTCAATGTTTGTAGTAAAAACGCTAAATATAATCAAGCGTAGAATATTTTTTTTTTCAATCCAACATTATCAATGTGATGAGATCTAGTTCCTCACGGATTTTCTTATAAAAATAAATTATCTTATTTTTCTTAAATAATAAATTATCTACGTGTTTTCCGAAATATATTCTTCAAGTAAAAAATTAACTCCTGTCATTGATAATGTATGTTGTATTTTTCCAGCATTGTATGCAAACCTAGTTCTAATTCCTATACACGTTATATTTTTGTTGTACAGGATGTTAGAAAATAGATGTCATTCCATCACCCAAGTTATATTTTCATTGTTAAATTTTTTGTTAATTGCGACTTATTATATTGCGTTTTCTTTTTATAAAGCTTTTTAACTGTTTCTAAGATACAGTAATGTACTAAAATAGATTGACATTCATAATACGGTTTGAGATAAAAAAATCATTAGATAGCTCATTTTTGAATCAACTTTTAAAAATGACTTCTTTCAAAAATGAAGTTATTCTGTTATTGTCGTACCTACAAAATATAATTTGTCAATCTATTTTGTCTATTACTGTACAAGTTATATTACAAATTTTATAGATGCATGTTAACATTAATATTGCAATCATAATTTATTTTTACTTTATTTAATATAGAAAGACGTTAATCTTTAAAGAATATATTTTTCAATAATTTCTTGTATAATTCTTTACATTTTTAACACTTGTGCTACGCCTTAACTTTTAAGAGCTATAAATGTATTAAAATATGATGATAAAATAAAGTAGGACAATTTAGAAAATTTATTATTTTACTGAAGGCAAAGCTTTACAGGTTTTGTCATTATTACTGTATAATTGTATAAGTAATATATAAAAATAAAACCAAACAAAAACTTTTTTTGAATAAATGAAATTAATTCCTAGTATTATATGACTAAAAATATTTAGATTAATATTTTGTTCCCGATTCGGTAGAAAATGAGTAATTTTTGTAAAATGCCACTGCTTTAGAATTTAGCTTTCGAATTCAAAAGACTGATTCGAGTAGATTGTTCTACAAAACTATGAGACTTAGCAGATCTTGGAGATATATGATAGTATATGGTAAATTGGATTAATTCACTTGGTAATTCAATGGTAAATCAATGGTAAATTGGATTAAATAACTTCACTTATGAGCATTATACAGGGTGGTCCGAACTGTATTCCGGAAACTTCGGAAGTATATTCTGCAGATAAAAATAAGTAAAAATGTTCCTTTACATGTATGACCTAAAATGCTTAGTTTCGAAGATACAGGGTGTAGGAGTTTCATTTTTATTTCGATTTTTTCCAAATAATTGAATATTTAATTTTTTTTAAGTTTCCAAATAATTGACGTCAACATTTGGATGAAAATTCGTGTCTGGGAGTATTTTAACGTTAGAAATTTGATTTTGATATCAATGACTCCTATTTGGAGGGGGGCGCCACCTAAATATGTTTTAACTGTTTTGAAGAGTAATAACTTTTCGTCCGTACCTGCACAATACTACAGACTGAAAAAATATACATTTCCGTAACTTTTTACGTAGAAAATGTCTCTTGGTAAAAATCGCTACGAGTAACCGTTCTCAAGATATTTAGAATGGAAATAGTCAATACATGTCATTATTAACAAAAATTAAACATGTTGATTAAAGATAGTTATTTATAATTAGATAGTCATTAAAGATAGTTATTTATAAATTTGGGAACTTTTATTTTTTTAAATTAATCATAAATTTTTCTTCAAATAAATGATGATAAAACAGTTTCTGTTGAACTTTTGGCACAAAATATTTCAAATTTATGATTTCAGTCTAATAACTATTTAGTCAACATGTTTAATTTATTTCAATGATGACAGGTATTGATAATTTCGATTCCAAATAAACACACCGGAAAAATCTAGGGATATCATTTTATTAAAGTTAAAAATAAATGTTTTGAATAAACAACCAAATATTTGTAGGCCGATTCTTTCTACTTCGATTGAAACGAAGTAGTCACACTAGTTATTTCTAAATTTCGGATATTTGCAGAAGTGTTTGTGCATTTTTTGTCAAATGTATAAAAATCACCTAGCATCAATTGTTCGAATTTAACCTATACTGGCTATGTTTTTATGATAACTGGCCAGAATTTATTCAAATAACTTTGTTTAGTATTAAACAACGTTATGGAGCGTAGACATCTTAACAGAGACGAAATGCTAAGGGCCGTGGGTATGCTCGAAGGTGGAATGCACCAAATCGACATAGCTAGAGCATTAAATACAACGCAAGTGTAATATCGCGATTAAGCGCACGCTACCGTGAAAGTGGTAATGTTGCTGAAAGGCACACAGGGCGACATCGCATTACTACCCCTCAGCAAGATCATTTTTTACAATTAAATGCTCGACGCCGACCAACTCTTACAGCACCAGAGCTTAGTTTAATTCTCCAGGAAACACATTAATGTAACCGTTATTAGTTTTTCAGACACTGTTCGCAATAGATTAAGAGAGGTCAACTTAAGAAGCAGACGCTCCTGGAGAGCTCAACCCTTAACGAGAGGAAATCGAGAGGTACGATATTTGTGGGCTCAAGATCATGTTCAGTGGTCGAATGAACAATGGGCCAATGTTCTCTTCACGGATGAGTCAGGCTTTGGAATTCGTCCGGATTCGAGAAGGCTTAGGGTATGGAGAGAACCAGGAAATCTTATTAGGTTGGATCATGTTCAGGAAGTGCACCCATATCAAGGTGGAACAATTATGGTCTGGGGAGGAGTCCAGTTAGGCCAAAAAACCGATCTCGTTTTTCTTGGAAGGTTTCTAACAGGAATCACATACCGTGATTTAATTCTTGAGCCTGTCGTGTTACCATATGCCAATGATTTTGGAAGAAACTTCATTCTCATGCATGATAATGCACGACCTTATACAGCCAGAGTGGTAAGTGAGTTTATCAATGCTCATCAATTAAACATCTTACCCTGTCCGGCACAATCTCCTGACCTCAACCCCATCGAGCACGTATGGGACGCGGTCCAAAGAAGAATCTTGAGAATGGGTATGCCTCGTGAAACTCGTAGGGATCTGGTTCCGGCCGTGAATGCAGCGTGGCAGGCTGTACCTCAAGAAGAGATCGACAATCTGATCAGGAGCATGGAGAGACGATGTAGGGCTGTAATGAACAGTAGAGGAGGCCATACCCTTTATTAAGTAAAAATGGTTTTATCTTTTTTTTTAATTCACAGTTTAGAATAAAAAATTGTGTATTTTTCTGAGTTCAATAAAAATCAAGGTAAATTTGAAAATTTCGGTAGATTTAAAAAACAAAAATTTTTATTTCCAATACGTCCTCTAAACCATTTGTTTATTTTAATTTTATTATATCAGAAATGTAAAAAATAAAATTACTGGCGATGGCTGGATAAAATTGTAATATCCCTAGACTTTTCCGGTGTGTTTACCTCGAGAATAATTACTCGTAGCGATTTTTACCAAGAGATATTTTTTACGTAATAAACGTAGTAAATATATATTTTTCCTACTCAGTAGTTTTACACAGGCATGGACGAAAAGATATTATTCTTCAAACCAGTTAAAAAGTATGTAGGTTGCGCCCTCTAGAAGTAGGATTCATATTGACATCAAAATCAAATTTCTCATATCAAAAAACTCCCAGATACCAATTTTCATCCAAATATTGGCGTTACTTAAGAAATTATTTGGAAAAAATCAAAATAAAAATGAAACTTCAACACCCTGTATCTCCAAAACTAAGCATTTTAGGACCTACATTTATACGAGCTTATTTGGTTATTTTTATCTGCGAAATATGCTGCCGAAGTTTCCGGAATACAGTTCGGACCACCCTGTATATGTTCAAAACTATTTTCTATTTTTTAATTATTTCGAGCTTACAGTGTGGTCCGAATTATCGGGAAACCTTGCCAACATATTCTGCAATAAAAATAAGTAAAAAAGTTCATATAAAATCGTATCCTAAAATGCTTCGCTGTTGAGACAGGTTGAAGAAATTTCATTATTGTCTTCAACTCCAACACATTGCAGGGATAGGCGATAATCTGTATATATTTGATATGTATATGGTAATTATTGTTAAAAAATGTCTATACCTATGTGGCGGATTCATCTCTTCAAAAAAATCCTTTATGGGTATTTCGCCACTGCACTGCAAGAAAATCTACAAAATAAAATAGTTATTTTTTGTAAAGACTTCTGCGTTAAACCCATATACGTTAAACCTAAACGGACACTGCTTATCAGAAGTTATGTTTACAGTTATACAAATTTGCCTAACAAAGAAAAAATGCTTAACGTTTCGGAAAGTTTATCTCTTTCCATCGTCGGAAACAAAAAAAATACAAAGAATAAAGAAAAAAACTATTTAAAATGTTTAAATTCAACTATTCGAGAACACTTTACTTTTTTAAAACAGATACGTCTACAAGAAACCGTTGACGTTCTGTTAAAATGACATTAATTATTAATTATTGTTCTCAAGATATTTGGATTCATAAATCATTGACAAATATTATTGACTGGATAGGTATTAGAGTGAAATAATTGGAAATGTTTTTGTGCCAATGGTTCAACAAAAAGTGTTTTCATCATAATTCTTTCTAGAAAAAAATTATGATTAATTTAAAAATATTGTAGCATTAGAAGTTATAAAAAAATGATGGAATGTTTTTTTTATAAGAATTTTCTTTTAGAAAAAATATTAAAACAACTAATACTATGCGACGGAGCTGTTCGCCGGTGAGCAATGGGTCGTAAGCTAGTGAAAATTAAATTGTGATAATTACGCCTTTATAATATACTGGGCGCCACTCAGTTTTCCATTTACTTTCAAAAACTTCTAAGTTGAGAACTGAGAAATCAACTCAGAATATAGGTATTATTTATTTTAGGAATTACACAAATGAAACGCTGAGATAAACTAACAACTAAGTATAATTAATAATTAAATGTTAATTAGAATAAAATAGTAGTTTTCTACCAGTACTAACAAAAAGTTATTGCTTTTCAAAACAATTAAAAACATGTACAGTACGGCTGTCCGTTCTGTATCTACGGGGTATCCGTGAGAGGGGAAACGATATTCTCTCGATGTTTTTCGTAAAAAATTAGACGACGCGTCCCATCAATAAAAATTAGACAAATTTGCAAGTAGCCAATAAAATGAGTGGGCGGAGCGATTTGCGGTGACGTACTCGTCAAGTCGACGTATAAAATATATTGCTGTTTATTTAAATGTTTTTTGTCCGCATTCCTAGACACAGATCCAGCAGACGTACTGTAGGTGGCACCTTCTACAAGTAGGAGTCATTTTAACATCGAAATCCAAATTTCTCATGTCAAAAAACATCCACTCACAGATTTTCATCCAAATATCGACTATAGTTCAGAAATTATTAGGAAAAAACCGAAATAAAAATGAAACTTCTACACCCTGTAGTATCTCAGAAACGAAGCATTTTGGGACATGAATTTATACGAACATTCTCACTTAGTTTTATCTGCAGAATATACTGTCGGAGTTTCCCGAATAGAATTCGAACCGGTCTGTAGACACACGAAGAAAATAAATTTGCAGCCCCAACTTTTGATAGCAGCATTCCGTATATGCGGTACAATAACTAAAAAATTCAATAGGAATTTATCTTCATCTGGGACGATCGAGGAAAATTGGTCTATCGATAATTCATGGCGATCGACTTGTCAGCCACCCCTGTCTATACGCCATGTAATCATAATATATTTATGAAGAATTATTCTAAGTCAATTAAATATTGAGTACAATTCAAATATATTCTCACTCCTTATTAAAAGAAAAGTGAAAATAAAATTCATTATCACAATTTTTTCGTAGTTTATTTTTAACCTTTAACTTATAAAATTTATTTCTATCTGTAGCAGATCTGTATAATTTCCAATAATTCTGATGGTTTTATACAAAGGTTGGTACGAATAGAAAATATTAAGCAAAAACGATCGTGTATAAATAAATACTTATTTATATTCAATATTTAAAATAAAACCGTATATTAGTACAGTCGTAACTGGAAACAAATAGGTCTTACATTTTCAACAAAGTTCGTACAAGACTAAATGAGGAAAAATACAATAAAAATTATAAAATCACTTATTAAATTGCTATTCTAAACTAAATATGTACTCAAATGTTCTCATCGTAAAGAGGAGTAGCATCTCCCAGAGACATGCTATGGGGGGACATATTTGTCCTGGGTGTAGAACGTAGGGACTTAGGGCTTTTCCCTACGTTCTTCATTTTGGTTCGTTCTAAGTCGGCTCGAATATCGTCGAATTTTGGGGTCCTTAGACCAGTAGAACCTCTAGGAGTGATCCTACCACTATCACTCCTTGGAGTAGCTGAAATTATAATTTTTATATAGTTTTACATTAACTGTAATACAGTTCAAACTCACTTCTACTTCTAGCAGCCCAAGCTTCTGCTGCTTTTTGCCAGTCCATTTGTTCTGAATTGGCATACGCTCCAGTTCCGTATCCCGGTATTGGGCCGCTCCTAAAATTATAATTAAAGATAGTAAAAGCATTCGAAACAGGAGCTGTTCAAAAAATACCTTGGTGCGCTTCTTCGACTCTGGCTAGAATATGAACTTTGTGACGCCGGACTTGGTACAGGACTTGCAGTTATCATGGGAGACTGACTTGGTAGATTCCGATAACTATTGGGAGTTCTGTGAGAAGGAGTGACAGCTCCCGGGTGCAAAAATGGTCCAGACGCCATTCCTGCAGGTACAGGAGATGGTGTTGCTTGACCATACCTGTTAAAAAATTACTTACTTATGATTACAACTTAAATATCACATATAACAAACCTTGGCGTTTGTTGGGTATATGGAGTCATAAAAGGTGTCTGTCCACTAGGTGTGTATGGCGTGTTAATATAGTTCGCTCCATAAGCACCTCCAGGCGTATGTGGGTAATGAGGAGTTTGATTGGCAACTGCCGACAAACTTTGTAACATGTGGGTTGGTAGGTTTTGTGCAACCCTCTGTATAGCCTCAGGATTCATTCCTATAATAGATATCTCATTTAATATATTATTTAAAACAAATTTTATCTCTATTACCATTAAACGGCGTTGTAGCAGTTCCTTGATATGGAGTTCTACCAGATCCCAATCGAGGAGTACTGGGTGTACCGCCAGGTATTGGATCTCTAAAATGTTCTTTAAACCATTTAAATAATGACGTAACAGAGTCAAACATTTGTTGTCTAGAATAGAAAATACATAATGTTACGTTAAAACAGTTATTTTAAAGGTTTATTTACCTAAATCTAAATCCTTCTGGAGTAACGCTAACATATTCGTGTCTCACTTTGTTTCTAGGTAAATAAGATAACATGAATTTCCCTGGAAAACTTTTTGCTGCGCTTATGACATAATGTATCTTGGCAGGATTTTTCTTTTTCTCTTCTTTCAGAAACTCTTCCGCCTTATCTTTTAAACCTCCTTCTGTATCTTTATAATACCTGTAAAGACAGAAATAACAGAACCGACAACAATTTTGTTTAAGTTTAGTATTTACCTAAAATAAAGCAAATCTCGAGCATAGGATGCCATTGGGTTAACATATCTAGCGATAATTTCATCCAGGTCTTCAAACTCCTCATTTGCTATCCACAAAGATTTACCTAATGAAAATGCGTTAGCTTTACCCTCTTCTTTTACATCAATGTGTTGGTAAATGTTATCGGCCACTTTCCAAGTGATTGTCAAATGATCAACACCTAAACATAATGAATATTGTATAATACATATAATTTATTTATGAAAAATTTACTAGATTTAAATATGACATTAAGAAAACAGATAGTAGTTCATTTGTACCGCACATAAAATTAAGTTTCTCAAAATTACATAACTAATTAAAATTATTTTTCGATGGTATAATTACCTTTACTTGACGGTCTTACTATCACTTCGCCTTGATCCATATTGACCATACATTTTTCCGCTTCGGCATAAGATATATTGTGAAAAGCTGGATGAACAATTACTCTCTTAATATAAGTTTGTTTTTGTTTGTCTTTCTTCTTCTCTGCCTCAGTTCTATATAAAAGAAATAATATAATTTTTACATGAGTAGGTATTTAAAATTTACATATTAAAGAAAAATTAAAACTTGCCTGTTATCTTTGTCTTCCTGTTCTTGGTCATAATATGGATCCCTAGGAGGTCTCCATTCGTGATTTTTATCTAACAAATCACTTGATTTTGATGTACAATCCACGGAGAATCGTTCTACGTCTAGATTACCAATAAGTACATATAATAAAATAAAGGCAATATTGTAAAAAAGTTAATATTACCTATTTTCATTATTCTACAGTGTATAAGTTGTCCAATTCCAACGCGTTCTTCTGGATTGGAAACGGTTTTGTCGCTTAAATTTTTAATATAAATATAGCCAGAAATACCATTGTCTAATCTAAAATGACTTTATTAATTAAAAGAAAAAAACATATAGGACACAGAATACCTCAATTTAACCCCAGTAGCTTGCCCTGGGCAAGAACCAGCATCAAAGTGGTTCCATACATCCGATAATTCTGGAAAATCATTCTTTAAACAGAATGGACATTGCCACAGTCCAGTTTCATCGTTACGGACTGGATTGGCTGAATCCAGTTGCTCGCCTGAAAAAAATTTAAAACAATTAACATATCAATATCAAACAATGTTTTTAAATGCGCACCTTGTGGTTTTCTCCTAGCGATTCCTATTACCGAAGCTTGTACTAATTTCCCGATGTAAAATGTTTCTGGTGTTTCTTTAGTTAACATATCAAATAACTCTTCTGGATTCGCGGATCTGTAAGGTGTTCTTAAATCTTTATATCTAGAGTTTAATTCCGCTCTTATGTCGTATAGAGTAATGCTCTTGTTTCCAAATCCTTAAAAAAGTATATGATAAATATTGTATTATATTATTAATAGTTTGTCGAGTGTGTTTGAACCCCATTTGTTGAGTCTCTACTTTTTAATTAAAATGAAAGGCAACGATTGACATAAATTCATTTACTGGTCAGATACTAGTAGCAGATTTATTGTGGTTACAATTTTATGAGTGTATCCAAAATAAGGTAATATCAGGGGACTGAAATAAGGTTGTAGCAGACTAGCAGATAGTGCTGACCACATTACGTTCTTACTATACACTGAGGGCTATATATAGTGCTACAAGAAGAGGATATTTGTTTTAGGAGAGGAGTTTAATTTATTAATAGTGATAGAGCATGATAATGATCATTCTAGTTTACAAGTAAATTGTAATTTCTGTAATTTTTGTATGTCGTATCGGAAATTTTCCCCGGTTGTAGGACCTTCTTGATACCGGACATTGGCACTTAAATCTTAGGACCCAACATCCCTACTCAAATTCAGGGTGTAAACATATAAATGTAATATTAAACAGGTAACAATAGAAAACTAAGGCTACAATAATGGACATAACTAATAATATAGCAAATGTATATCTAATCTATACCTTGACGTTCCAGTTCTTCAGCAAATGCGTCGAGGTCAAGATCTTTCAATCTTTCAGGCGTCTCCAGGATCTCTTCTAAAGCACCAGCTGGGTTGGCTCCTTCGTCATCGTCATATTCCAAAGCGTCAACGGCCATCTTACGGGCCCATTCGTACGTTTCTGGATGCACACGAGATCCATCTAGAATTTCTACGTACGCTTCTGTACTATCTCCCAAACTGTTAGTATCAATCTAAAGAAAAACACACCTTATAAAATAGTAAAAATCTTAAAATTTTTCATTAAATCAAAACACTGCAAGCTACTGGTATGTTTCGTTTAAGGCAAATCATACCACTACCATCTAAAACTTTCCAATTATCAAACTTACAAGTCTAGTTAATGTTGGAAAACCGAAAACGACGAGTCTTCAAACTGTCAACCATACGCCATTCGAACAATGGATAACGGCACAGTTGAGACAAAGTAAGAACAAATGGAAGATTCAGACATCAGGGCAACTCTACAAATCAGAGAAAGTAAGAGCGAAAGACTACCATTACAGAATGTAGCGCACTGACGGTTGTTTTTCAAAACTCTCGGCCATCAATGGGGTTCTTTGGTGATTGACAATTGACTGTTAAAGTATTGGGAGAAATTCAAGAAAAAATAAACAATCCATCTTGAAGACCTATATAAAGCTAGTTAAGAAAACGTCCTTACTGGGAAACTAAGCAAAGATGCCAACAATGTATGTAGATATTACAGGTCCATTCTCAGAAAAGCAATATACGGATATAAGGATCTAGGAAATGCAATATCTAACAAAAATAAAAGTAGCTAAAATATAGTTTTTTTACATACACTAAAAATATTAGAGAGTTGTTTTGTCCTATTCGATAATACTTATGTTTTTGTTTATATATATTTTAGAACCAAATGTAAAGAGTTCTATTCTATTCTATAAAGTACCATATGATCGAAGAAAAAACGCCGTCCGGTTTGCTGGGAAATGACGATCGATGACATTTCCCCTTTAAATTTACATATAAAACGACAGCGATTTACGGTGGTTTGTTTGTTGAAATAAAATAAATTGAATAATTATCAGATTTTACACTTGTTTATCTATACTTCAGAAATCAAATGTATCTAATTAGAAAAATTTTAATTTATAGTTTTATAAATTGTAAAACGTCTATATAAATAAATTCTGAAAAGCCTATACCTTAATGAACCCTGAGCAGTTAATGAAAACTTTAGGACCCATATGGCAAGCTGTAACAAGTTGGGTCCTGTTCTCTAATCTTTGGTTTGTTTGCTTAAGCACTTTCAAGAGGGCTTGTCCTTTTCTCGGCCCCAAACCACATAGAAATTGGATTAAGTGGCTTTTGTGAGCTTGCTGTACAGCCAAATTTACATCTACGCCAACTTCATTTGTTCTGAAATGTGGAAAAACATCATTAATATCGAAAATAAATACAAACATTTAAATACACTAGACTCTCGATTATCTGAGCTAATGTGGGCCTAGCTCGGATAATCCGGGTTTTTTAAATTTGTTTTTTTTTATGTACTGTACACAGCTTCGGCTATCCTCTGTAAAGTAATGCAGACCTGTGACACTGCCTTAATACAAGAACCCTGGAGGCTGACCAGTGTAGCTGTTATACCCAAAACTGGGCGCCGGGATTATTCTACGGCGAAGGCCTTTAGGCCCATCAGTCTGGTCTTTTGTAATAAACTGGTCTTTTGTACTAAAAGCTCTTGAGAAACTAATGGACAGGCATGTTAGAGACGAAGTAATGGGATAAAGACCATTTCACCCAGACCAGCATTTCTACACAGCAGGACGATCGATCGAATCAGCACCCTATCAGCTAGTAAGAAAAGTGGAGTCGACGTTCGAAACAAGAGAAGCGCTTTTAGGGGCATTTTTCGATATAGAAGAGGCGCTCTTCATTTCAGTTACTGACGAGCTACAATGAACCTCGGATTAGAGGAGACCTGCTGCAGGTGGATAGACTGCATGCTGAAAAGTCGAGTAACCCTACTAAATGAGACTGTTGCAGGCCGGGTGGCAGGAGGATGCAGGGGGAGTTATCTCCTCTCTGCTGTGGAATCTCGTTATGGAAGGACTGTTTAATTAATTAAATAATAATTATCTCAACGGGGCTGGTTTCAACAGTCTGAGATTTGCAGACGATTTGGACGTGATAGTTAAAGGTAAGTTCAACACAAAAGCAAGGGAGCCATTGTAGAAGGCCCTGAAGATTGTAGAATCGTGGGTGACATGGGAGGGACTAAGTATTAGTCCTACAAAGACCGTAATAATTCCCTTCACCAAGCGAAGAATTTTGGGGGGACTAGGACCTCTAAGACTCTGAGGTGAAGAGAACCCTCTCTCGGGGGAGGCCAAGTATCTAGGAATCACGCTGGATACCAAACTGACCTGGAACCGACATTTGGAAAATATCACAAAGAGGGCGTTGACTACACTAGCGGTGTCAGACGACTTCATGGAAAAATCTGGGTCCTCAGACCACAAATGGTGCCATTGGTTGTACACTGAGGTAATGAGACCTTCAGTAACATATGCATCCTTGGTATGGTGGCCTAAGGTAATGCAAGAAACAACAATGCTCAGCCTCAGCAAGGTGCATCGCACTGCATCAATGGAGACCTCTTCTGGACTATTCGCCTCTTCACATAGTGATCTAGACGGAGGCAAGAATGGGACTTTATCGACAACTAAGTGTGTTGTCTCTGGGAAATAGGATAGAAACAGGAGACTTAAAGATGGTGGATTCTATCAGGGAATCTCTACTCGAAATGAGATCGGACCAAATGACTTTATTCACTACCACAAACCATTTGAGGTGAACAAAATGGATCGAAGAATGTGGACAGATACGACATTCCTTCAGGACGGACTAACCTGGTATACAGAGGGGTCAAAGACCGCTGAAAGAACCAGAGCTGGAGTATTTGGGGAAAGACCAAGGGCAGGCTTATCCTTTTCCTTGGGTAAATACTCAACCTTATTCCAGGCAGTAATAAGAAGTAACAAGAATACAATGTGCGAGAAAAAACAACAGAAGAGCTTATTCAGGTAAGCTCATCAATATATGCTCAGACAGTCAGGCGGCACTTGGGGCGCTTATGAGCCCAAAACTATCGTCGAGACTCGTCTGGGAATGCCTAAGTGAACTGGGAGCTCTGGCACGAAGTAACAGAATTAAATTATTCTAAAAGGCAACGAAAAATTCGATGAGCTAGCTAGCCAAGTATCATCGGCATCCTATCTTAGTCCAGATACTACTGGGAATACCCAAATGTATAGCCCTTAGTGCACTAAAACTCTGGATCAGGGAAAAGTAGAATGTCCACTGGAAAAACAGACAGGGGTACAGGCACAGCAAGGCCTTTATCCAAGAACCTAGCTAACCACAAAAGAACTGCTAATGACAGAACACATGGCTGTCAAGTGTTACCTGAACAAGCTCAACCTGTATCAAGGAAGTCTTTGCTGCAGATGGATATACCTGCTATGCGATAAAATCCTGAAACAGCAGAGCACATAATGTCACTGCGAGGCTCTGGATCACAGGCGACACTTTTTATTAGGGAAAGCTAGGCTAGAACCGGAGGAACTATGCTCCCATCCTATCAAGGACCTGCATAAGTTGGTGCAGGGTAAGGGATAGGGATAAGAGAATTCCTTCCATGATTCGCCTGAACATTCGTCGATGCAGAGCCAACTTGGAGATGATTCAGAAATAGAGAGTCTACTGTATTACAATACCTGTTTATGCTTATGCAAAAAAATAGATAAAAAATCTCTTATAAATAAAGAAGTTTTTTTGCTCCATTATAAAGACATTAAAATGTTTGTGAAGTCGGCCCAAAAAATATCTAGAGACACCATCCAATGACGAAATATACAGTTTACATGTCAATTAAAATTAAGACCATAACTGTCATTGTCACGTATTCGGTCTTTGGATAGACTTAATATAATAATAGAATATAAATAAGAAAAATATAATGAATTTGAAATACTAATATAGAGAGAAATTATTTCGATTATGACTAACCTGTTGACAAACTCAAGACAAAGCGCTTCCAGAAGTTCTTCTTTGCCAATTTGTTCCTGTAAAGGATGAAAACGTAAGCTAAGAATTTCTTCATCTCCATTGCATAATTGGGAGTATTCAATTAAAGGGTCTTGCATTTTTCTAGCAATGGAAATAGCTTGTCTCAAAAGTTCAGGATAATCTCTAAAAATATAGTTTATATAAATATTTTGAAAGAAACTTAAAACTAACTCAAAATTGATAACAAAACATTAGTAACTTTTTAACTAAGAAAAGCTTAGTTTGGGTTGTACAATTGTTGAATAACAAACGTACCAATTATGTTAAATAAAATTATCAACTAGGAAATAAATGGACCTCTCGTTTTAAAATTAAGGAAGTTAAATGTAAGTCGAAAAATTACCATTATTTTTATAATATGTGTACTGTGATATTACAATAATAATTCGAATTTAGGGTGGTTTTGTTTAAAACAATACTGTTACTTTTTATTATTTACTATTGCAATTATTTTATAGTCAAAAGTGATGTTCCATTTTTTGCACACCAATATAGGTCTAGTTATGTTCTTTTTAACGCATACAAAACATTTCAATATAAATGACAATAAAAACAAAAATACCTAAAATCAGCCGTGCCTTTGTTTGAATTCGCGTAGACTTTAGCCAGCTCATTATCCACAATCTCTACTTTCAGGGTTGGAAACTGTTCTGCTTCGACTAAATCATTTATAATTCCTCTCAAGTCGTCCGCTATCATCAGGGCTTCCCTGGATTCTCCACCTATTGCAATGACGTGAGGCTTCTTCGTGTAGATAAAATTTCGTAGAGCCGTCAAATCGGCCTCTTTCATCAATTTTTCTTCTTGGCGATAACTGTTCTTTCTTTTTAAAATGTGCGGTAAACGAAGATAGTCCGTTATATCACCATCTGGAGCGGCGATACAAGTAAAAGCTGACTGAGAATAGTCTGGGACATAAGCCAGGCCCATAACTCTAATACCTTAAAAATAGTAATAAACATTAGTAAGAAGGTTTGTAACCTGAAAATAAAAAAAAAAACGGATGTCGGTTTAATTAAATTGATATCAAATCGAGATGCATGCTCTCTGTTTTTTCATAATTCAAACAAGGATGCTACAGCGCTAGTGTAAGTTGAGAAAGAATTATTATATTTTTTTTCTACTTAGTTTACATTGCAAATGTTCAATGTATTAAATAATAAGTATCCGTTTTAGTATTTCGTATTTTCAGAACTTTTAATATTATAAAGTCAAGGGTGTAATGTGGATCTTTATAATTTTTGTTGCATATAAAATTTGTAGTCAACATAATCTTGAATGAGTACAACAAATAGATGAGTTAGACGGCAATTAATGTAAATAGGTAAATGCTATAAAACAATTTATTTCATTGACATACAGGGTGGTCCGAACTGTATTCCGGAAACTTCGGCAGTATATTCTGCAGATAAAAATTAGTAAAAAAGTTCGTATAAATGTATGTCCTAAAATGCTTATTTTAAGAGATCCAGGGTGTAGAAGTTTCATTTTTATTTAATAATTCATATTTAATAATTAATGATTTTTTCTAAATAATTTCTGAAATAACGTCAATATTTGGATGAAAATTAGTGTCTGGGAGTTTTTTGACATGAGAAATTTGATTTTGATGTCAATATGATTCCTACTAGTAGAGGGCGCCACCTACGTGTGTTTTCACTGTTTTGAAGCGTAATAACTTTTTGTCCGTACCTGTATAAAATTAATAATAGCTCCCGTATATAGCGTTTAACGCCTTGGGAGTAGCAAGGTACAGCTTGCTATACTAGAGCCGTTCGGTATACAAGGAAGGTAATGTGGCTAGCAGTACGCTTCAACCGCCTATTATTACCTCAGGATTGTGAATTAGAGGTGGGAATTCTAGTTCCTTGGGGAAACAGTTGGGAACTAGTTCCTTAGTTCTAGTTCCTCCAGAGGAATAGTTCCTTGAAGTAGGTCTTTAGTTCACAATAGTTCCCGACTAACACTGACATCCCCCTTGCTTGCTAATGCGTTTCGTTGTCAGTCTGAACTATTCACAGTATGATCTGTATAATTTTTATAATGTACGGAGATATAACGAGACGTGTAATTGTGTATGTTAAAAACATATAGGTAAGTTTTATTGCAGATTTAAAAAAATAAAAAAAAAATCAAATCAAAATTTAAAAACCTATATCACAAATCAATTGGAGCAAATATTACAAAAATTGCATTTTTCCTCACTTCAAGCTTTTTGTTTTTGTCTAAAAATTCAGAATACCTACTTCGTTTTATAAGATATTTCTTAATTTTATAAGGACCTAAAGTGAAACATTCCCATAAAATATTTAAAAAACAAACTAAAAATCAAAAACAGTACCACGACAATTTTCTGTGGTAATTACGCCGCGGCGGCTGTGGCAATAGATGCCACAGCCACATAAAGGCCGAATCCATCGTCGTCGCCTTGTATTATATCTCGGATCAGCCAACTGAATAGATTCCCGTGAACTAATCTTTTAATAGTTCCTCTATGTCCGGATCCTATAACATACGACTGGCACTCCCCACGCCTGCCTAGCATCAATCGCGCTGGCTGATCCATACGTAAACTAGTCTTTTATTTAGTTTAGTTCCTCTAGGTTCGGATCCAATTTTTTTTCTCTAACAAAAAAAAAAAAAAGTCCGGATCCAATAATGTACAGCTGGCACTCCCCACTCCTGCCTACCATCGGGCTACGCGCGCTAGCCGATCCGTCGCCGTCGCATATTATTCTATATCGGTCACAGTCTCGATCCCGGAATAGGTCCTGAGGAACTAGTTCTTTGAGAAACCAGGAACTAGTTCCTTTCATTCCGGGGTCGGAATAGTTCATTCACGAACTACACACCTCTATTTTGAATCCCAAGTACTCATTTAAGGCTGAGTCGACTTAGGTACCCAAACTATTTTTATTTTAATAAAAATAGTCGGCTGATGAAATGCCGGGTGTGGGAATCGAACCCACACCTTGAGATTGGTAGACGAGAGCCTGTACCTCTACGCCACCGGGCACCTCTGTATAAAACTACCGATCGAAAAAATACACATATCTGTGATTTTTTACATAAAAAAATATCTCTTTGTAAAAATCGCTACGAGCAACCGTTCTTAAGATATTTAGAATGGAAATAGTAAATACATGTCATTATTTACGAAAAATAAACACGTTGAGTAGATAGTTATTTCACTCAAAAAATAAATTTCTGCAAAAAATGATGATAAAACAGTTTCTGTTGAACATTTGACACAAAAACATTTCGAATTTATGATTTGAGTCTAATAACTATTTAAGGGGTTTTCGGAAACTGTGATCTGATTGATCGGATTGATAGGATTAGTAATCCAGACGTTCGAAAAGTGATCTCAAAACGAGTCAATGCGTTCGGAAAGTGATCCGAATAACTCGATTTTTGCCATATGTTGTGATCCTACTAACCCTTCTAACGAGATGGGTAGAATTAATCAGCTGATCATTTCTAGGGTAATTTTAAAAATAACGGTCCGCATAGAAGTATAATTTTTTTTTATAACTGTTTTGTCCGAAATCACTTTATCTAATGTTGATCAAATACATGATATTTTGTTAGTGACGGAGAAAATGAGCCAATCAGCATAGCATCAATTAACTCTAGATTTTAAATAAATAAAAAACCAACAAGTAATTCTGAAGATACTGACTGCGAAAAAGCACTATCGGAGACACCCAATAGGAAAAAAATGAAAACTGAACTACAGAACTAAGTGGTTTAAAAGATTTAGATTAAAATAACCAGGCATAATCAAAGAATGGAACTTGATAAACAATTTCTGAAAATTTTCATCACAATGGTAGATAAAATTGATATATTTTTTTTATTATTAATATGTTGGAATGTTTATTATGTTGACAGTAAATAAATGATTAAAATAAATATAAAAATAAAACACATTTTGTTTTTATAAAAAATAGTCTTACAGAAACAAAAAAGTATACAATCGTTAAAGATGGATATTAAGGTTATTTGCTTCATTTATCTCTTTTTACGAAATATATTTAAATGTGATTGTTAACCCGGTTAAGCTAATGATCTAACCGTTCGTAATTAAACTACCAGCTGATTACTCTCAGCACTGATCTTGGAACAGCTGATTAGTAAACTACCTAATCTAGGATTTTAATTCCGAAAACCCCTTTAGTCAACATGTTTAATTTATGTCAACGGTGACAGGTATTGATAATTTCTATTCAAAATATCTCGAAAACCATTACTTGTAGCGATTTTTACCAAGAGACCTTTTTCACGTAAAAAAACTCGTAAATGTATATTTTTTTACTAAGTAGTTTTATACAGGTACAGTCGAAAAGTTATTACTCTTCAAACCAGTTAAAAAATATGTAGGTGGCGCTCTCTACTAGTAGGAGTCATATTGATATCAAAATCAAATTTCTCATATCATAAAACTTCCAGACACCAATTTTCATCCAAATATTGACGTCACTTCAGAAATTATTTGGAAAAAATCGAAATAAAAATGAAATTTCTACACTGTGTATCTCCGAAACTAAGCATTTTATGACATATATTTATACGAACTTTTTTTACTTATTTTTATCTGCAGAATATGTTGCCGAAGTTTCCGGAATACAGTTCGGACCACCCTGTATATGCAGTGAAAATGTCGACAATTATATAATTTTTTTTGTTTTAATTTTAGACTTTATAGGATCTAATTAATAATTATGTAGTAATACACAATAAATATTCAAAATAATCTAAGAAAACTATTGTCTAGAATTCATTTAAATGTTAAAGCTCCCGCTGTATTGATCATTGATTAAACTTTTAACAAAAAACTGTATGTTTATTAACTTTAGCATTAATAAAAAGGGAGGTATCATTAATACTTCTTATCTATTGTAGCCAACAAAAACTTATTATAAACATAATATCACCATTATTATTTATTCAAAATTGTGTTTGATTTCAGCAAGTAAGTTTACCTTTAGCTGTATCCCATTCATCTTCATCCTCCTCAGGAAATTCAACTTGATATGGGGCAATCTTGATCCAGTTATATAACTTTCGGCAACAAGCTCTTAGAACAAATTCCTTTGCCTCTGCTAGTAGAATTCTTTTAATTTCTGATTGCAAGTCTGGAAATATGCATCTGGTCAAAGCACGCTCAACACACTCCGCTCGAAGTTTGTTCCATTCTTGAACATTCTTACTGAATTCGTCCCTAATATAGAGTTGTTTTACTTCATCGACATATGAATTTGTTGTATGTCCTATAATAAATAATCAAACTTAAGCTGGAATAATATTATATGAAGAGCAAACGGGAATGGTCCTGAGGATATTTTTAAGCAAATTAAAATTTTTATCAATTAAAAATCAGAATTATGATTTGGTTTGGTTTGGTTTGGTTTGGTGACCATCTTTGATGAGAGCAACAGCGAGAAGGGTTGGGGTCATAAAACATAATCATAGGCGCTACAACTTTTACAAATTACATCAGCCGACTTTTTTATTTAATAAAATAATGAACGAGCCCACAATAGATTGCAAAAAATTGTTCACTTTTTGTTACGTTGGCTGATCGTTCTGTAGTTATTCTGTGGTATAATAGCTACCTTATGTGGTTATGAACCCCTGAAAGAGACAAAAAGTGGAACTGTTTTTTGTGAGCCCAAAACATCTATGGGGAGGAAGCCATTAGTTGTTGATGACTGTTCTAGAAGCATAATAAGACGTGCACGCCTTTTACGGCAAGGAAATACCAATTCTCGATAAAATTCAGAAAGATGCAAATGAAGACAAAAACTTGCCGGTCATGGAAAAAAAAAACTTTGGACAACTTTAAAGGAAATGAACTTCTCATGAGAAAAGTACAAGTCTGTACTCATTGGCAGGGGACATTCGTAAATATCGCAGGGAAGGAAATTCTATCTTCTACCTAGACGAAACATGGCTGAATGAAGAACATTCACACAAGAAAACGCCTTTTGCATTTATAGTGAAGCTCTTGTGCTCTCAAGCTTTAATAAATAGACTTTAAGAGACAGTAATGATGTGGAAATAAAAAAATTACTTCTGCTCAGAGGGTTTTTTTCAAAAAGATTAGCTCTACTAGTCGCAGAGACTAACAAATTTGATCGCTCGGTCAGAAATCTCTACCATGACGGCGAGGATAGTCGATAAAAGTCCGTGAACTACGTCTCTTCGAGACAGTTGAAAGTGTCAAAAAACGGAAATGTTCGCGCAGATTAAAATTAAGTAAAATGAACTAAACAATACTCGCAATGCCATCTCGGTGTGATAATTTAAAACATGAATTTACATAAGCTAATTAATAGTTATTTTTTATACAAGACTGGTAAGTAAAATACAAGAAATGGTATTTTATCGTCGACCAAAAAGATTAATTCACGAGTGATGAAATCGCGAGTGAATTAATTTCGGGAGACGATAATGCAATTTTATCGTTTTGTATAAAACAATATTTTTTTCCATAGTGAGTTATGTTTTAAAAAATATTCAGAAATTATAATAATAATTTCTGAATATTTTTTTAAAACGTCACTTTCTTTGAAATGTCAAGGAATTTATTACGAGTAGAAAAAAATATTGTGCTGGGTTGGCGTTGGTTTCTATGTAATTTGACAAATAAATAAAGTTGTCTCTTTAGTTGTCAGTTTTGAGTCAATATTTTTTAATTCTCTTTCGTGTCGATTGCTGATTGAATTGGAGCCTTTGATTGTAGCCAGAAATGGCTTAAAACGAAATAAGTAAATTACCAACAGATATTCAGGCTGAGGCGACAGTTTGAACGCCATATCCAAACTACTTCCATTTAAATCCCGAATAACTTATGAACAGAAATACAAAAATTTTCAAAAATGGAAGCAATTAAAAAACGTGTGAGAAGAAATAAAGTTTTTAACCTATCCCCGCTGTTAAAGTATCATTTAATCCACCCTTGCGGTTAAAGTACTATTTTATCTACTATTTTTGATAGATTCTGAAAAAAAAATTCTGTAGATTTTAAAAATAAAATGCTACAACTGACAAGTGGTTGAAAAATAGTTTGCAAATTTTGGTTTCGGTGAACTATCCTGACACACGACTTTTCCTAGAAAATGAAGCTTATGTTACCTTAAAATGAATTTGTTGGATTATTTGACTAACATCTGATGTGGAAAAACACGTTTCACATAAAAAACATTCTTAAAAATGTTGTTGTAGATAATGAAAGAGTCATAGATAAATGCAATAAGTTTAGATTGGAAAGCCCGTAAAAATTTTGGGTCGCGACCGTTATACGCGATCTGGCGCTGCTATAGCGGTCGCTAAGAACAACGGCAAACAAAAACAGAAATAATTATCTCTTGTCAAAGTCAGAATCTTCAAAAATCATAATAATCTTTCAAAATCTAAACCGCTCTTATTAAAGAAATTCCGAAAAGTGTTTATAGCGTTCATTTTCAAAGTAATTATTGCTATCTTGTGAGTTTAATTCAAGTTTTATTCACTCCAACCGGTGATAATTGTGAAAAAGTGGCATTAAAAACTTAAAAAGCTGTGCTGTGAACTGTGAACTGCAAAAACCATCGTGGATCGTGGCATAACGTCGGTTTCCAAAGTTTCATAGGTATTTCATACATGCGTCCTTATATAAAATAAAGTTTCTTGTATGCAACACACTGTATTTTATTTATAAAATTAAACGAAAATAATAATAAATTTGAATAAACAATATTTGGCAATATAATTCCGGAAAAAGCCGAACCGCTCCGAAATTTTCAAAAGTTTTGGGTCGCGACCGTTGCAAGAATAGCGCCAAATAGTGTTTACATTGTCCTTATGGGCACTTTCCAATCTAAACTTGTTTCATTTATCTATGGAAAGAGTCGCGGACTCGTTTATATCCGTTTCTATGTTTACGCTGACAGTAGTGAAGGTCGAGTTTTGACAAATATTGCGAATTGATACATGGTTGTTAGATCAGCTAGTAAATTATCCGGAATTTCACGCATCTTTTTTTAGGGAAAAAAAATGACGTCATAGGTTTTAAAATGTTTTTTTTAATACGAATTAGATTACTTTAGTTTATCAAATTGGCTAAATTACCGCCGCGCCGGCGAGACAATTGCTATAGTTATAGCTTTAGCAATAAAAACACGCTGTAAGCTGTAAGCAACCAAAGTAAAGAAAACTAAGCGTGTTTTCATTTCTTTCCTTTGTGTTTGGCTCGGGTTGAGTTGGTTTGGTTTCGTTTGGTTTTGCATTGGTTGATTTTGTATTGGTTGGTTAGGGTTTGGTCGATTTGGTTTGGGTTGATTAGGCTGTTTTTTTTTCCTTTTTATCTCTTTGATTGATATTTTGGTTTAAACAAGAGTGAAACAAAAGCAACAAAAGCACGCGTAAGCGTTTTGTTTCACTCTTTTGTTGTTTATTTTAGTTTTCACGTTCACACATTACCAACGCATTTTTATTATTAAAAATTACTATTTTTTCAAAATCAAAATAAATAAAAAACAGAAAAAGAAAATTCAGTGGAGACTGGCAACATGATTTTCCTTTTGTCGCTGTCATGTTAAATCAAGTGTTAAAATTCTCCATAACGTCAAATATGTGTCAAAAACTACTAAAATTACATTAAAATATTTTAAAAATCTGTGCATAATCTCCATTTATTTTTATTTAAAACTACTACTAAAAATGGTTACTTTTTGATAAAAAAAAAGAAAAATGCAAAAATCGTGTGTCAGGATAGTTCATCAGACCCCAAATTTTGAAACAGACAACTAACATACGAATATATTGCAAGTTAAATAAAAGCTTATAAAAATAATTACAGAAAATGGCAAATATAGTATCACAAGCCAAGAAAAAAGTAAAGAAATTAAAAGTATTGCAAAAAAATAAGAACGTTTTACTTTATTTTTTGTCCCGAGTGCTCTTCAAATGTAAACCTTACCTTCAATTGTGTCACTAATTTTAATTTTTATAAGTTGCTCTTCTTCTGCTAATGTGAGTTTCAGGAATTGATCACTAGTTAGATCTCTTACTGGCTTATTCTTCAAATATTTCATGCTATAACAAGAATGAGCTTCATCAATAACTTTTTGTCCTTTTCTTGTAGGCGCCACACTTAATTTAGCTCGTTCATAAAACGCCTCCCTTACGCACTTTCGAACCAATGGTTCTCTAGCAATTTGTAAAGCGACCATATATGTTGTTGCCTAATTATGATAGGAAAAAGAACCACATTAGAACTTTGAATTATAAAGAAAGAAAGAAAAATTAATATACAATACCTGAAGTACTTCCTCCACAGTTTGAAATTTGGCTGACAAAAATTCTTTTGCAACCTCTGCTGGTTCTGTAGGTTCCTGATCAACATCGTGTCGTTGATAGTTATCACGTAAATTTTCAGCGAAATGCTGAGGAGTTAAACCTATTCAGATAAAAAATAAACAAAACGCATTGAGTGAATTAAAAACTAAATTTTACCAAATTTCTTTGCTAGTGTATCTAAGCCAGCTTTGCTACATAATGCATAAGAGCCTGAACGATTAGCATATTTTATAGTTTCAGGTTCGGGTTCATCATCATCTTCGTCTTCAGGAATTTCGTCAGGGATTTCAGCTCCGTCTTCCGCTTCGGCTAAAGCTTTCAGTCGTGCTTCACGTTTTTCCTGTTTTTTCCTAAAATACAACAATAAAAAACATGACAATTTTATAAATAAATATTTAAAAAAATAAATTTACTGTCTAACAAGAAATCACAATAAAAAAAACAATTTAAAGAAATCTCAAAAAAGTAAAAAGTAAAAATTCAAACTTCAGGGCTTCATATGTCAAAATAAAAACCTTAAAAATTAATATAAACGCAGTTGTCCGCGTGCATTATAAGAATAAAAAAACAAATAAATATTGATAATTATCAGTGCTAAAACTAGAAGGAAGCTTAATTGATGGATCTAACTAAAGTTATATTTAGCAAACATAGTTATTTATTTAAGTGGTTTTATTCTCATCAATATCTACAATATTTGAAGAGTAAAGGATGCCAAACAGGTCCAAGACCCAATATTATGGCACCTCAGTTTACAATAGTGTAGTATACAGCTCTCATTGGTTGTTTGAAATGTCAAATTGTGTCGTCAAACAACGCCGTTCTAGGAACGGGGCTTTTTGCTATAGTAGTAATTTTAAGCTATAGTAGCAATATACTTCGTACATGATTAAATATTTTAATAAATACTTTCACAGATTACAGAGTTCTTAGTTAGAGGCTTTGGGAATCGGCAAACGTAAATTATGCAATTGACTTGTGGCGTATTCTCTGTCCGAGGAGTTTGAAATTGTAGGAGCCTCATATTTTTTAAACACGTTAAGCCTCATATTTTAGACTAGTGATGGGTTGTTATTTAACTATCTGTTATTTTATAACAATTATTTAGAAATAACATAACGCAACCGTCACTACTTTTAAAAAATAACAGATATAAAATAACGATACGCAGAGATCGACCGTTCGTGAAACGACGTCGGCGCTCTGCACCGCCACGAAATTCGATACTGCTCGAAGCAATTCCAAAAAACAACTAGTATGGATTATGGATGGAAAACATGTTATTTCGACAACCATCGATAAAGGTGGTGAGATACAACGGACAACGGATTAGGGAATGCGCTACGGCGCGGCGCGGCGAACGTAGCTGCATCGGTCGATGGTCGTGTGGGGCTTGCAACAGCTTAAAAATAATAGGATATAAAAGAAGCAGCTTTTTTGAAACAGTTGCGGGCATAACGCCTGGCGGTCGAGAAAACAGGAGTGAGAAAGGAACGCTGCTGCATCGGTCGATTGTCGATGGAGGCTCGCAACGGGTTGGAGAAGCAGTCATTTTAGATCCGTTGTTTTTTTTTAACCTGTTACCAGCTTAAAAATAATAGGATATAAAAGAAGCAGCTTTTTTGAAACAGTTGCGGGCATAACGCCTGGCGGTCGAGATAATCGGAGTGGGAAAGTAACGCTGCTGCATCGGTCGATTGTCGATGGAGGTTCGAAACAGGTTGGAGAATAACGCATCAGTTGTTTTAGATACATTGTTTTTACGAGCATAACGGGCGGAGGTCGAGATATTATGGCGCTGTATGTTTTAGTACTTACTTATTAAGTTTTAATATTTAGGTATTTATTTATACTGAAAAATTTTCAGAATATCTTAAGATTTTTTAAAAATGTATACAGGGTGTTTTGAAAAATCTGGTCATTAATTAATCACGATCCTGCTTAAAGCCCTTGAGTAAAAAGCTGATTTTTGGAAAACGGACTGACTTTAGGGTGTAGAGGTTCGATAAGAAGGGATTTTTCGAAACTCGAATTGTAAGGGGGTGAAACCACCCTCAAATATTAGAATATTTTTTATTTAAAAACCGGTGAGTTTTTCAGAAAAACTCTTAAACACGTATATTTTATTTTGTTGTTTTACATAGTTTAAGACTTTTTTTGTTATTTAAAATACGGTTAGTCTTTCGGGAAAAAGCTTGGACACGCATAATTTATTTTGTTTTTTTACATATTTTGAAATTTTTTAAAAAATTATAGAAGGTGTTCCAAAAAGTTGAGTAATTGATTAACCACGATTCTGCTTAAACTGCTCGACGTTTAAAGCTTATTTTTGGCAAATGTGAGAAAATGTTATCCAGTTTGTATGTTTGGAAATTCTTTCTTTGCTTTATCATCACCATTACAAATTATTAATTCGACGCGAACGAAGTCGCGGGTACCCGCTAGTTTAAGTGCAAAATTAATTCGAATTCTAGTGTGTAGTTGGTTTACTAATGAAGAATATACTACACATTTTCTTATATTGCTATTTTTTTACCGCAAATGGTAAAATCATAACTATATAAGAGCTTCTCGCCCGTCAAGTGAGATGCACTCTGTACACTGCTACCCAATTCAGGATCTACGCGGATCGAGGAGCAGGGCACGGGCGTAGGTAAATCGGAAGGTATAGACGCGTGGCGGAATTTTGTTTTTTTTTATATCGCAATTTGTAAACAGCGCTTATTTGTAAACAACCACCGTTTTTAGAGAGGTATTTTAGATAACAATCGATATTTAGAAATGTTTTGACACCCTGGAAATACTACCACCGAGCACGTCATTGTTGCAACTTGCAACTGCGTTAATAGTTAACAGTTAAATTCAGTACTCGTAGTGACAGATGTCTTGATAACATCTTCACAAACATTGATGGTATTACAAAACCGGTAGATCTTACTCATATTTCAGACCATAAGGGTATTTTCTTTGAAACAAATTATTCTTTTATGATCTCTCAAACCAGAATATGTTATAGGCCAATAACAGAGGACGGTCTCTCCAAATTATGCCAAAGTATGCTTGGCTGTAATTTTGATTTCATTACTGATGATAATTTGGATATTGACTTAAAATTCAAAATGCTAGTTGACATGTTGAAAAATTTTATAAATATTTCTTTTCCTGAAAAATCAAAATTAATCAATAGAAAAAAGTCTACTAAAAAATTAAACTGGTTCAATGATGATCTGAAGGAAATGCGCAGTAGACTGCAATTTATGATAATTTTGAATAGGAGGGATCCTGTTGCCATGCCTAAAAATACAATAACTGAATACAGAAGGAGTTACAAAAGATGTGTTAGGTTAGCTAAAATTAAAGCGAATGATGAGTTTATAAGGGAGTCCAGTAACCCTCAACAGGCTATGTGGAAACTTGTTAACAATAATAGGAAAAATGTCACCTCTGACTCCAATTTGAAACTTAACTCAACTGATTTTAATAACTTCTTCTGTTCTACTGCAGAGAATGTCTTAGAGGGGCTTAGCGGTTCTCAGCAGTGTTTTGAGGATTACCTGAATTCCATACCATTGAGAGACATCCTGCCCTTTAATTTCCGGCCAGTTAGCTTTAATGACGTCGATATGGCTATATCTGATTTAAAAAATAGTAATAGCAAGGATCCAGATGGGATAAACACAAAAATTATTAAAAGAATAAAAAATATATTAGTTCGGCCTTTAGCGCTATTAATAAACCAATCTATAGCTTGCAATATATTTCCTAAGGTTTTCAAGACTGCAAAGGTGGTTCCCCTCTTTAAAAATAAGGGTTCAGTTGATGACTGTAACAACTATCGCCCCATATCTTTGCTGCCAATTTTATCTAAGGTTTATGAACGTATTCTAAAGAATCAAATCAATGAACATTTTGAGTTTAATAAACTATTCGCCATTAATCAATTTGGTTTTCGAAAAAACAAAACCACAACATTAGCGATTGACAGGTTTACCAGTGGTATATTGGAAGGGTTTGAGAGGTGGCTTGATACTCTTGCATCATTTTTAGACCTTACCAAAGCTTTTGACTGTGTTACGCACATCATATTGTTAAAAAAATTAATATCCTACAACTTTCAGGACGATGCTGTTCAATTACTAAAGTCATATCTCTCTGACCGTGTCAATATGTTCATTTCAACCAATGCAACTCAGAAAAACAACCCCTGAAGTATGGTGTACCTCAGGGATCTGTATTAGGCCCCATCTTGTTCCTTATTTATATAAACGACCTAGCATACTGCCAGGGAGGGGGAGTCAACACTGTTTTGTTTGCCGATGACACAACCTTTTGCATAAGTTACCACCCCTTAGAGATTGACAATCTTGATTATCACACTTCACTAGAAAACCTAAATCAATGGTTTCTAGCTAGCCGTCTATCTTCAAATCACTCTAAATCGCAAAGTATGAACTTTACTCTAAGAAACAATATTAATTTTGATCACCCTGTACTTCAACATTGTGCAACAGAAGCCAAGTTTCTTGGGGTGCACTTAGACACAGGACTGACCTGGGAGAACCACCTTGTCAACCTGTCAAAAAAATTATCAAAAGAACTTTTCCTGTTTAGAAATCTTGTGCAGAGAACCTCAAGAGAAACTCTTCTCACAGTATATCATGGCAACTTTCATTCCCATCTGACTTATGCTGTTCTTTGCTGGGGTCATTCTTGTCATGTCAATAAGGTTTTTGCGCAGCAGAGGAAGTGCGTGCGTATTATTGCAGGGGTGGGTTACAGGGAGGATTGTCGTAATTTATTTAAAAAATTTAAGATTTTAACTTTGCCCTGTGTGTACATTATGCAGTGTTTGTTGTTCGTCAAGCAAAATCTTGATCTATACAGGTCACATGAATATTTTCACAGCTACACAACAAGAAATAATGGCAATCTTGTACCGGATCCAAGAATGGTTCAAGATATTTGAGCATAAAGTTTTATAACCTGGTACCAGCTAGAATTAAGGCTCTTAATTTTAATCAGTACAAAACAAAAATCAAAAACTACCTTATGATTAATGCATTTTTTTCCTTTGAGGAGTACTTCAGTTCCAGCTTTAGACTGTGATTTCATTTATTTTGTCTATGTTAGTGTTTGTGTGTTGTACGTGTTCATTTATAACATATATTTGACATACATATTTGTTTTAATTTTAAGGTTTTAATGATTTTCTGTTGTTTAATTGTATAAATTTTATTTTATCAAATTTGTGTATTAATGATGCAATGTAAAAACAACAAAAAAAAACTGTAGAAACTAAATTTTTATCATTTTATATATATATATATATATATATATATATATATATATATATATATATATATATATATATATATATATATATATTTTGACTTGTAAAAATACTTTCCTTGTATGTTATTACTAATAAATAAACTAAACTAAACTAAACTAATACGCCTGGCGGTGACCGCCTCATACTCTTTCAAATATTTAGCAATAAAATAAAGAAACCTGTTATTTTTAAGCTGTTTTTTATAAATAACTATAACAGTTTCAACTGTTATCTAAAAATAACAGTTTTGCCCATCACTATTTTAGACACACAGTCTAAAATAAAAATACAGGACAGGCTAAGTGTTCTTTGTTTCTTAAATAACTCTCTGCAAGTTTCACGCGACCCCACACGACAAATGTATCATGTATTTCAAGGCTTGTTTCTGCAAAATAAACACCGATAGAAAGAGATTTTTATTGCAAAAACCCCAAAAATCAATTCTGTATCTAAGGTCGCATTAGATTTAGCAAAAACGTTACGCGTTAGAAGATACATAAATATGAAGTTAAAGAAATAAACGTAGAATATTCTGGAATATTCTGATTCAGACGAAAATTTTCAAAAATTCGGCAATGAAATTTGAGTTCTGTTTCTTAACGAAGATCGATAAACCAACTTGAAGCTCATAGAATTAATATCAGGTCTAAGGAGAGACCAAGTTAGAGGTGGAGAAAATGGAGACAGATCCGCCAGCCTCCACCTCACGGGTACCTCAACCAGAGACAAGCTCCTCGACTGTAGAAGACACGAAGGGCCAAACCCCAACTGTGGAAGGGTCTATACCCTCAGAGGAGGAACGTCTGTCATCAGAGGATGGAAAATACCGCCACCGCCCCTACAAAATGTATGAGGGGGATGAGTTATAACTCAGGGAAGGGGGACACAACTGATCTTTAAGGTCACAGTGATTAAAACCCTCTCCCACTCATTCTACATTCTACAAAATTCCAATTTTTTCTTAATTTTGATCTGTTCTGATCTGATTTTTTTTATTCTTTCACACGGCACTGTTTGGTGACAGCTGGTAACAATTTGGTTTCGGGTGTTATTGGTCCTTATTTAGTCACTGGTGTAAACCGTTTTTGAATTACCCTCCTTTAATCAATTCAACCGCCACCACACAAAATTCATAGTATATTATCTTGGAGACCATACAGGGCGAGTCTTAAATAAGTATAATACTCTGTCTTTTGTGTGGTACCGGTTGCATTATGAATCTAGACCTGAAATATAAATCTAAAATTTACCTTTCTTTTTCTTTTATTCTCCAAGCTGCATGCATAGCAGCAAGATCTTGAGCATAATATAAGATAAAATGATTATGAACATCATTAAGTTCCTCAGTTGTTTGAACATTCTTCAATCTTTCAATATCTGAATCTTTCATAACTCTAAAATATATAAAAATAAGTTATAGGGTCTGTTCATTTTCACAAAGTGGTAGCTCATGATAAAACTTAAATACAATTAAAAACAAAACAACCATCAATAACCACCTTTCAAACGACTTTGAGTGGTTTGACACTGATTTTGTTAATTATATTTAAGTTATACAGGGTTTCCCAGAAATAACTGCAAGTATTTTAGGTGGGTAAGGGGTGGTTGATCTGGCCAAAAGAAACATATTTTCTCTTTACCATTTTCAAAATAAATTGAAAATAACCAAGTTATTTAACTTTGAAAATTTAAAAAAATAATGACACACATTTTGAGAACCGCTGGCTATAACCGGCTATTAAGGGCCATTCAGTTTATTCAACGCCCTGTGTTGCCAGATGGTCAAAAAAAGTATATGCAGAAACAAATTGCAAAACTCTACAATATCCGAAGAGTTTTGCAAAAAAACGTGACTTTTTTAAAGTTGTGTTTTCAAAAATAATTTAACTACTGGAGCCAGATTTAGTAGTATTTAGTCTTAATAAACAGTATTTAGTCTTAATAAACAACTTTTCTGGGTTCTCACCTAACATTATCTGGAATAGCAGCGTCTGGATTTTTCATTAATTGTTCTATTTGATAGGACCTCATTTTTTCAAAGAGAGCCAAAAGGTTTTCTTTCCTAGTTTTTAATTGACACCATTTTGCATCGTATTTGTACACTCGCCACAAATCATTGATATTAAGTTCAGGTTGAACATACTCCTTTCTATAAAATGCTATAAATGGTACTTCAAGTTGCTGATTACGCATAAAGTCCAAAGCTTTCCTAATTTTGCCAATAGTTTGGGGTCCTTTCCGTTGTTTTTCTCTAGCTTCCTAAATGAAAGGAATCATGTATTTTTTGAATTATTAAACAAATATTCAATTCAACCTACCTGACTCAAATGCGCATCTGTGTTTGAAATAGTTGACTTACAAAATGCTTGCTTATAAATCCATTCAGCCTCTTCATCAAGTTCAGTTGAATCATCAGGAACAGCCATTAAAGGAACATCTCTTAGTTGCATTCTCTCAGGAATATCTGTATTACGTATTTCATTGTCCAAATCCGTGAAAAATCCCCTGCAACATTTTCAAATAGTACTATTATACTTAGGAAATAAATGAACATTTACCTTTTAAGTTCTGATGGTTCATAAACTTCAAATATCGATTTTTTAGTTGGACGTTTTTTACCAGCTTTTTTCTGTCTATGCCTTCTTTCTCCTTCTTCATCTAATTAATATTTGTAGTTAGATATTAATTGTGATTTAATTATTACCCTTAATTATCATTAGTTAAATGTTACCTTCTTCATATTCATCTTCTTCATCATCCTCTTCTTCATCATATTCGTCATCATATTTAGAAAACTCATCATAATCAAAATCAACACCAAAAGTTTCTTGCGCCTCTTGTAAAGCCGCATCTGAAAATATTTTCTTCTTCTTCGTTCTTACTATAGGTTTTCCATCGTCGTCTACTATAAAATCATCAGTATCTGAGTATTCACCTTCTTCTTCCTCTTCACCAAATTGTTCTTGTTCGGCCGCTGGTCGATGACTACGTTCGGAGCGCCTTTCATCGTCCTTTTTGTAAAAAATATAGAGTATACAGTGTGATCCACTAAGTATGCAACATATAGATATTTTTTTATTGGAAGTCCTATCCAAATGGGAATACTGTCAAAAGCTAGTACATATCACATATCCGATAACCATATTAGCGGTACTTAAAATTACTGCAAGTCAAACAATCTACAGAGTAGGCCAAAAATACGAAAATCGTTCAAAAGTACCGTGTATAACTATTTTTCACATATATTGAATTAGTGAAGTATCTGGCATATGAAAAAAATATTTTGGAAATCCTAAATATAAATTAAGTGCCCTTGCAACAGTAATAACATACAAAAAATGTCTATATCTATGTGGCGGATTCATCTTTCCAAAAAATCCTCTATGGGTATTTCGCCACTAGAAGAAAATCTACAAAACAAAATAGTTCTTTTTTGTAAACACTGCTGCGTTAATCCAAACGGAAACTACTTGTCAGCAATTAGATTTACAGATATACAAATTTACCTAACGAACAAAAAAATGCTTAACGTTTCGGAAAGTTTATCTCTTTCCGTCGGCGGAAGCAAAAAAAACTGTCTGAAATTTTAAGCATTTCTTTGTTCATTAGTCAAATTTGTATGTCTGTAAATCTAACTGCTGCAAGTAGTTTCCGTTTGGATTAACGCAGCAGTGTTTACAAAAAAGAACTATTTTATTTTGTAGATTTTCTTGCAGTTGCGAAATACCCATATAGGATTTTTTGGAGAATAATAACATACGTAATCGTAGAAAAAAAAGTAAATACCTACGTAGATCATGAGGGTTTAACTTTACTCTTGAACGATTTTCGTATTATTGGCCTACCCTGTAGATTGTTTGACTTGCAGCCATTCTAAGTATACTCTGTTTTTTTTCTCAGGTAAGATTTCGACAGACGATGACAGAAGAAAAGCAGATGACGTCCCATACCAATCTATTTATTTTACTAAAAAAAGTTTCTAATAATTTTTAAGTTATCTATGGATGGGTTTAAATATAAATCCGTCATACGTCGTGTCTTGTTGTTTTTAACCAGTTTTATTGGTTTGTTTAAAAATGACAGATCGTATTTCAATTTTATTGGTTTGACGGAACGATGAACGATAAACGGACGCCGATGCGTATGAACTCGCCTTTAGATTTTTGTCATTTTTGACGCTTGTCAAAGTCTTGCCAAATTATAGGTTATAATTTTGTGTCAACTTTTGTTAAATACCCTGCGTTTTGGAAGATGATGCATTTTGATTCGTATTATTACGTGTGTTTTGTGTCTTTTGAAGTCAAGTGGAGGAAAAATCGAGTGAAAATTAACTGTAGACCCAGAGCACAGTTTATGGTTAATACTCGCTGACCAGGCAAAAAGTCTTATACACCCCATCGTTAAAGTTTGTATACCATCTCGTCGTAGATAAGTGCATCTCGTATATGGTAGAAGGATCAAACTAAACACATACTAAAAATTGGAGTAGCTGTAAAATATCGACATCACACGATAGGTAAATAATGGATTTTAGTACTGCAGAAAAATAATGTCAAGAGGTACTGGTTTAAAAAAATTAAGATTAAAGTTAATTAATCAACCTTTAAGGTATAAAATTTGGTAGGTGTTATTATTAATAAAATAGTTTGTTTTATTTACCTATGTTGTTTTATTTATTCCTGTGGAATATTACAAATTTGTATTTGTACATAAGTTATATTGATAAATATAATCGTAAATGCGGGTAGTTTCATAAAGCTTGTAAGTAAAAAATAGTTCTTTTTTATATTTTTTTGGTATGTAGTGTTTTTTTTCTTGTTTGTTTTGTATTAACACATACCGGTTTTATTAAATAAAATAACTCGATTACATTTTTTCAGTTTTATGCAGTTTTTTTCACAATATTTTGAAGTAATCACTTGTCATCTTGTCAATCAAATTTTAAATATTTCCTGCTATGCGTTCCAGTTGTACCAACTTATTTCTTTGTAAAATAAAATAAACTACTTTGAAATTAAAATGACAGACACATCTATCACTGTCAAGGATCTTTTCGTTGGACAGACTATACCGCTGATATGGTTACCGGTCATGCACTAACTTTTGACAGTGGACCACACTGTATATAAAACATCAGGGATATTTAAAGGTATGCTTTCGCTTGGAGCGTCCGACGGTAACAAACAGAGCTTTTCGTTTTATTTAATTAATAAATGCGTGCAAGATTTTGTTCAACTATAAACACAAAAAATGACCTTTTCACTAATAAAGCAAGATAAAGAAAAGAAGGAAACGCTATACAGCATTAGAAAGTAAATAAAAGACCAATGTTATATTATAAAACCGAACTAGTCAAAGTATTCTAACAAGAAAGAAACCTTTTCAAATTTGGATATTTAAATGTTGTTATTTTTTATATTAAACAAATTACCATTCAGTCTGCTTTAAGTAATATCCTTGTATAATAAACAAGGGTAATATATGTACATAAAGAAATAAAAAAAAAATGGAAACAACCCACTATACTTGAAGACAATCGTTTCATTTTCCACAGTAGGAATTAGACAAAAGGACGCACGCGTTTCAATAATGAACTACACGATCGCTTTAAAAGTTAAATTATACAGGGTGGCCCATCGAAAACGTTCCGCTAGGCATAACGGCCAGGGTAATTTTTTTTTTTCAGAAAATTCAAAAACACGTCATTTTGTTTATTAGGGGGACAACGTTTGCCCCAAAAATGATTGCAAAATCTTCAACCCTCTAAGCGGGGGTGTCATCCCCCAATTTTTTTCAAATGGGAAGGGGGGTCAAGTGGTACCGCAATGAAAAGGGATTTCTATTCTCTATACTTTCCGGATTCGTTTTTGAAAATCGGTAGAGTCATTGAGAGGATATGAAGGATTGAAATTTGAAAAGTTTATTTAAACATTTATCAGAGTAAATGATAAGGATAAATTCCTTCGACCAATTTGCTGTTTTTTCTTATTATTTCTAGATGTTTACGCATTTTTTCAGTTGCCACAAGGTTGAAGGATCAGGTGCGGTAGTTGCTAGATAGCTGTTCAGTGACTTATGCGTTGAAGTTCTTCTCAATATCGTTAAACTTTTTAATAATTATGGTGTACTCACTTGCAGAAACAGTGGAAATAATCGAACTTTATTTTAAAAATAATGAATGTGGCAATCGGGTTGCGCAGATATTCAACGAACGCCATCCTGACAAACACCTTTATGGCAAAATTGTTGGCGAGTTAGTAGCAAAATTTCACGAAACTGGTTCCGTTATGAATAAAAAGAGGCAGATGGAAAATCCTGTAGTAAATGAAGCTATGGAGGTATTCGTATTGCAAGTTGCCATGGATAGTACACTGAGTACAAGAAAATTAGCCAATGAGACCGGCGTGAATCGTACAAGTGTCCAAAGGATATTAAAAAAAAAACACAAGTTCCACCCATACAAATAGCAGTTGGTACAAGAACACAACGAAGACGATTTTGATCGTCGCTTGCAATTTTGTGAAACTATGAGTGAACGAGTGGCGAATGAAAATAATTTCCTATTTAATGTGTGTATTTCAGATGAGTGTATGTTCTTTTTGAACGGTGTAGCAAAATAAAAACACTAAATCACCACAATACACCAAAACACTTTTACTTTTACACTGGACGCGCGTTTCGCTAACCATGTTAGCATCATCAGCAGATGATTATAAACTGATGATTATAAACTAAATGATTATAAACTAAATAGTTTATAATCATCTGCTGATGATGCTAACATGGTTAGCGAAACGCGCGTCCAGTGTAAAAGTAAAAGTGTTTTGGTGTATTGTGGTGATTTAGTGTTTTTATTTTGCTGTGTAACACCAAAGGTTTCAACCCTCAACTGTAATATTGAACAGTGTAGTTAATTAGCACTACTGTCGGTACTCGGCTGAGGACAACCCCAGGGTTTTTCACGAGGTGCACACACAAAACCCTCAGAAATTGAACGTGTGGGCTGGTATTTTTGGAAATTCTATTGTGGGTCAGTTTAACGATATTGAAAAGAACTTTAACGCACAAGTCACAGAACAGCTACCTAGCAACTACCGCACCTGATCGTTCAACCTTGTGGCAAGTGAAAAAATGCGTAAACATCTAGAAATAATAAGAAAAAACCTCAAATTAGTCGAAGGAATTTATCCTTATCATTTACTCTGATAAATGTTTAAATAAATTTTTCAAATTTCAATCCTTCATATTTTCTCCATGACTCGTCCGATTTTCAAAAACGAGGCCGAGAAATATAGAGAATAGAAAGCTCTTTTCATTGCGGCGCAACTTGACCCCCCTTCCCATTTGAAAAAAGTTGGGGGATGACACCCCCGCTTAGAGGGTTGATGATTTTGCAATCATTTTTGGGGCAAAAGTTGTCCCCCTCACAAACAAAATTGACGTGTTTTTGGATTTTGTGAAAAAAAGAATACCTTAGCCGTTATGCCTTGCGGAACGTTTTCGATGGGCCACCCTGTATAATGAATGTCATCGATCGTCATTTCCAAGCCAACTTGCCGCCGTTTCTTTTCGATCATAAGGTACAGTAAAAGGCATTAAAGTAGTGCATTATCTCCGTCAAAGCTACCGTCGGACGCTCAAACAGGGTTGCCAACTCACAAAGTTGAATACTCTCTAAATTCGTATATTAAAATTAAAAACATCTAGAATCCGGTAAGAGAGATACTGAAACTGAAATTTTACCATGTTGCCTAATTCTGGCTAATCTCGTGATGACGAATTGATGCCAACGTCGCAGATTCTAGACCTAGGTATTTAAGAATACATATGACAATTACGCTATTTTCGGTGCAAATTAGAAAAAAATTATTGATTAGAAATTAGAATTCAAATAATCTTTTTGTGTCAACTTTACTTATTTATTATTCAAAAATTTAAACACACTATTTTGGGTTTATTTTTTTATAATTTTGTTTTCATAATGGGTTATAGTTATGAGTTTCACGGAGTTCCGCTTTTAGTTTAATAAAACTAAAATCATTAGTGTATGTTGATACAGGTATAAAAAATCAGTTTTCCCAAATCTGCCCTTTTTTGAAATAGCTCTTTATTTGCAGGGAGTCGCACTAATTTCTATACCAGTATTGTAACATCAAAGAATTTTTTTTAGTTTTAAGAAGACAGATTTTCTAAATTATGAATTTCTAAGTTTATTACAAACTTTTATTCATATATTATTAGAAAAAAATTATTGATTAGAAATTAGAATTCAAATAATCTTTTTGTGTCAACTTTACTTATTTATTATTCAAAAATTTAAACCGCTAAAAATCCACTAGCCGCGAAGAAAAGTATTTACTCGCCAATCTAAAAAAAACGCTAGACCTAGCTGGAAAAAACGGTAAGTTGGCAACACTCCGCTCAAGCTAAAGCATACCTCAATATGTTATATACCTATATTATACAGAGTGTAAATTAATAAGTAAAATATTAAGGCGGCGCACACACGGCAAAATGCTATGTTTAGCTTGACAAAAATCGAAATTACAATTTTTTTTTCGTATGTTCATTTCACTCACTGTCGTTCTTATAAAATCTGTATAACTAATTTTAAATGTTATAATTCTTTTCGAGCAACTATAACGGTGGAAGTGCTACCGAAAGTTGATGGAGTCCGCACCTTCTGGGAAGAACGTTGTTTAGACTTGCACAAACATGAAGCGCAAAAGAGTGCCATTTACACCCAGCACACAGCCATTTGAAAATTAATTATCATTATGGACAATATAGCTACAGACATGTAGTACAATTAAATAACATCAATATAATAAATTTGGCCTATTTTGAATGTAGATAAATTAGAAAATGTGGTGCAAATTAGAAAAAAATTATTGATTAGAAATTAGAATTCAAATAATCTTTTTGTGTCAACTTTACTTATTTATTATTCAAAAATTTAAACACACTATTTTGGGTTTATTTTTTTATAATTTTGTTTTCATAATGGGTTATAGTTATGAGTTTCACGAAGTTCCGGTTTTAGTTTAATAAAACTAAAATCATTAGTGTATGTTGATACAGGTATAAAAAAATCAGTTTTCCCAAATCTGCCCTTTTTTGAAATAGCTCTTTATTTGCAGGGAGTCGCACTAATTTCTATACCAGTATTGTAACATCAAAGAATTTTTTTTAGTTTTAAGAAGACTGATTTTCTAAATTATGAATTTCTAAGTTTATTACAAGCTTTTATTCATATATTATTGACAGTAGAAAAAAAATCAAATAACTGTGCTGGGTGTAAATGATACTATTTTGCGCTTCACGAAAGGTGCGAACTGCATCAATTTTCGGTAACGCTTGGACTACTCTAGTTGAATGGAAAGATTTATAATATTTAAAATTAGCCCTACAAATGTAATAAGAAAAACAATGTGTGGATAAACATATAAAAAAAAATAATCTGGATTTTTGTTGTCAAGCTAAACATAGCATTTTGCCGTGTGTGCGGCGATAAAAATAAAATGGGTTATCATATAATTTCGTTTTTGATTTGCTATTTTCTTATAAAGATACCATACTATGATCAAAAAATGTGTCAAGATGGTTTAGAAATGACATTCAATAACATTCACCATATAAGCTTCTGATTTTTATTATTACTGGTTCTGGACCCTTCTCAAGAATTCTATTGCGCATTGCGAATTTTGAATTAATTTAAAACTGAATTTCTACTGCGCATGTGCAACACAACCCTAGGTTGGTTCAGAATCGGTAACACAAAATAGAAATCAACCAGAACGCCGACTCTGCCGAATTTGATGACGTTTCACGAATCGCGACGCCATATTAGCAGCGGGTAACACTCAGGGCCGGATTAAAACGCTTTCGCAGGGTGTTGTCAGAGTTATATTGAATAAGTATTTTTATTATCTGATAGGTATGTGATTACAGACTGAGCGTAATTCGTTATTTCGAAAGGTAAAGTTTGTATTGTATAGATACTACCACATGTAATTTTTATGCAGCGGTTTTTTTGCAATTAGTAGGTAGGCAGATAATATATGCGTAGTCAAAAATTTGGAAATGGGTAGAGATCGTGATTTTAAAAAATAAACTAAACCAATTAATTAAAGGTCAACTTTCTACTCGAACCCTTGAGCTGCGTTTTTACTGGTTGGCAAAACCCGTGGTCATCCCTACACCTTTCTTAGAAGTTTTTATGGTCTGGGAAATTACGCGAATTGCGTTGCTATAGGTACGTTCTAAAGTGTAACAGTTTACAATCCTGAATTTATTTGTTAGAGGCACGTTCTGCGTTTTGGGTACACATTATCAAAATAAAAATGTTTTTTTTAATGCTGGGAAAGTTTCGCTTGAACACAATGTTACCCAGATAAATGGGGCTCATTAGGGAGTTTTCGTTGCTTACAAATTGCAATTCCGGTTAACGCGAATTGACAACTTTGACATTTCAATTTCGATTATCGTATATCGTAACCGCTAGCTGCCGATATTTTACGGACGTTAGCCAAAGCCGTTAACATAGCGGTACGCATGCGCACTAGCGCAGTAGAAACACAACATTGAAAAATACAGATCTAACCTAACCTCATTCTATTTTGTTTATGTTTTGATTATTTATTTTATCTGTGTTAAACTCGTTGGGAATTCTTAGTGCTTCAACTAATCGAGGAATGTCTTTTTTTTCAAAGCGGAAGTTAGCTTTGCACTCTTGGTCAGATAATATTTCTAGGTTGAACTCCCCATAAAGTTCTGCTCGATATTCGATGTTGTTTTCAAACCCTTCCAACAGCATAGCATCCTCCAAATCCGATTCATCACTAGAGTCCAATAAAATTAAATTGTCCATCCTATATAGCGATACCCAATAAAGTCATATAAAGCACTTTCAAATCAAACAACAATACAAAAACCAAAAATCAAAACACTACGCTACGGGCTGTGCTCAGCTGTCAGTTTTCGGTTATCGTATCGTATGTCGGCTCCGAACCGATGAACCGAAAGTCCGAAAACTGTTTTTTTATCTGTCAAAATAGCGGTTATGGTTACGTATCCGTTAACCGGACCGTTGAATTTTTTTAAAGCAACGAAAACTCCCTATATAATAATAAAATTATGATTAGGTAGGTAGGTAATAAGTATTGTGTTAAGATGGGTTAATACAGTATTTAAAATAAAACAATCTATGCATTTGTTTAATATCTATTTATTTCTCCTTATTAATAATTTATTTTTATTTGTTCTTTGTTGCTTTTGAAATTCGTATTTATGTGAAATATTCCTATTATGCAATAGTCAGAATTCAACTAAACCCTGACCTGCCCTGACTAAACCGGTAACGCCGCTACATTGACGTTTCGCGCGCATTTTGTGAGTCAACCTTCTGGTTGATTTCTATTTTGTGTCGGTAATATGAAGAAAACCCAAAGTAAGTAATAATATTCCAGTCAAAAAGTGCAATGTGATAATACTAGATACTTATTTTAAAGTTTTTAAATTGAATGTTTTATGCTAAAAAAATATTTTAAAATTAGGAGATAAACATATGATAGTTAAATATTGCAACTTAGCTGCATGAACACCCTATGCATGACTTCACTCAAATAATCATTTGAGTATATTAAAAATGCCACTTGATATTTTGACATCCATACTCCAAATTTCAACTTGGTGTGGCGCGTTTGCGCCAACCCAAACCATTTTTGAAAAAAAAATGGTGTAATCTTGTAAATTTGGTTCACCTGTTGATGCAAATAACTTTATAGTGAAATACTAAATCAATAATTTTTTTGTAAAAATTTTGTTTGCTTTTTGTTCTTATTAATTTACACCCTGTATAACAATTACATGCAATGATTTTTCTTTATGGAATTGAGAAGTCATGCAAAAGAGTTACCTTTCTACTTTCATCCTCTCGTTCCTTCTCAATATGTTAATAAAATATGATTAATAAAATCAACTTAAAAAAAAATTATTTACAGTTACTTACATCTTCAGAAAATAAGTCCATAGCAATATGTTCCCTTTCTTGGTCAGCATCATTTTCATCTTCACCTTCACTTTCTTCATCTTGAATTCTTCTTAATCTCTTAAATTTCTAGAAGATAAGCCAGAACATTAAATCACACACACATACTTTTATAATATCAATTTCATTTACCCTTCTTTCTACTTTCATGCCTAAATTTTCTTCAAGTAGATCATAGTCATCATCTTCAAGTCGGTCATCTAAGTCTTCATCGTCTGATTTTTTCCTTTTTTCTCCACCAGATGCATCTGAATCTTCACCATCACTTTCCTCAATAGGATTATCATCAATTAAGTCATGAAGTTCTTCACGTAGTTTATCATCATCTAAAACAATTTTTAATAAGACAATTATATTTCATTTAAGCATTAAACCACAGCACATACTTTAACTTTTTTTTTAAATAATTTGAGTACTAATATTATTAAAGCGTACATTCTATATTAAGTACATTATTTGTGATTATTTACCTAATAATTGAACAACACATAATGCTCACAAATGTTCTCTCATCACGAATGAGAACTTTCTCACTGTTAAGTTGGATTTATAAACTCAGCAGTTGAAGTTAAGTTGAGGTTCAAAATGTCACTGTGAAATGAGCGCGCGCATTTATAAAGTGATTTGGTTGAAAAGTAGTTAATTTATTTAGTTTTTTATTTATTCAAATCAAAATAGGGAGTCCCTAACAATACAAAGCTTTTAAATACTAGCTAAAAAAAAATTTAAATTACATATTATACATAAGTACATACATACAAAACATGACACATAAATTTAAATTTAAAACTATCATAAATATAGGTATATTATTTTAAAAGATATAGTTTCAATTTCTTTTTAAATCCTAGTAAAGTTCTGGCATTCCTGATTGAGCCTGGGAAATTATTAAATTCCTTCAAACTATAAAATAAAGAAGCCATTGTGGAAGAATATCTAACTCTAGAATTTTAGAATAAAATTATCTCTACTTCTTATTTGGTAGTTGTGTAGTTCATGACAAAGGCTCACAAATTCATTAAGGTACCGTAGCAACATTCCCATTTAAGCTTATAAACAAACGTCATTGTTAAAAATTGCAATCTCTTTTCAACATCTAACCAGTTAAGTGTTTTCAACATTAATCTAATTAATTGTGGATTACATTTAAAAATAATTCTCATACCCCTATTAAACAAGATTTGCACAGATTTCATTGATCCCTATAACATAAGATACAATACACTACCACAATAATCAAAGTGAGACTGTACAAAGGAAAAAAAACTATTTAAGCTGGCAGTTGTCGACCATTCGGCAGTTTGAACGATCCAATGAGTAAGCGTCTGTTCACAAACACAATAAGCTTTACAGGTCGCAGTGTTTCTGGCAGAGGAAGGCCACTTGTTATTGGAAGTGCCTGTCCATCAAGTGAAGCACAGAATAAGATATTATTTCTGTTTATATGTTTATATTTTGTACAATCTTGGAGTATTGTGTTTGAACTTATGAAACTTTGAAAAATATCTACTTTTGATATTTTTCAAAGTTTCATAAGTTCAAACACAATACTCCAAGATTGTACAAAATATAAACATATAAACAGAAATAATATCTTATTCTGTGCTTCACTTGATGGACAGGCACTTCCAATAACAAGGCACCTTCCTCTGCCAGAAACACTTTTTAAATGAATAGAAAAACTTTGAAATATTCACTATTTTAAAACTAACCTACAACCGAAAAAAATAATATTTGAACCTCAACTACTGCGAGCTCCCAACTGAAACTGAACCTCAACTGAACTTCAATTTCTGAGTTTAAAAATCCAGCTTTACAATACTAATATAGGCATTTTTATAACAAATCATAACCTACCATCGTCTTCCTCTTCAGAGCTATCATCCATTGCCTTAACTTTTTTTAGTTTCTTTCTTTCATGGGGCTCTAACTCTTCCTCCTATATAAAAAAATTATTTTTTTAGTGTACTTCATAAAATAAAAGGAACTTTCATGATTGAAATCTAAGTACCATTATCTTTGGTACTATTCAGTACAGTTTATTTTTACTGGGTTTAACAATTGTAACAGTGTTTAACAATTGAAATATCAAAAATAAAGATATACGATAAGTTTTGTTCTGTTTCTAGGATGCTTTATATTTTGATTTATAAATGTCTGTTAGTAAAATATATACAGATTCAACTGCAATATATCTAAGAATTAATTTTTTTTTAAATTAAAATAATATGTTCTGTATCATTTAAACGTTATTCCAAATAAAATGTTGATTACCTCGCTGCTTTCCTCCGCTTCGGATTCAATAAAATCAGCCATTTTTTCAAATTATTCAATTATTGCCTCAATAACTTTTACTAAGTAGTCAAGTTTTGACTGTAATTATAAAAGAAATAAATTAATATTACTAAAAATGGAGAAATAATTTACAAAACATTTTATTAGAACAACTTTCTTTCGAAAGACAAAAATTGACAATTGACATTGACAACTTACAGTACATCAACTTTATGTGGCCAATTTGTTCTGTGGTAAGCGGTTGGCGGCAGCAGCCAAGGCTGCTGCGATCAGCTGATGGGTCAAGGCAAGGCTATGGGAAGCCCTCTAGAGCCATATAAGCTTCTGAGCTTAGTCAAACTTTTTTTAAACTGTAATTTCTATTTAAGCAAAGAAACAGTGTTCGGTTACCCAGTGTTCTATATTTATTATCATAATTCAAAGATTAATATCATTTAAATAAAAACATATTAATACATATTATCGATATTTAAAAAAATCGATAACTCTTCTACATCCTTATTGTCACAGATTAGATTAGAGTAGAGTGGTAAAAAAGATATATTATCATTATCTGTGGGTCCCCTCGAAAAGTCCAAAATTAAAATTAAAAACAAATTTCTGTTAATAGTTGTCTCTTGCATTTTTCTATTATTATATAAATAATTTTAAACCATAGACTGTTATACTAGTTTTAAATCATTACTAGAGATAGTTGATCTCCGCTACCTATTATTATTCATATTATTATATATAATTCACTCATCTATAAAAATCAGTTTGTAAGCTGATTCTACAAAATTAAATACCTTTTAAGAAAAGGTATTTGTACAAAACCAACGAAGAATTTACCCTATGTTATTTAATGATCTGTGATCCTTATCTGATGAAAAATGAAAGAATTTGTAGCTGAAAATAATATTTGTGGCCAAACAATATTGCTTCTTGTTTCAAGAGGAAATGCTATCATCGCAGAATTGCTCAGATTAAAAGACTATGTTCCCAAAGTATTTAAATTAGAAAATAAGGAAGATGTACAAAAATATGGTCAGATTATCTTTGATTTTGCTTATTTTAAAACGTCCGATGTATTAGAGGATCAAATTGAAAGTAATGAAAATTTGCGAGACTTAGATGAAGAGTTTCGAGATAATCACTTGGAAATACTAAAACGTTTTTATTTACTTTTTGAAAGTATTCACAGTTACATAATAGACCTAAACAAATATATAGAGGAATTAGAAACAGGATTTTATCTAAATTATTCCCTCGATATTGTGTTTTTAGATATAGAGGGGAAACAATTATTGTGTGAAGGGTTATTTCTGTATGGACTAATGTTATTATTAATGGATAGTTCAATTGAAGGTTGTGTAAGAGAAAGGCTTTTGGTCTCTTACTATAGATACACCTCTCAAAGAAAAAATACTAAGAGTTCTTTTGATGAGGTTTGTAAATTGTTACGTGACACAGGTTTTACTGCTACAAAGAAACCCATGAATTACCCTGAAGATTATTTTAAAAGAATACCAATCAAAATTGATTATATTGAACTGGTAATTGGTAGATTGCGTGCAGATGATATATATTCTCAAATTACATATTATCCATTACCAAAACATAGAAGTACAGCATTATCAACCCAGGCATCCATGCTTTATATATCCTTATTTTTTGCCAGTCCTATTCTTCATTCTCAAGCTGCTACAATGAGAGAAATTGTAGATAAATTTTTCTCAGACAACTGGATTATTTCAGTTTACATGGGCCACTTAGTTAATTTAATTGAAAGCTGGGATAATTTCAAAGCAGCTAAACTAGCCTTGAACAATACTCTTGACATATCTAATATCAAGATGTGTGCATCCAATTATGGAACAAATGTACAAGAACTGCTAAAAACAACTGGAAATTTATTAAAAGAAGGTACAATAACCAGGGATACTTTTTTAAAAGATACAAACAGTATAATCAACACATTAAGAGAATCAAATGCCACAATACGTTGGCTGATATTACATACTAGAAATGAACATTTAGACAGATCCAAAAAAGTGAAACAATACAGAGATCTCACCATTGCAGAATCTAATTGTGAACAATCTAATATATTTAAGTTGTTGCTAAATACTGCTCAGCTAGAATTAGTCAGTAAGGAACTATTTCAAAAAGTCTTAAATGATAAGAGCAAAAGATGGGAATCATTCAAACAAGATAGCTGTGAGAGTCTGTCAGAGTTGTCTGAAGTATTTGGTGGTACTAAACCTTTATCTAAAATAAAGAAAAATGAAAATCTAGAAGCGTGGTTTAAAGAAATTGCTAAACAGGTAGAATCTCTAAATGAAGAGGATTCTAATTCTTCAAGGAAATTAGTTCAATTAATACAGGCATTAGAGGAAGTCCAAGAGTATCATCAACTAGATAATAATTTGCAAGTTGTGCAGTGTTTAATTGATATCAGAAACAATCTGCATCTAATGATTAAAACAATGAACATAAAGGAGGATGTCCTTATTAATTTACAAATTATTGGAGATATAAGTTATGCTTGGGAATTAATAGATGTTTATACACCAATTATGCAGAATGGAATAAAAAAGGAACCAAAATTGGTTACCAAATTAAGAGCTGTATTTTTAAAACTAGCTTCTGCTATGGAATTTCCTCTTATAAGGATAAATCAAGCTCACTCGGAAGATCTCATTTCAGTTTCAGAATATTACAGTAGAGAGTTAGAAATCTACATCAGAAAAGTGTTACAAATTATTCCAAAGTCAATGTTTCAAAAGCTAGGTAGGATAATCGAAATACAAAGGTCAGTTTTAAAGGAAATTCCTGCTAGTATAGAAAAAGAAAAATTAAAAGAGTATGCTCAGTTGGAGGAGAGATTTGAATTTGCAGAACTAACTCATCTAGCATCAATTTTCAGCCAGGGAATGCTCATGATGAAAAGTACCCTTGTTGGTGTGGTAAGGTTGGATGCCAAGAAACTCCTTGAAGATGGTATCAGGAAGGAGTTAGTCCAATACATATCTGAAGCTTTGCATTCGGAACTAAAATTTGAAACAAAGTCTAAACTAAATCTAAAAGAAAAACTGAAATTATTGGGATGTACTATGGAAGGATATAAAAAGTCATTTGAATATATTCAGGATTATATCAATGTAAATGGGTTGAAAATTTGGCAAGAAGAAGTTACCAGAATTATAAACTACAATGTTGAACAAGAATGTAACAGTTTTTTACGAAACAAAACACATTTTTGGCAAAGTGCATTTCAAAGTAGGTATGTCCCTATACCTAGTTTTCCATCTACCGACGAAAGTGTGAATTTTATCGGAAGATTATCCAGAGAAATTATAAAGTTAACTGATCCAAGATCAGCTGTATATTTAAAAGAAACGTCGACTTGGTATGATATAAAACATCATAAGCCAATATTCAATAAAGTTACTGTAGACTCTATATCTCAAGTTATAGAAATAGCTGGTTTAGTTGGATTAGATAGACTATTTTCTTTCATGATAACAACAGCTTTGCAGAAAATAGTATTGCTACTGGAAATGAAAGATAAACAAAACAATTCCTGGTTAAATGTAATGACTACTATAAAAAGTGATTTGAAAAACAGCAACATATCAGATATGCAAAATCCTCTGAAAACTTATCAAGTTTACATTAACAGAGCTACTAAAATTTGGGCTGAATTCTTAGATAAACTTCTTTTAATTGGCCAATTGCAACTGCTGAGAAATTTAATTAATTTATGTTTGAATAACTCGTGTCGCTTTAATGCCAACGATTTGTTGTCAGCTTTGCGTTGTCTGGACAAGGCATTGATGATACAAATTAAAGAGGACGACAAACACCCTTCTGAAGGATTCTTGTTTAAGATAAGCGAGTATTTCAATTATGCCGGTCTGGGAGCACCCTTGGATAAAATATATGTTACGTCGAAAAGCGAGTTGGATCATTCTATTGCGTTATTTATTTTCGTTTTAGCACACGTTAATAAAATGTTTTTACCGCAAATATCGGGTCAGTACCGAAAAAACGATCAGATTGACGGTGTAGCTGTGTCAGTAGGAATTCATACTATCGTAAAACAATTTCACACGAACGTAAATAAAGAGTTTATAAAACTAATATGTGAATATATTATTCAACTAATAAAATTTAATAAGCTAAAAAATAACGAAACTGGGCTAGAGGTTACTTTAATGTTAAACTTTATGAATTGTTATACTGATTACTCCGAATGCAGTAGAAAGTTTTTCAGAGAATATCTACCAGACGAGATATTGTATACATATACACAGTAATATTAATATTGTTTATGTCTAAGGTAAATAATATTTGTATATACTCTTTGTTATATATTATATAAATTTGTTAATAAAATATAAATTGTAAAAAATTAAAATATTTTATTTTACCAATCATCAACAGATATATCCTTAACAACATCTTTTACATCCATAGTATCAGATAGATCTTCGTTATCCTGGTAAATTTTCCTTTTCTTTGTATTTTTACCGCCTCTTTTACCTCTTTTTGATTTTTTCTCAAGTGGATTTTCACTTTCTTCTGAATCACTAGGAAATAGTTCCACCGGCCCATCAGTTTCATTTGGAGTTGTATTATTCTTTTTAGCTTTCTTTAATGTTGGCAATTTATAATCAGCCAAGGCATCATTATTTGTTATTTCTTTATTCTTTTTAGTATTTCTCATCTTACTCCATGTTTCATAATATAGACTTAGCGGAGTACCTTTTGTTTTTATTTGGGATTGCCAGCCTTCAATTTGTTTGGCATTAGTTAATTGCAATGTGAGTTTAGACCTTTCTGTTTCAATAAATTGTGAGTTCTGTTCAATCTTTTCTAGCACTTGTTTCATTTTTCTAGTATAATTAGCTGTTTTGCATTTTTTTAGAAACTGTTTTATCTGCAACATGCAAATTAAACTAAGGTCAGGAAAGCTGATAGAATGTGATATAATTGACAAGTATTCCAATAGTTGGGAATAGACTGTATCTATAACAGTATCTTTGAAACCATTTTCTTGAATTTGTGATTTAGATACTCTTAACAGACATGTAAAATTTAAAGGCTTCATTGATACTTTTTGGTGTTTTTTATCAAAATCGTAGGAAGTTAAAACCTGAAAAATTTGATGTATAGAAAAATTAAACATACAAATCTAAATATACAAACCTCAAGTAAAAATGGTAAAATTGGTACAAATACATTGGTATCTTTTGTAAAGTTTATTAAAATTTTTGTAACGTGAAATCTTAAAGGGAAGTACTGTGTGGTGGGTATCAATTTTAACGTTCCAAGACATACTTGTATAAATGGATAAACCAGTTGCTGCATTTGTTGTTTAGTGTAGGTTAAAGATAACAAGATGCCCCATAAATGAAGAGAATTAATATACTGCCAGTTGTATACTGACTGAACATTCTCTTTTTTGTTTGTTGTTATAGCATTCCGTAGTTGAATTGCTAACTGACGAATATACAGAAAAACATGTGTATATGCCACATTAAGATCTAGAGCAAACATTTCTACCAAAGATCTTTTCATAAAATTTATCTGAGCTAAAGAATTAACGCTGACAAACTTTGAATTTTTAACATAAGCCATATACATTGATTTCAGACACATATCCAAAGTGCTTTTCATTTGACTAGTGACAATTCTTAATATGCAGAAGAAAGCTAGAACACGAACAGAATCTTCTGCAGAACTCCACAATTTTATTAACTTATTTAAAATAGATTTAGTTAAATTTGTATAAGAACTTAACATTGGGCACATGTAATGTAAATGTTTTAAAAGTACTGTTTGAATATTTGATGACGTCACTCCAAGCAACAACTAAAAGTATATAAATATTAGTATGTACTTTTTAAAATTATGTTTTTCATATAGCTACCTTTAATAAATTAGTTAGATATAACTTTAAAGATCCTTTGATTTTATTAAATTTTTTACATTTATGAGGAGGCTGTTTAGAACCATGCTGGATTCCTAAATATCTTCTTATGGAAGGACCCAACTCTATTACACAGATTTGTATTATTGCATTAAAAACAGATGAAGCTAAAAATGTACAATGTTAACACCTACTGAAATGAACAATCTTAATCTATTTAAAAGTAGTGATATTTTTTAACTAGTGTTATAATCAATGACTAAAGAATCCAAGGACAAATAACACCCGAGAACAAATTGTGACGATGTCACCAAACAGTGCCGTGGCACATATTTTTCTTAACCTAGCTGTTTGAAGCAATATTTATATTTTTTGATAATTGTTTTGACTACGCCTATGGTGTATCATCCTAATTAATTACAAAAAAAACATATTAAAATGTTAACAAAAGGTACAAAACTAGTATCGACGTATAGCACATATCAAGTACATATAGATGTTAATTGAAGAATAATTATCGAATTCAATAAGAAAACGCTAAAAAGTTGGAGTGGACTGTTTATTTACCTATGAAACGTAACTCCTGCCTCTTTCTTATCGCTGCTGCTTTTACACTTGAAAGCTGAACAACTAATCACCATTGTAATAAAGTTTATACAAAGTTTACTACACACAAACTATTAAAAATCGCTAAAATTGTCGCTGGTGACCAAATGATGACTCATTGTTTGCCACCAAAACAAAAAAAAGGTCACAAATTCTGCTGCAGCCCGTATAGGGGCGTTACATGTCCTTATATTCTTTAGTCATTGGTTATAATAGAGAGAATGTTTCCATTTGTGATGAGGGTACATTTCCTTAGTTAGAGCATGCAATAGTACCTTCTACTTTATATTTAGCTGGTTCACTTTCTTCGTCATCACTTGAAACTCTTTTTAACGCAGCATGAAATGCTTGTATCACTTCAATTATTGTTTTATTGCTTTTTTCAACAAGTATATCGGTTTGCCATTTTTTTATAATTTTTAAAGTTATAACATGCTCCTCTTTCTTTTCATTATCTTCCACTTCAAAATCACTATCATCGCTAGCAACTTCTAAATTTTCATTGGGCTTATGTAGTGTTTCAAGTTCATCTTCAACATTTTCTTCACCCCCATCTGACTCATCAACTTCTTCATCAGATAGTGAAAATTGCAATAATTTTTTATCGTTATCCTAAAAATAAATACTATAACTAAATATATTAAACAATAATAACATGTAACACTGTACTTGCAAAAATTTATAAAACTCCGGATCAGTTTTTTTAAGCTTCTCAAGATCGCTTTTGTGTTGTTGCGTTAATAAATTTTCGTCTACTTCGTTATCACTATCGGAATCTGTATTCTGCTGAAAAGAAGTATTTTCCTCGGACTCTGATAAAACTTCATTATTTAGTAAATCCTCGATTTCACTATCACTGTCTGCTTTTACTTTAATTTTAGTTTTTTTAATTTTTGGTTGCGTGGTTTTACTTTTAAGTTTTTTCTTCAAGACAGTTGATTTGCTTTTAACAGCCAATTGTTTTTTTACTTTAGACATTTTTAAAAATATATTTTATTTTGCTAATATATTATTAAAGACTGCCAAAAAAGCGAGCGTGTTAAACTTTAAGGTTGGTTTGTTTTTTCTTCTTCTCGTTTGATAGGTATTTATGGCCATGGCCCGCGTTTTCTTAAGTCCAACAGCCACCCTAGATTAAGAATAAATTCTACCCAGAGATATAGAAGTACAAACTCTATATCTCTGTTTCTACGATTGATAAAGTTTGGTTTCTTTTTACGGCCACAGCTGCTAGGGCTATCCAATATATAGAGTTTAATAGTGTCTCTTTTTTGCTGCTAGGGCGCAAGGTTATTAAAAGGTAAGGTTGTCTCGTAAAGCTCGTAAAGCGTAACTCGAACCGCCATTATCGAAAGCGTCATCTACTACGTCATAGGAATGATACCACTCATAGATAAAGGGATAAAAACTGCCCACAGTCCGACTCCGAATCGATATTCATTTGTGTAATTTATTGTTTATATATTCAGTTAGTTATTCTATGGTTTATAGTATATGGCGTCAGTTTGGCGTAGTTTTCAGTTGTTTGATGTGTGTTTTCTTTATTGTATTGTCCATTTATCTCTCTTTGTCGGTTGCATTTTATTTTCTATTCCTTTTATTCTATGATTTTATACGTTCTATCTACGTCAGAGGGATGATATTCCGCTATTCCGCTTACCTATCCTTGGCTAGGGCGAACGTTAAAATACTTGTGTCTAGCCCTAGCAAGCAACTGTTAAGCCCGACCAATCACGTTAGAGTTTTTGACAAACACAAATGAATTAACACCTTAGATTAAGAATAAAAAATTAACACACTTATGGAGGGCTTAAAAAAGGAGATTTATCGGCAATGGGCAAATTTGAAATTTCTGTCCCCACTTTTAAGCAGCTTCCTCGGTTTGACAGCAGAGGCACTGCGATCGACTGGGATACTACATTTTCATTGTTAGTATACGATTTAATTGTGTTTTTAATAAAATTTATAGTTAATTTCAGTCACATAATGCTCAGGTGTACTTTTTGTTTGATTGTACAGAATACAGAAGCCTTCTTTTTATTGAACGTATCCAATAGGGTTCCCAACCGTCCCGGTTTGACCGGGATTAACCAGGAATCAGAAAGTTTGTCCAGGCGAAAATTTTGCCTTGGCCGGGACCAAAAAAATCACATTTACATATAATATATTTGAATTTCGGTAATATTTAATGTTTTGTTTCAATTATTTAAAAACTTAAAAATAATTGTCCCGGAATCGCCGATGCTCAAGTTGGGAATCCTAGTATCCAATCGAACTGTTATCATTATGATTCACTCTACGCTCTATAAATAGTGGTTTTATTACTTTTAAATAACTTCTTCAAGAAAACAAAATCTCACCTTGATATTTTAACTTCTTTATTTCAGCACTTAAACATTTTAAATTGTCTATATTTAAACTGTCCACCATATACTCCGTCACCATTCGAAAATGACGTTGCCCCTTGGACGTTGCCTACTTTGTTCAAGTGGAATGCAAACAAAAAAAAATGTTCCATGGCAAAAGTGTAATGCACAGTGTAATGTAAAATTTCATAACTCCCCATAGTCCCCATTCCCCATACACAGAAAAGTCTGGCTTTCGGAATTAATTTTTGCGTTTGTGGGCCAGACCAAGTCTTTGCGAGGCCAAGCCTAGGCGGATTAATTTTTTGTTCATACTCAAAAACACCGAACACCGAATCTATTAAATGAGTGATTAAAACTTTCATAAACTTTAAAAGATCGCGAGTCAGTCCACAACTGCTGTAAAACGTCGAAAGATCTAATCGGCAGACGAAGTTCGCAGGCCTGTTCGCAAAGCCGGGTCCGCGCACTTGGCCTTTCACCCAAATCTTTCATATTTTTAGTGAAAGGCCAATTCTGCAGGACGAGTCCGAAGGCCGGATCTACAGGCAGGGCCTTCTGGTGTATGGGGGCTATTCATGCTGGTTAGAATCCATAGGAGAACGGATATATCTTTCAGTCGATCTCTCGCCATTATTCATGTTAAGTCGGTAGGGCTTAAGCTACACGCACACTGGTGCGATCACTATCACGATCAGGGCAGCAATAACATGAGCGATCATTCTGGCACACACCAACGCGTTCACGTTCACCGCCGTACCTATATGTATAGAGCTATCCTGTAGGTATACATAATATACAAATTAAAAATGTGAATTATGTATACCGAAAAAAAAAACGTTCTTAAATATTTACCTACAATATTTAAACTTAAACAATAAAAATATATTATGTACTATCCGATCCAATTGCAACTCCAACTTTGTCTAAAACTTTTTATTTTCAATTCTATTATTTTTGTAACTTGGATCGAATAAATCATATAGAATTTTGTGTATTTTTACAGCCTTAATTAGTTGCTGTGTTAACTCCATTTCTAAATTGCAACAAGAAAAAACACACAAAATAACGGAAAATTCCTATCAGTTGGTTGGTGATCACGCGATCAAACTCGACAAGTGAATCTGATCGCCACCGCAGAATAGAACGCCGCCAGGCCGCTTCGTCTCCAAAACTCGATCGCGCCAATGTGAAACGGCTCATATGTATCCTTCAGCAACATTTGGCCGCGGACGCGTGGAGATCGTGATCACGGCCGCGATCACGATCACGATGAGGGATTTAAGTGTACAACAAACACTGTATCGGTGCCCTGATCGTGATCATGATCGCGCCAGTGTGCGTACAGCTTAATATGGCCGATGATCGCAGTTCGGATTCCGCGTAAATAAAGTAGGCCGAGCAAAAAGGAGACGATCTTTGTTGGAGACATTTTGGAGACGATCAACTAAACTTTAAACTTTATTGTTTTAAATATATTTTAAATATAATAACAAAATATAAATATATTGTACTTACTTCTTCCTTATTTGGTTTTGGTCTCTGGTTTTGGTATAGACCCGTTAGTCAATGGTATAGAGATGATGTCTTGGATATCAAGCCAATATTAAATGTCTTTAAAGTTTTTTTAAAGAATATATAGGTATATTTATAACAATAATAAATGCCAATAAAAACTCACAATAACTATTTTTTTATAACAAAAATTAAAACTGGATCGCAACAATATTTTTGTTCGTATTCTTATCGAGTTCTTATCAATCAGAAATTTAATCAATATTAAGTAAAAAAGTAGGTACAGTGGACATTTTAATTCGTTATTAGTTATTATTATGAGTATATGTGTTCTTGTTATAAGATTATATAAATCATAAGTAAGAATCATTATTTACATGTTTCTCCTTTCAAGATTTTACAAATAATGTAAGTACCTGGGAACTTTTTTTTGCAAAATAATTACGATGCCAATTTTTCGTATTAAATCGTAGATGTTTTCACGATTACAATTCTGGGGAAATGCTGTACCCTGGCTGTACCTGTAGAAAATTACTAAATATAAATTATTTTTCTAAATATTTATTATATTTGATAATAAATATTCGCCTTGTTAAAATAATACGGCATTCGTGTTTGATGACTTTGTGAGTAATTTTCTAACTTACTAACGTACTGAATCATGTCCTGAATGGTACTGACCCAAGGCGTACTATAGCTTAATTCGTGTTTCTCTTATTACCGATTCTGAACCGTCCTAGAACTGTGATGCGTATGCGCAGAAGGAAATATGAAGACATTATTTCATTTTAGAGTTCTAGGACGGTTCAGAATCGGTAATAACAAGAACCCGAAAAAGCTATATGATGGTACTGACCGATTTCAAAATTTTGTGCGTTTGTTGTTTACACCATGTTTACACAGTTTACACAGTTTACACAGAATACACAGCCTGAGTGAATTTACATACATCTGGGTATAATAATCCGAGTGAATTTATATCTGGGTATTTTTATAATTATTATAAAATGAGTAAATAATCTGAGTGAATTTGAATTTACATCTGGGTATTTTTATAATAATTATAAAAATACCCAGATGTAAATTCACTCAGATTATTATACGCAGATGTAAATTCACTCAGGCTGTGTAAACAAACGCACTAAATCTTGAAATCGGTCAGTACCACGTCAGGACCATTCAGAACATGATTTCATGACATGTATTTTTATAATAATTATAAAAATACCCAGATGTAAATTCACTGAGGCTGTGTAAACTGTGTAAACAACAAACTATTTGCACAAGTGTGTAGGTACTCATATTTATGGATTATACATATACAATATTAAAATTGTATATGTAGGTATAATACAATTTTAAAATTGCATATGTATAATCCATAAAAATGAATACCAACACGCTTGTACAAATATCTGTATACAAGGTGTTTCAACAAATATGTGCCACATCTCGTGGGGTGATTCCTCTCATAAAAATAAGATTTATTTTTCATATCAACATAGGTCCAATTCTGACTTGTTTAGATATATACTGGTTAAAGTCTTTATAAATAAAATAAAAGTAAAAGTCGTATAATACCTAAAAGCAAAAAGTAAAAGGCATTAAAAAGTCGTAAAAGTAAGAAGTAAAATATATTTTTTTTCAATTTATTATAATTTTCTTGCAAGTGCTTTTAATGATTCGAATAAAATTTTTAGGGTAAAAGTTACTATAAGTATCACATTTAAATGCTAAAAAATTGTCGACATATTCACCAGGGACGTGCATATGGGTTTATCATTGGAAATTGGAATTATTTTTTTAAAAAGAAAATAGGTGCGCCACTGACTTTTTTCTTTTGTTAGCAAAATTATGTAGACCATTTAATGCTGATTAAAAGTTGTCTCTTGATAAGTTGTCGATTTCGGTCTTCTTCATAAGATATTTAATTAATTTGCTTTAATGCAATTCTAATAGAGCAACCTTTAAAAACTTCTAATGTCATTAACTAGTCAAAATGTTAAATAAGTAGGTACTCATTGATTGCTCATCAAAAAAATATGAAAAAAAGTTTCTATAAACATGGATGCGGAAATTCATATAGTTTTAATTTTAATATGTTTTAAAGTTACAGGATGTTAAAACTTTTAAAAAATAGGTCTGTTGTAATTGTGTAAAGTATCATTATTTTTTTTGGGGGAATTTGCCGTAAGACTGT